AGTACGCTGGTCGACGAGGAGGGCAAGGACGGGAGCTCGATCGAATCCAGGGTCCAGAGGAAGTCCTGGGAGCTGCTCCACGAGTCCAAGCCGTCGGCACCGGGACCGCTCAGCGTGCTCCGACGGCTCCACAGCGACGGGAAGTCGGCCGTGCTCGCGCGGGTTTCGTCGGGTCTGGGAGGGTCTTTGTCTTTGGCCGAGAGGGACGAGGACGAAGAGGCGGAATAGGCGGAGGAAACGGTGGCGGCGGGGTTGGCCGTCGCGTATTCGCAAGGGATGCCGCGTTTGGCACATCGCGAGCAGGTCGGCTGCGTGTAGCAGCATTTGGTCTTGGCCTGGACGCAGGCATTGCACGCTTTGCGGCGCATCGTGGGTTTGGTCGAACGCAGACACCGTCGTCGATGGCGCAGGAGGAGGTCACCTGGAATCCCTCGGGCCTAGATATCAGCTCAGATACAGACAAAGACAAGACAACGGCGGAGACAAACGTCGCTGGTAGGTTTTGAAGCAGGAGTCGCACTGGTGAGCCTCGGTGGATGGCTCAGATGCCGGCATGTCGACGTGCGCAGGAGACAGGAGATGTCAGATAACCAACAAACGTGGAGAGGCCCGGTTTAAGTGGCTGGCATCGCTTACAGACGCGTGAGTGTGAGTGTGAGTGTGAGTGTGAGTGTGACAGGGAGCAAGCTAGAGGAACCGACATAGCTGTCTTCTCGATCCTTCTATGTCTGTAGCCAGCAGCCCTGGCTCAAAGCAAGACAAGGCATTGGTAAGAAGGACAGGACTGAGGAAAGGTGAGACTGAGGAGAATCCCAGCGCCATCCCGTGTGTGGTAAGGCGCGGCTAGTCTAGTTTATGGATGACTACGAGCAATGTAACCCTAGCCAGTAGCCACTATCTCACTATCTCTATCACATTATTCCTGGGCATCACGGCTGATCTTCGTCTGAGCAGATAACAACACGGCGAGCCCGTAAGAGGCGGACGGTATATTAACATGTGGAGTTATTACGTGCGAGGCGGAAGAATCTCCAATGAGGGACCCTGTCTGTATTCTGCACTCTACCTTGGACTCGTTAGTGCTTATAACAGATGCGTAATCTAATTTTATCACATGGGGACCCTTCATCGACAGAGGGAAGGACGAGAATGACGAGAATAATGACCAGATGACGACAACGACTTGATCCACCGTCAAACTCAAGTTCCCTAGGATTTAAACATGGCACTGCAACGGTTCGGTCCGTTTGAGGAACTTAACCTAGATCTTGCGCGCCGTAAGCCACCGGACTTTGGGCGTGTAGCCTATCTGTTTCATCTCCACAACCAGCTCGTCCAACCACGCGAGATACTCGTCGGGGGTGCGGGCCACGCCGGGAATGCCCTCGGCTGGAGTACGAGACGATCAGTCAGTGGGATGGGATGATTATTGGGGGAGCATACCAGGGATCTTCCGAGCCAGATGGCGGAAGGACTGGGGGAGGAGCTCGGCCGTCCAGATGCGGTCCTCGGGCCTCTTCGAGGTCGCTCCGTAGCCCAGATCGAACGTTTCCACCTTCATGTCCTCGAAGCCCAGGGGCAGCAGGAGGTCGGGGAACTTCTTCCAGATGTGGACGTCCATGCCGGACGAGCGGGTCGACCACTCCTGCACCTGGGCCAGCTTCTTCTGCTGCACCTGCTCGTCCGAATACGAGCTCAGGACCCATTCCGCCTCCACCAGCTGCAGCACCCCCCCGGGCTTCACCACGTCGGCCAGATTGGCGAGCACCCGCGGCCACTCGTCCGCTCCGATGCCCCAGACCAACAGCCGCTGGTGCACCAGGTCGAAACTGTTCTTCCAGCCCCACGAGTCGGGGAAGGGATGGCGCACGTCATGCTCGCGCAGGGTCAGTCGGGCGTCCGGCCGGAACAGCGCCTTGCCCAGGTCCACTCCGTAGAGCTGCAGATCGGGCCTGTCCGTGCCAGCCAGATCCGCTAGCCATGTCCCTGCCCGTCCGCTCGCGTTAGTAGGATTTTCTTCGCGGGCGTGCACCAATGATTCTTCAAGAACAGGCAGGGGTTGCGGGCGACACTTACCGTCTGCGCAGCCAGAGTCGAGCACTCTGGCCCCTGCGGGCAGCTCGATAGGGGTCAGCTTGTCGTCAGTGGCGGCCTTGATGAAGAAGTGTTGGCGTTGCAAGCGCTTGATCTCCTCGTGGTGATGGGGGAGAAGGTAGACTCCTTCAGTCCCACTGAACTCGTCTTGGACCTGGGTAGGAGCCGGGAGGTGCGCCGCGGTGGGTTTAATAGGAGCCTCCATGTCGTCGATTAGGCGATCTTATTCTGTCTGTCTGTCTGTCTGTCTGTCTGTCAGTGCTCGCCATGATGCCTGATCTGGTTATATACGTTGCTCTCTTTCTCTTTTTCGTGCCATCATACAGCCGGTCATCTTGCTCCGCAACGGATACGGACTTGTGAAGCATTCTGCGTTCCGAGGTCATTTCCGAATGTATCTTTTGGGATCCATGAGGGGACTAAGATAGAAAGCAACAGAATGGAGATCGGCACGCTCCACAAATGCCATGCATTTCCAGCATCAGCGAAGGATCGCAGTGACGATCTCGTTATCAGCACCAGCACCAGCACCAGCACCAGATCCAACACCAGCGTAGTCCGTAAAACTCCGGACGACGCCCTCGGAGAAAGAGGTCGTACGCACAGCCAACTCATGGTCGACGCAGGCGGAAATCCCCGATGTCAGCACTAGCGATTATCTCGTCCATTCTCCGTAGACCAAATGAGACGGCCTGCGATGGCGTCGCAGGGATCATCATGCATCGAGATCCTTCGTATGCAGCTAGTCGTTGGCGCGAGTCCGTGGTACCCAGGCGGGGTCCAGGACACTATGGCATTGGCGCGGTCCGGATCCTGAGGACTACAGCCTGAGAAAGAATCTTCACGTCGTTTCGATGGGTTCATTGCGTTGTCGAAGCTGCAGTTGATCCTGCAGTTGATCCCGGAGAAGCTTCAGTTGTAGATCATTAGCGAGAACCCTCACCCGGGCTATGATGGTGGACTACGTGAGGTACATGCCAGTATGTGATGTTTTTTAGGAAGGGACTTAGGATCCAAGTAATTTAGTTATGACACTCTCCGTGGTAAGATGCTACGAGAACTATGTACTTCAGACCAAGGCGATGGAGACATATGTGCTGTTCAGGCAGTTTCTGCTCTATCAGAGAGGCAATACGGATGAGATCTATAGAGAATGAAGTGATATTCCTATAATGTATACATTCATCTAGTCATGTTGCTGTCAACAAAGGAGTAAACAAAGCAAGTGCTGTTGAGAGTGTCAAACCGACTGCACATAAGGCACAGAAGGCAACAGGCCACTGGCCATCTGCTTGAGCTGCCGGCGATTGATCTTGAATCCCGTGGTGGGAAAGTGAGAGAGGCACCGGACCCCCCCCGTCAGCTTCCGCAGCCCGGTGAGTTTCTGGTTGGCAAAGTGTAGGATGTCCCGCTCCACCTGCTGGGCGAGCGCGGGATTCTGATGGTACTCGGGCTTGAGGATCACAAACGCGGTCGGCTCATCCAGCTGGGTGAAGTCGTTGCGGATGCCCACGACCACCGCGCTGGCCACGGCAGGATGCTCAAAGACCACGGCCTCCAGCTCCGCCGCGGAGATGTGCGTCCCGTACCCGCCCCCGACCTTCAGCAGCTCCTTGATGCGGTCCATGATGAAGACGTTGCAGTTCTCGTCGAGGTACCCGTAGTCGCCCGTGTGGAACCAGCCCTCGGCGTCGAAGTCGCGGTTGGCCACCTCGTTGTCCTGGTAGCCCTTGAAGCGACACAGCCGGTTGCGCACCAGGATCTCGCCCGCCTCGCCCGCCCCCAGTTCCTGCCCGGTGACCGTGCTGATGACCTTTGCCTGCATGCCGTTCACCAGCGTGCCGCTGTAGCCGCTGCGGCGGGAATCCGCGTCCCGCTGGATCGCGATGAGCATGGTCTCGGAGGTGCCCCATTCGAGGTCCAGGTGCACGCCCCCGAACTGGTGGGACACCGTCTGCCGCAGGTTCTCGTGCATGGGGGCGCCCGCCGTGAGAAGCCACTTGACGCTGCGGACGTCGACCCCGGACGCTGTCAGGTCCGCCCGCGCCAGGCGCGCCGCGATGGGGGGCGTGATGAAGAGGAAGCTGACCTTGTGCCGGCCGATCACGTCGACGGTCGTCTCGTCGAGGGGCCCGTTCATGAGCACCACGGGAATGCCCAGCAGGATGTTGAGACCCATGTGGAGCTTGGCGTTGATGAAGAACCCCAGCGACAGGGGGGAGAGCCACACGTCGTGCTCCGGGTCGGTGTTGTCCGGGATCGTGCCCACGGTGCCTTCCATGGTGGCGATGAAATGGGCGTGGCTGGTCAACACGGACTTGACGTTCCCCGTGGACCCGCTCGTGCGGTTCAGAAAGGCATCGTGATCCTCGGCGCTGGCCTCGGATTCCAGCCGGAAGAGGTCCGCGTCCGGGCGGCCGCGTGGAAGAAGACGCTCCAGGGAGGCCCACAGTTGGTTAGGGCTGTCGTCGAGCGTGATCAGGCGAACAGCTCCCGCCAGGTTCCCGGACACCTCGGCCAGGAGCAGCAGGTCGCTGTCGGTGATGAGCAGCTTCACCCGCGACTGGACGAGTCGAGTCGCAATGTCCGTTTCGGACATCTCTTGTTGCACGGGGATGAGCGCCACCGTCGCTCCGGCGGCCAAAGCGCCAAAATACGCGATTGGATATTGGATCTGAGGCAAGGTTTAGCCGCTATCTACACGCAGAAAGGAGCCAGACATACTTTGTCCTTGGCGAGAATACCGACGACATCCTTGGGCATAATATCGTACTCGGAGCGAAGAACATCGGCGAAGCGTCGGCTTTTCTCCTCGAGCTCGGCCAGCGTCAGGGTTTCACCCGTCTGATCGACGCGATAGAGCACTCGACTCCATGGATACGGTCGTCGGCCCTGGTGGAAGATGTAGTTGAATACATCGGTCTTGGGCACCGAGGGGAGAGGGTACTTGGATTCAAAGATCATGGTCAATGCCGAAGCGAGCAGATGAAACGCGTAGGTAGAGTACCTGAGCAATAGTAGATTCGTAACAGCCGTTGAAGTCTGTGGGTTCGTCGTTGTGACTCCTGTTCTTCCAGTGTTTACTCGGAGTACGAGGCGATGAACGGAAGCGTTTAAATACGGGTCTGTTTGACAACAACCGGACCATCTCCACTCTGGATATCCGCCATGGGATGGGAAAGAGACGGATGGGCCCGTCCACAGTGTTCACATTCCTATCGTCGCAACGGCCGCCAACTGAAGAGGCGGATGGAACCACAAACATCGGAGTTGGTGACGTCCTGATAGGCTTCTGTCCCCCTTCCATGCCATTCGACGCATGGCGATCATTATCTTGATAAGACTTGCAGTAGACTCAACTCCGGTACTTCTGCTCTTCTTTCTGGTGGCCACCATCTCCAACGTGCTGTCGTTTCGTTCGATAGCTGGCATCCAATGGCTCCGTTATCATGTTGAGCAAGCCAAGCTCCGGTGCAGAACTATCATGCAGACCTGTGAAGGGAGCCAGCGTCGGAGATGGCGCTGTGTCTGACCGTGTCTATCCGTCGGCCCAGCCGCTAAGTATTCTTCATCTCCCAAGGCCCCTTGAGTTGATAGGGCTAGTTGTGCCTGAAGGATTCGATTCCCAGCAAGGGAAACACGGATGAGGAAGGTGGAACGGTTGGCGACTGCACGTAAAACCGACGGGCGACTGCGAACTCCGTGAAGAAGAGGTTTGATCGGACGACGCCGCGTGAGTCGAGGGCTGTGATGGAGGGGAGCACCGGCAAAAAGAGGAATGGAGGGTAGGTGGCTATCGTTCAGTCCAAGCTGGATTGCCAGGAGATACGGAGACACATGCGAAGGCGCCGGGGACTGGACGTAGGATCGTAGAATTCCATGCCTCTTAATCCCACTGCGAGCTCTTGTTGTGAATCAGGATTGAACTGGAAAGCTGCATAGCCGTTCAATCCAACCAGCCCGTGATCAAGTCCTTGCTATCACATCATCAGCAGCCGAGTCAAGCACACATCGTCTGTCTTTCCGCTCCTTTGCAATTGATATTGAGGATGTTGAGCCTTGAACTCCCGCAGGGCAAAGTGCTCCCCCCTAGCCAAATCGACGTGGACTTGGGCCCGTCGGATACTTGGACGCCCCAGAGCTGGCGAAAGCGTCAGGCGATTGCGCAGGAGATTGAATACAAGGAACCCTGGGCCCTCGAGGAAGTCTTGAGCACCGTCGCCTCCTTACCGCCCCTGGTCAGCACGGTCAAGATTGAACTGGCCCGGCAACACTTTGCGGCCGCCGCTCGCGGAGAAGCCTTCATCCTCCAGGGCGGAGACTGCGCAGAGAGCTTCCAGGATGTCAGGCCCCTGATCGTGCAGCAGAAGGTGCAGCTGCTGCACGAACAGTCGCGGCTGATCAGCGACGCCCTGGGCCTGCCCGTGGTCACGGTGGGAAGAATCGCCGGCCAGTATGCCAAACCGCGATCCTGCCCCTTCGAAACCCTGGCCGATGGGTCCCAGGTCTACAGCTTCCGCGGCGAAAACGTCAACGGCTTCCATCCGGACGAGCGCACGCCCGACCCCAACCGATTGCTGCAGGCATATTTCCACTCCCGCGCGACGCTGGACCTGATGAAAGCCTGCCCGTCCCTGCCGACCCCCCCGTCGGGCGATCCCGTCGCTTCGCCCGGAAAGGACCTGTTCCGCACGAGTATCCTGGATGAGCTCGGACAGGGGGCCATCTTCACCTCGCACGAAGCCCTCCACCTGCCGTACGAAAGCGCCGTCACCCACGGCCGCTACAACACGTCCGCCACGTTCGTCTGGATCGGCGAGCGCACCCGCCAGCGCAACGGTCCGCACATGGAGTATATCCGGGGGATCCGCAACCCGATCGGGATCAAAGTGGGCCCGGCCATGCGCCCCCAGGAACTGGTGGACCTGCTGGATCTCATCCGCCGCTCGCAAGACGGCCAGGAGACCCAGGACGGTCGAGTGACCCTCATCACGAGGTTGGGCGCCGATCAGGTCGAGACGGTGCTGCCGCCGCTCATCCACGCCGTCCGGAAAGCTGGCCACACGCCTGTCTGGATGTGCGATCCCTGCCACGGCAATACCAAAGTCACGCCGTCGGGGATCAAGACACGCTCGGTCGAGACCATCGTCCGGGAGGTCGTCCGCACCTTCGAGGTCCATCGGGCCAATGGGTCGTTCATGGGCGGTCTCCATCTCGAACAGACGGGAGAATTCGTCACGGAATGTGTGGACGCCTGGGAGACTTACTGCGAGCGAGATCTGACGACCAACTACCGCAGTCTGTGTGATCCGCGATTGTCGTACATCCAAGCCTTGACGGTGGTTCGGTCTTTCCTGGATCATGTCCGCCGTTCTACAGCGAAGGCAATGTAGGTTCTACGATTTGGCAGTTGTTTTGGCATCGATTGCTTTGATTTGAAACAGTGCAGTAGAAAAAAATATACAGTGTTGTAGCAATCTATGATCCACAAAATGGAGTGATTTGATTACAAGCCGAGCTTCCATTATAACCGTTATGATACTCCTTGGCCTCAGCGAATGAATAGATCGTTCTGCACATGGAGAATCGGTTTATTCGTTCGACTGGCTGTGTTTTCGGACTTGTGTGTCGGATGCCTCGTCATTGCATGTCTTCTCTTCGATGTACACTGATGCTCAGGAGGACAATATGCCTAAAGATCAGTCACTGCTTGTCTTGATGTCCAGGGGTAGTAGTCTGTATACTGAATAGTACTGAACATCTCATAGCTACCAGGTCGGGCTACTACTGGGACTGTATACTCGACATATTGTTTGTCGACAATACGTCTATGAAGAGAGATGAAACGAACATCGAGAGAATTTGGATTGCTCTCTAGATTTAGGCGAGTTGGCTCAATGAGCAACGTGAAAGTTATCTACCTAGATGTCAGGCCATATGATCTAATGCTATGCCTAACTTGCTATATTCTCCCTCCTAGCATAGTCCTGAGTCGTAGATTATAGTAGCCGTAGACAGTGGCAACCCGAGGCCTGCAGAGGAACGCAGTATGCTGAGCAGCAGATATTCTATTCTAATCAGATGCTGGTGGCCTAGTCAGGTATTCCTGGTATAAATCTACATACATCACCCTGATGGGCACAAAACTATGGAAGAGGCTTACAGTTGACCTGTCACCTGTCTATCACAGGCGCACATAGCTATATCTAAGTTATCCACTCATCTTCCATAGCCGCTCAGTGATGGGACTTGAAGGGTCTAAATTTTAGATTCTAGAGCTATCCTAATTCCCAAGATAGAAGTCAGTTATCAGGAGTCCAGAACCCCAGACCCCAGCGGCCAGCTCATGAGGCTATATCCAGAGAGCACATACTACACTTGACCACAGTATTTGAGCCAATCAGAAAGTTGTAATTGAGTGAGTACAGACAGGAAGGTAAAGATTATAAGGTAGTAAACGGTAGAGAGAACCTCAAGGGCGGCCAGAATCTATTCAGTCTTAACCCCAGGCTACAAGATCCGGAGAGCATCTAGATGCGCAATTGAAGTAGATGGAATGTTGGAACCTATTTCAGCATTCTAGATAGTAGGAGGCAGGCAGGTAGGTAGTAAATCTCAACCCTACAAGCTCAGCAGATTAGTCAAGACAGAAGTTCGATATTGATTACTTCACGCGCTGCCATAATTCCTATGGCTGCGTCGTCAGGTAAACCCAAGCGAACTAGCATGGCGCAGAACCTTCTGGCACGACTCTGTACTCTCTCAGTCTCAGACCTCATTCTTCTTACTATGCATAGATCTGCAAGTTGCAACCCTTCTTGACCTCCGAGGGACGGATTCCTGCCCTAGCGCCGGAGAACAAGAACAACGACCACCCATCTCCGGCATCAAAGAATCAGTACATGAAGTTTACTTAAATACCCCCATCCTAAAGATGAGGCAGGGGCAGTCCATCGTCCAGCAATCCACACCTGTAAGATGAAGCACCTTGTTGCATTCACCCTCAATGCCGCTCTCGTGCTGGGCGTCGTTGTCCTGCAACGGCGTGAGGAGCCGGGCCAGCAGCATCCTCTGATCGACAGCTTTCGTCATTCCCCTGACACCGCACCGACAGACGGCCTCGTTCGCCAGTGCATCGCACCGGGCGTGGTCTGCGTCGACAGACACGGGGCCAACCTTCCCTATCCCTTCTGGCGGGATTCCCCGAACGGCACCTACGCCACGAACCTGGCGGACATCGAGTTCCACCGCGGCCGAGGCGGAAGCAAGGTGACCTCCTGGGAGCAGGTGGAACGCGCCGACTTTGTGGTCTTCGACGAGGAGCGAGGCCGCAAACTCCTCGGCGACAACCCCAGCGTGGACTTTGTCTTCTCCGTCAATCCGTGGGCGCTGCACGAGGCCCCCACGTTCGTGCCGGGCCTGCGCAAGATCTTCTTCTCGGAGCTGTCGCCCATGCTGGAGCAGTTCGTCATCGACCTGAACGTCGACCCGCCCACCCTGTCCGACGAATTCCGGGCCGATCCGCCCATCTACGTGCCCAACGGCGGCTTCTACCACGACGGCCTGATCTACTACTCCGTGGCCGGCAGCAGCGACAAACACCAGCAGCGGCCGGGCATCGTCACCCTCGACCCCTGGACGAACCGGTCCGCCACGCTGCTGAACAACTACTACGGCCTGACCTTCACCGACTGCGACGACGTCCTCGTCGACCCCGTCACCGGCTTCGTCTGGTTCACCGTCCCCTACTACTCCTGGTGGCTGGAGGTGGCCGACACCCCGCCGCAGCTCAAGTCGGCCACCTACCGCTTCGATCCCGCCACGGGGGCCACCGTCGTCGTGAATGACGAGATGCGCTCGCCCAACGGCATCGCCCTGAGTCCCGACCGGCGCCACGTCTACATCTCCGACACCGAGGCCGCGGGCCAGTCGGCGCCCATCTCGCTCGATCTGCCCAGCCCCGGCGTGGCCGGGCTGCTGTTCAACACCACCGGCAAGCGCACCATCTACAAGTTCGATCTCATCGACCACGGCCGCGCCATCGCCAACAAGCGGCCCATCCACTACGACGCCATCGGCACGGTGCCGGACGGCCTCAAGGTCGCCCGCAATGGATGGGTGGTGACGGCCAGCGGCAATGGGCTGAGCGTGATGGACGAGTATGGGGATATGATTGCGCGCGTGCAGATCAATTTCACGGTCAACAACTTTGTCTGGTCGGACGTGGACGACTACCGTGAGGTGTGGATGGTAGGCCAGGGAGGCGTAGGACGCGTGAGATGGAATCTGCAGGGTCAAAAGGCTGTTTGATAGTGTACTCTGCTGGTGTCGAAATATGAAGGGATGGTGGCTGTATAGGAAAGAAATTCATTTGATATCGTGACATGACCTGGATCTACAAAGTAATGGTACTATCTCAATTGAGGAATACAGACCACATATTGTATCATTGTATTACCTATCAGATGCCGCTTGCTCCATCTCCAGAGACGCCAGGACGAACGCACTCGTCCCAATCAAGCTGTTCGTCGTGACCGCTCGATGAGTATAATACTGCAGCGACAGCGTTAGCAAAGACATCAATCTCGAAAGACACAAACAAACCTCGTAATACGGCTTCTCCTCATGCAAGCTGGCAATGATGCTCGTCCCGAGGAAGTCCAGGCTGTCGTCCTCCTGCCGCCGCACGACAAAATACTCCAGCACATCCTGGTAGAGCGCGCGCGCCACAGCCACGACGTCCTGATATCGCGCCTCAGCCTGAGCCCGGGACCGCGCCTGGACCCGGAGATACGAGGATGCGACAGCCATCTCCGCGGATCGCGAGCCGGGCAGGTAACCCAGACGCGCCCCCTTGGCCAGCACATACGCAACCATGGCGCTGGCACTGGCTTCGACGAAGTTCCCCGGCTCGCCCGGCCGATCCATCACCTGCCAGACGGCATAGCGGCCGGTCCTCCGGGCGGAGTCCTGGACTGCATCGACCGTCGCCCGGGCGAGCCGCTGGAAGATGTCGAGGATGCGCTGGGCGGTCTCGTCCTGCTGCAGGGCGTCCGGGTGGTCCGCGATGATCTGCAGGGTGTCCACCGTGCCGATCAGATACCAGGCCAGACTGCGACCCCACACGATGGGACTGGCGCCGGTGATCGGGTGGGCCCAGGGCGCCTCCCGCGAGGCATCGTAGCCGTGCTTGATCAGGCCCGTGGATGGCTCGATGCTCTGGTTGTAGAGAAGCTCCAGCTGCAGCAGGGCGGCGTCGAGGTTCACGTGCGGGTCGCCGTAGGTCAGGCCGTAGAAGGTGGCGAAGGGCGCGAAGCCGTACATGCCGTCGCTGTACGAGAGATTGCCGTAGGGCGGGTAGGGGGGCGGGGGGTCGACGAAGTACCAGAAGCCGGAGTTGTCGTTTCGAAATTGCAGGTCAAGGGATTTGCGGAGGGCCTTGAGCACGCTGCGATGGAGGGGGCCATCGAGATTCATCTCCCTGGGGGAAGGGGTCTAACGTCAGTCGCGAGTTGTGTCAGGAGTAGAGAGAGCTGGCACGAACATGATCGAACGGCCGATGCACAATCGATCCAGGGACAGGTCGCGGGAGGACGCCGTCGCATTGAGCAGGTCCTCCATGTTGGCCTCCACGCTGCGACGGTGGTAATCCGTCCATTTGGCGATCTCTCCCGGGTCGCTGGACTGGGCGATGGCGGCTCTGAGCGCTTGTTGGAACAATCCCTGTGCATGATGTTAATGATCAGTAGTAAGTCATGCATGAGAAGGCGCTGACCTTTTGGATGACTCCCAATAGACCGTCGGCCGGATTGATTCCTTCGCCTCGCGCGATGACACTCTCCAGCATCCAGGTGGAGTGCTTCGGATGGCCAGGCCTGATGGCCACGACCAGCGACAGCGACAGCAAACAGGACAGTGGATGGAGAATCTTCATGGTGTCGCTGGAGTTGGAGTGGAGTGGAGGTGATATGAAAACCGAGAATCAGGGCGAGTGACGGATGGCCGTTGCTTTATGGTAGCCCAGTAGCCCAGTAGCCCGTAGCCCAGTACCCTAAGATCGCCAACTCCGGGCGGGCCTCCCCTAAAAGACACCCCGGAGTTGGAGGGTCGTGGCCCCCGGAGCTCGGTGGTCGATCCCGGCGGACGGACGCCGCGGGCTTCCAAGTCCGGTCTTGGACATGTCGGTGTACTATCAGTTCTCCTTTAAAAAGGAAATGAAATAGATTCATCCTTCTTCTGATCTTTCATTCTTGATCATCATTGCCAACGGACAAGCGTCATGGCTGCTGAGTCGAACCAGAGTTCCAGCGAGACCCAATCGGTCTCTTCTCAGGGAGGTGACAAAGGTCTCCCTCAAGGTGAGTCTCGAGTCTCGAGTCTTCGGCTGTATCGAAAGAGAATAACCGATCGACTGAACAGGCATCCCTCGTGATGACGAAAAGATTCCCACCCTTGACGAAAAAGGCACCAAGGACGAACATGTCTACATCGCGGATACCCTCCCTCTTCCTCGCCAGATTCCCTTCATCCTGACCATCTGCTCGGCCATGTACACGAACCAGCTCGGGCTGGGCCAAACCATGGACATCGTTCGGGTGATTGGCGACTGGTACGGCATCACCAACAGCAACGAACTGTCGTGGCTGGTGGCCGGCTACAGCTTGACGATCGGCACTTTCGTCCTGCTTGCCGGCCGGCTGGGCGACGACTTCGGACACAAGCGGATGTTCATTCTCGGCATGGGCTGGTACGCGCTGTGGACGCTCGTCTGCGGGCTGGCCGTCTACTCCACGCAGGTGCTCTTCATCTTCGCCCGGGTCTTCCAGGGCATGGGCCCGGCCGTGACGCTGCCCAACGCGATCGCCATCCTCGGCCAGTCGTACGCCCCCGGCCCGCGCAAGAACATGGCCTTTGCGTTCTTCGGCGGCAGCGCGCCCTTTGGCGCCATCTCCGGCTTCGCCACGGGCGGCCTCTTTGCGCTGGCCTGGTGGCCGTGGGCGTACTGGAGCGCCGCCATCGCCCTCGCCGGTCTGGCCGTGCTCGCCGTCTGGTCCATCCCCCCGCAGCCGCTGAGCGCGACGTCCCAGACCCTAACGTTCCGCCAGAAGATTGCCCACCTGGACCTTCCGGGCTGCTTTACCGGCGTGGCCGCGCTCGTCCTGATCAATTTCGCCTGGAACCAGGCCGCCGGCGTCGGATGGCAGGAACCGTACGTCTACGTGTGCCTCATCCTGGGGTTCCTGTTCGCGGCCGCCTTCTTCTGGGTCGAGCTGCACTGGTCTACGGATCCCATCCTGCCCCTGGCGGCCTTCAACTCGGACATTGCCTTCGTGCTGGGCTGCACCGCCTGCGGCTGGGCGACCTTTGGGATCTGGGTGTACTACGCCGCCGTCTTCGTCATGGAGCTGAACAAAGTCAGCCCGCTGCTGCTCGCCGCCTGGTACAGCCCCGTGATCCCCTCGGGGCTCGGCTCGGCGCTCGCGGTGGGCAAGCTGCTCGGCCGCGTCTCGGCCGCATGGGTCATGGTCATCGGCATGGTCGCGTACCTGATCGGGTCCATCCTCATCGCCACCATGCCGACGCACCAGATCTACTGGGGCAATTTCTTCTGGAGCGTGCTGATCATCTGCGTCGGCATGGACTCGTCCTTCCCCGCCGCGACCATCATCTTCTCCGACGCCGTGCCGCCCAAGTACCAGGGCATCGGCGCCAGTGTGGTCATGACCATCGTGAACTACAGTATCTCGCTGGGGCTGGGCTTTGCCGGGACGGTGGAGCGGGAGGTCAATAATGGGGGCCACACCTACGACGACAAGAAGAAGGGGTATCGGGGTGCGTTCTACTTCGAGCTGGGCTTGGCCGGGTTGGGCCTGGTGATGAGTCTGGCCTTTTTGGTCAAGGATCACTTCCGCAAGAAGGCCAAGAAGGCGGCTGCTGACCAGAGTGCTTAAGACTGCAGTATGGAGACAGATGTCCATGCATGTCGGATGGATTGGGAAGAGTCAGATGTCTATTCACAATCATATACTTTACTCTATTTCGGGTCTATGGAGAATAAATACTAAATGCATTCATTGTTCGCTCTACTCGTTTATCTTGTGGCTCGTAGCAGGACAGGTAGATGGATTGGCAGGGTTTCTCTCAGTAATGGACTAGGCCTTGACTTGTACTCGGTTATCATGATACTGTTGAAATGCCCAATACCAAATTCCAGACGTAGTGATGATATAGTTCTACCCTACTCTGGATGCGACGCGTACGAAGAAGCATAAACATGAAAGCGTTTATTCAACTACATAAGCTACATCACCTCATTCCATCGTCAGGGAAAGTTCGACCGCTTCCACTCCGGGTCGCTGTGGAGACAATTCTCGCGCACACTGTCAAAGAACGACGTAAAGTCCGGTCTGGAGTACCGCTTCAAGAGCTCCTTGGACCTCCGAGTATCCACCGTACTCCGATCATGGACCTGATTCGGATCATCCGCCGGCCACGGTTTCGCAGGATCGATCTTGCGGAACACGCTCAGCCAGCTGTTGAAGTTGAACGGGCCGGCAAAGGCCAGCAGCCGCTCATTCTGCACATCCTCCTGCGTCAGGCCCGCAATATGCAGCAGGGCCACGTCGGTGGCGTCGACAAAGTGCCGCGGGATGAAGGTCTGCAGGGGCTTGTAGTAGTTGACGGGGTCATCGAAGAACTCCTTCACCCAGCGGCCGGTGCTGCCATTCTGCTTGGCATGGACGATCGGGCCCACGATGAAGTCCGGGAGGACGGCGTTGGCGACGAAGGCGGGCTTGTGCTCCTGGGCGAACTGCCAGAACTCGCGCTCCGTGGAGGTCTTGAGGGCGGCGTAGACGTCCCAGCACCGCTCGGGCTCGTACGGCGCCGGCCGCCACGCCCGCTCGATGCTGCTGTCGTTCCAGGTGTTGGCGTCGACGTGGATCTCTTTCTCCGGCTGCGGGGTCAGCGCAGCAATGGCGCTGCTGGTCAACACGAAGCGCTTGACGCTCGGTTCCTGGGCGGCGCTGTGCAGGATGTTGCGGAGGGCCTCCAGCATCGGGGTGATGACCTGGTTGGGATCGCTGCCGAAGGACAGGTCGCTGGCCACATGGGCGATGCCATCGACGCCGCGGATCGCATCGTCAAAGGCCCCCGGGACGGAGATGTTGGGCACCACCACCGTCTCGAAGGAGGCGTCGGGGTAGCGTTTCGCGATGGCTTCGGTGATCCAATCCGCCTTCTCCTGGGATCGCACCGTGCCTCGAACCTTGTAGCCGCGCTCAAGGAGGTTGAGGGCGAGGTGAGAGGCCAGGAAGCCATTCACACCGGTGACCAAGACGAGGCCACCAGCCGGGACAGTGGTAGGCGCAACGGAACCCATGATTGATTGACTGTTTTGGATCAGATGAGAAAAGAAGCGACTCGATGGATTGTAGAGTGTTCAGAATTCCAATTGATCTGGTCTGCCAGTCGACGAGACATGGCTTGATATAAGTACGTGATCTCTGAGTAGCATTCTGGATGAAAGCCCATACGGCTGATTTACTCCAGGAATACGAAATTCCATGTCCAGCAAGGATACACTCCAGCAACAGTCCTAGTGGTGGTACTCCGGCGACGTCCAAATCCGATTGTTCGTTAGCCCCGGAGAAGGGCCACCTCTGGCAAATCCCCGGCGTGATTCGCAAGTCCCCGTCAGCTAACTCCGAACGCACTGGAGAGGTGCTTCTTTTTACTTCTACAGGGCACCATGCCGTCGGAGCTGGACTCGACACCAGGAGGTGGATGCCGTGGACACGCAGCTGATATCCAGAGGACCAGATCCATATGGTTGACACGCACTGAATCCGTCCATAAATTGATATCACGGCCATAAACTGACTGCATACGGACCATTCGATTTCAGTTCTTCGGTTGAGAAATGTTCTGGCCTCTTTCGGTTGCACTGCTGCCTGCCCTGGCGCGCGCCTTTCTTCACGGCCACGCACGAAACAACACCTTTGACTATGTGATCGTCGGGGGAGGCACTGCGGGGATTCCAGTAGGGACACGACTGGCCCAGGCGGGATACCAGGTGGCCATCGTCGAGGCTGGCGGCTGGTATGAGGACTCGGAACCCATCATCTCATCCACTCCAGCCTTTGGTTTCGCGAACAATGCTGCCAACGATTGGGGCTTCGTGGTCGAGCCCCAGCCCGGGATGGGAGGAAGAGTCTTTGGCTATCCTCGTGGGAAATGCATGGGAGGCTCCAGTGCACGCAAGTGAGACACTGCTACCATGAACCTTGTTGGAGCTTCCAGTGCTGACTGAGGATAGTGCGATGATCTACCAGAGGTACTGACCTTCCCATACGCTTTCAATCTGGTCAGTTGCTAAGGAATAACCAGAGCCCCTGTCGGCGCATTCCAGCGATGGGCCGACCAGGTCGGGGACCAAAGCTACGCATGGTCTGAATTCGAGCGGTATTTCAAAAAGGGCACGAACTTCACAGCCCCGGATCCAGATCACCGAGCCCCCAACGCGACCCCGGGATATCATCCAGGCGCGTTCTCGTCCGGCAGCGGTCCGCTGACGGTGACGTACGCCAACTGGGCGTCGCCGATCTCCAGGTGATACTCATCGCTCTCCTGATGTCGACTGGCAATGGAGAATCGCTGACGCCTTGCAGCTGGATCCAACGGGCCATGAGGGCCGTTGGGATTGACGACGCGGGCGACTTCAACAGCGGTCAAATCCTCGGTTCGCAGTATTTCGCGCTCACCACCATCCCGGAGACGCAGGAGCGCGCGTCCGCCGAAAACACATATCTGAGGGAGTTCCAGGATCTCCCCAACCTGACCGTCTATACAGAGACATTGGCGAAGCGAATCCTCTTCGACGACAGCAAGACCGCCACGGGGGTGGTGGTGGAGATGGCGGGCGTCGAGCACACGCTCGCCGTCGACAAGGAGGTTATCCTGTCGGCTGGGGCCTTCCAGTCCCCTCAACTGCTAATGGTCTCCGGTGTCGGCCCGGCGAGTACGCTGGAGTCCCTCGATATCCCGATCGTCCACGATAGTCCGTACGTGGGACAGAACCTGGTCGATCACGTCTGGTTTGGCGCGGCGTACCGCGTCGACGTCCCGACGTGGACCAAATGGGCCAACGATGCGTTCGACATGCTTCGGCTCTACGTCGAGGAGTACCGCCAGCATCGACAGGGCCCCTTGACTGCAAACGCGGGCGACTTTGGTGCTTTCGAAAAGGTCCCCGGTCATCTCCGTGTGGCATTTACTCCGGAAACCCTCCAGGACCTGGCAGAGTTCCCGGACGATTGGCCGGAAGTGGAGGTAAGCACCGCCGTCTTGTAGACCAGTCTCCATGGCTCACATCACCAATCCAGTACATCGTCTCGCCAATGTACCTGGGCAACTTCAACGACCCGATGGGCCGCCAGCCCAAAGACGGCTACCAGTACGCCTCCATCAACGCGGCCCTCGTCGCCCCTGTCTCGCTGGGCAACGTCACCATCCGGTCCGCCGACACCCACGATCCGCCGGTCATCCACACCAACACGCTGGGCTCTCGCACCGACCAGCAAGTCGCCATCGCGGCCTTCAAGCGTCTGCGCGAGATCTTCGAGGCGCCGGCGCTGGCGCCCGTCCGCGTCGGCGACGAGTATTACCCGGGCAAACATTCGGTTCGCACCGATGCGGAGATCTTGCGGTTCATCCAGCAAGACGGCCTGGCTTTCTACCACGCCGGGTCTTCGTGCGCCATGGGGGATCCTCATGCGGTGAACAGCACGGCGGTGGTGGACGGCAAGGCACGGGTGATTGGCGTCAATCGCGTGAGGGTTGTGGATGCTGCGTATGTATACTGTGATCTGGGCTTGCCTGTGATACTGATGTCGTGACAGGGCTTTGCCGTTCCTGCCTCCCAGTCATATCCAAAGTGCGATCTGTATGTCACCGATCTGTCCCTCGTGCTTCTTCAGCATATGCTGTGTCCACTAACGCTGTGTTAGATGCCCTGGCCGAAAAGATTGCCGAGGAGATCATCAACGAAGAATCGGATGAACCTACACGGGTGGAATTGTAACAGGTGGTTTTACATTTATCGTCCTTTCTTTTCATCTGTCTGTTTAGAATAAAGAAATCAATAAGATGAGTCCCTTCTAATCCTAGTGCTATTACTTTGTTCGCGTGCTACAACCAGAAATCGATCCAAGGCATCCTCCTTTCGACAGAGGACTCAAGGTTGATAGAGGTTTTATTAGTACTTTACTGCAAGAACAAGACGACGGATTACACAAGCTGTTGTATTACTACCGCAATCTAAGTAATCATACGCAAAAGCCAAATGCTAGTCTGAGCCAAGTCATAGTTGAATCCTCGCCTCAACAATGGGACTCACAATCGGCAACTTGTCCAGCCCATGCTTTCCACAGACGATAGCCCTCCGGGCTCTATCTATACCGGTGGTATCACCACCGTTCAACCCCCCCTTCTCATATCCGAAGACCTGCAAGAGTAGCCCGGAATCCGTCACAGCCGTCTCCTTGTCGACAAGAGTCTCCGCGCTCTGGAAACAGGTATATCCGTCAAACCCTGCCGCGACGAATGACGACATGACGACGGTGTACATCTGCGACGGGACGATCCGCTTCGCTGGCGCGGAGGGTGTTTGCGCGAGAGACAGGTGCAGGATCCGGTGGCCCTCTCGGTGCTGCCAGTCGGCGAGGATGCGTAGGCCGGAGCATTGCATGAATCGCCCGTCGACGTGGAGGTCCGAGATGGAGTTTTCGAGGGCCGCGTGGAGGGCGTGTCCGCTGACGCGTTTGACGACCAGGGGGTTCTCGAACGAGCAGATCTCTAGGCATCGATCATTTCATGAGGGAGGTACGCGGTGAGGACGAATGTCGGGACGAACCGATGATATCCTTGGCACGGAGCGGGGATGATGCTGGCTCGATGATCCGGTCACATCTGATTGAGCCGCTGTTGACGAGTGCAATGTCGGCGCCGTAGTAGGCGCGGTAGACGTCTGCGAGCATGTTGCCTAGGTTCGTCTCCGAGCTGCGAATCACACTGCAGCGGCCGTCGAGCGGGGTCGTCGTGTGCATGAGAGGCTTCTGGACTACGCTGCCGACACGCTGCTGGATCCCGGCCGCTACTTTGCGGATATGGGGGCAAAGGGGGAGTGAGATGAATTCTGAGCTCTGGGCGATGTCGACGTATTGCTTGACTGGAGCTTGTTAGACTGGCGGCGGTGCCGGCTGGAATACGTACGCTTGACGGTTGCTATTGTAGCTCTTCCGTCTGGAAGTCTCCTGGCTATCAAGCGGACAATGGATAAGCTTCGCCAGTTTGTCCCGCTTTTGACGATGCGAATGTCTCCGGCTACCTGGTCGATTACGCCATCGGACACAATGTCCTCGTTTCTCGTGCCCTGCTGGATGATTTCCGAGTCGTCCTCTGTGTCCCCATGGAAGCGATGGAGGACCTCGTGATCGTGACCCCCGAGTATCAGATCAACCTTGCCAGCCCCGTATGCTGCAGCATTTGCGGTTCTGATATCCTCGGCGAGTCGTGAGTGAGAGATGGCGATTACAAAGTCGCAACCCTCGTTGAGACGCAGGTATCTCGCGAGCTCTTGAGCGACCACGGCGGGATCCATTATGTACACCGGGGGTAAGTTCTGGCAGTTTGACGGCCAATCTCTGGACAGGTCGCTCAATCAGTGATCCAAGCAGAGAACTCTGTGCAGAACGCCTTGCTTACGTCCCAGCCAAGCCAATAAATCCGACTTTGTACCCCTGCACTGTCCGGATAATATACCGCTCACCACAGGCAAGGGGCTCTGTCGAGAAATCGCCGTCCTCAGTCATTCTACTTACGTTGGACAGGGCCCAGGGAAAGTGCACTTTGCGTGATAGTTCCATGAGTCTCGTTTCCCCGAAATCGAAGTCTGGACACGTCAGCCTCCTTGTACGTGCCCGTCATGGACACTGACCATGGTTCCCGTAACAGGCTACATCGACATTGAGGTGGTTCAGGAACGGAACCATGTGCTCTCCTTTCAGGAGGGAGGCCTCCAGGGAAGGCGAGAAGCCATCGCCGCTGAAGATCACCAGTGTCTTGGGGTCGAAAGACCTGATCAAGCCGGCGAAGCGAGATATGAGCTCGACGTCGTTGACGTGGTACTACTCTTTGAGCGAAATTCCTTGACAGAAAGACTGTATGGAGACGTACGACATCGTTGAAATGCAGGATGCATATCTCAGTAGCCATCCCGAATTCCAGTCTCTTGAGCCTACCGACAGACACGATGATCAGATCTGCGAGAGAGTACAAACCAACAAGACTATAAGAGTCAGTCTGATAAAATAGACTAGACTCATTTCGGACGCCGATGCTGAAAAGGACAGACGGCCAATCACCTTTGTGTTATGGTGAACACGATGCGCAAAGAGCTCAGAAAGAGCTGTCTTCATAATCGAGGAAAAGAGATCATCACTATATACCATATATACCACAGGCGTTTGTCATGATCATGGCAACCTGCAATTCTCCTGATACAAGATGATAGAATCCATCATGTCTTCGCAGGCCAAGAATGTCAACCACCGGCGGGGCCCCAGTGCACTTTCATCATAATAAGTCTTGAGCCTACAAGCTAAGCATTGCTCTTGTGTCTGTTGACGACAACTTGAAAGACTGTGTCAAGATGGACGACTGCCCTGTGCCGCCTTGACTAGGCTACCATCTTCGAGAACCGGTGGAAGCACACGGGAAAGCAAGAGAATAATGAATTCTGGGAATCTCAAGAGGAAGATCTTGACTGCCACCGGTTTGGTCTCGATGGTCCCAAATACTGGGACACATTCATAGCAGCCAATCAGCAAATGGCGGTGCCTGGCTTTCGTGTTCGTTCATCGTTGACAGATGCGAATACGATCTTGAAGACGATCTTTCGGCTTGATCGGAGTGTATTCCCCACAACCTGGATATCTTCTCAATCAAGCACCATAGCACTGTTTGTCTGACAGGGATATAAAGCGCTTGAGCGGCCGAACGCACACTTGTGAGATGTTCCACAGCACTTTTTCTCAAAGGATCTGAGCATACTTCAACATGTACAAGTCTTCTCCGGTCGTCTTCGGCATAGCTGGACTACTGTTTTCTGTGCCTTGCGCTGCCGTCGGCCCACAAGCGCAGTGGACTGTCGGACAATCAGTCCAGACCTCCAGCGGGCCGGTCCGAGGACATGCCGCTCCCCATGCCAGCAATGTGTCTGAGTATCTCGGCATTCCGTACGCCTTGCCGCCAGTAGGCAATCTGCGATTCCAGCCTCCTGTGAGATATCGGGGGAATTCCACGATCACTGGCGAGACATTTGTAGGGCACCCTTCGAAGGGCCAGAGACCACCGGAGCTGACTATATAGGGTCCCGCTTGCATGTCTTCGAATCTGACAGCGTACGATGACCGACTGCCAGACAAGCTCATCGAGCAATACGGAGTCACCGGGGTCGGCCAAAAGTACTTGGCGGACATAGGGCATCCCAACTTGACTTACAGCGAAGACTGTCTGACGCTGAATATCTGGACGAAGCCGCAGACCGGCGAGAAGAAGAAGGCGGTGCTGATCTGGATACATGGAGGGTCCTTCGTGTCCGGTATGGGTACCTTACCGTCCCGAGAAATCAAGCGTTGATGGCTCACCCAGGTTAGGAAGCTCGGCCACTCCGATGTACAATGGCCAGTTCTTCGCTGACCAAGAGGACATTGTCCTTGTCTCCATCAAGTCAACATCCGTCCCACGCAGCTTGGTTAGAAGCCATATGCTAATTCGTTCTAGCTATCGCCTCAGCATCTTCGGCTTCCCGGGAAATTCGCCAAGCAGCCTCAACCTAGGTCTTTTAGATCAGCGGCTAGCAGTCGAGTGGGTGCGAGACAATATCGCTGCCTTTGGCGGCGACCCGTCTCGAATCACTCTCTTTGGAGAGTCCGCCGGCGGTACCTCTGTTGACCATTATTCATACGCCTGGAAAGACGACCCTATCGTCCATGCCCTCATTGTGCAATCCGGCAACGTAGCACGCATCGGAGGCCGCACCGCTGAGCAAGCCCGTACGTTCTGGCTCAACGCTTCGCGGGCACTCGGATGCGGTAACCAGAGCACACATGATCAACAAATCTACGACTGCATGATGACCAAGTCTGCTGGCGACATAGCTCGTCACCTCGTCAACACCATGGCCACGCCCGTCAACCTGCCCTACAGCCCGGCTCCGGACGACGTCCTCGTCTTCAGCAACTACACGGACCGCCCAGCGGCTGCTGTTCCCATGCTCGTTGGGACCACCGACTTTGAAAACGGCCTGTTCCGCGTCTATGTGGACAAGCCGTTACCTGAAGACGCGTGGATCCAGCAGAATCGGGCTCTCTTCGACTGTCCGGCGGCGGCACGAGCCAATGTCTCCGTCCAGCAGGGCAATCCGACTTGGAGATACCGCTACTTCGGCGTATTCCCGAATATGATGCTCTCGACAAAGGCCCCTAGCGGAGCATACCACTCCTCCGAGGTGCCGGTTCTCTTCGACACGGTTGCACAAGACCTCATCGCCAATACGGCCGAGGAAGTCGCCATCGGACGGTACATGCGTGGTGCATGGGCTGCATTTGCGCGAGATCCGGTCTCGGGACTAGAGAGATACGATGGATGGCCACAATATGAGGCGAGTGAGAAGACACTCATCCGGCTGGGATTCAGTAATCAGACCGGGCCGAACCTGGTAATGGGCAGCCTCTATGATAAGGGGTGTTGAAATCCAGTTTCGACTATTCTTCGTCGTCAGAGCCTCCCAGCAATAGCTTTGGATAGTGTCGCACCAATACAGAGTAGTTCAGCTTAGTTAGTTAGTTAATGCTCAGATGCTTAGTCATGTCGCATCACAACTTGTTCCGGCCAACGCCGACCGAGTCGGATGGAAGACCAGTTAACTCCGAGCCGCAGACTCTAGGACAACCGCAAGATACAAACAAGTACTATGATCAGCATCTCCGAGATTCTATTGTTATGCGAATCGATAGCATATATAATTAATATGAGCTTCCACTCTAATCCACAATCAGCTGCTGACGTACAGTGTTGATCGGAATTGGCCAAGCGCAGTCATGAGTCAGCGGTCCATGGAAGCGTTCGTTGCCTTACAGTATTCTAGTGTAATCTACAAGGAAGACAAGGTCAAGATGATGAGCCAAGGCATTATGAAGAAATTTAAATTTAGAATCAAAGACACACCTTTATACAGAGTACACAGGTTCAATATCTCTGTGCCTCAATCTAAGTGCGGATGTAACTGCATACCTGTAGTTAGATGCATAACAGATTACTCATACAGCAGCACCGCTTAGTAATACCAGTCGCCATCCGCCGGAAGTGACAGCATCAGCAGTCACCGAATCCAAATCTGCCCAGCCACACAGCTACCTTAGTCCTTAGAGTAGCCCCTTCCCACGTCACTTTTGCTTTAAGTAATCCTCCCTTCCCTCCGTTCCTGCTTACGAGATCATCTTCCACCCATCTCCCAGTTGCAAGTCATCAAAACTCGCCAATCAGACTGTCTACCTGCTTGCTGACATAGCAAAGCCTTCTGCTTACCTCATCAGTTCATTCGCCCATTCTTCCTCATCATCCTACCCCCATCTTGCGCGACGAGGGACTGTGCCATATAGGCAGATCTGCTTCATTTGCTCTTCTCTTGAACTAGCTCGAATTGATTGCGTCCTGTGTGTTTTTGTTGGGCGCGTCTTTGTTGTCTCGTTCATTTCGATACTCTCAATGCAGCCTACACTAGCTCCAGCACCGCATCCAAGCATGCAAACTTCTGCTCAGGTAAGCAGCTTCTTGTCGCGGTTTGTCATCAGATCGTCTTCCCCAATTTCCCCAGATCCCAGATCCCAAATCCCAAATCCCCTCAGCTGCTGTGTCATCCGTGGGGCTGGATATCCTTCTTCGTCGTCGCCGTGATTTCCCCGGTCGCGGTCTCCAGGACGCGATGGCGATCCACCTCACTTGCTTCCGTCCTGGATTTTCGAGTCCTCTGCGGTTGACTCTGCTGTTCAGTCGCTGAAACCCCATGCTAATGCTGTTGACCTTGTAGGACCATGCGGATCAGGGTAAGTGACTACTTCATATTGTACCAGTTGGTGATCATCGTCCACGATCATGCCCGCGCATGCATCCCTTCCACCTGCGGGAACCTTACAACACTCGTCGCATTACGAAGCTAACATTATTTCCCTAGTGCTCCATGATCAGCTTCTAGCTGCTCATCAGCATCTGTCGCATCCTCAGCAAGCTCGACCCCAACCTCCTGCACCGCAACCTCCGCACATGCAACCCAACACACCGGCTCGCGATCAGAATAACATCGATCCTGCCATTTCCGGTGCTACCATGCTGACCGGCCCCCCGCAAACTCCCACCCAGCCTGATGTAACAGGCCAGGAGACCCCGAAAACCTACGGCAAACGGCCGTTATCCACCTCGAAACGCGCCGCACAGAACCGTGCCGCGCAGGTACGTACAGCGCCCTTCAAATTCCCACAAGAGCTCGACTAACTGGTGAGTAGCGGGCGTTCCGTCAGCGGAAGGAAGCTCATATCCGAGAACTGGAGGGGAAGGTGAAGGCATACGAGAATCTCGGGGAAGCCATCAAAGCTTTGCAGGCGGAAAACTACCAACTTCGGGAGTACATCATTAACCTGCAGTCTCGCTTATTGGATTCGCAAGGCGAGGTTCCGGAGCTGCCTGGCAATATTGACCTGAGCCAACCGCGGAGTGAAATCCCTGTGCCTTCTATTCCAAGCTCGGGGACGACCACCTCCACTGCTCCCCCTCCTCCGACTGCACCCCAGCAACCCCAGGCTCCACACGCTCAAGCCCCCACATCAAATGATGATCTCAACTCCTTGAACCGCATAGCTGTTGCCGGGCTTGGAATGCGCAAACCTCCTACCGAAGAGGTCAATTATCTCGGCAACAACTTTCAGGCTCAGGCAAGGCGCGTCCGCCCCGATGAAGGACAACCCGAAGCTTCCGAACTGCCCAAGCAGGAACCAACACACGGACTCCCTCTCATATCATAGGTCGTCTCAATCTCCTCTAAATCTATCATTATTCTTTTCTACCTCAACAGTTCTCCGATGTTTTGCCTTGGTCGTCTCCGGCGTATGGCGTGGTGCTGGTGGATCTATAGTATTTCTGGCCCTGTTTGAGGCGGAGTTCTGCGTTCTTGTTTTTAGACGGGAACCGGAGGGGTGAATCGTTGATCTTGTCAGTATGATTTTGCGTGTTTCCAGCTGGTTTTATAATGCATGTATCTCAGTGCTTTTCTATGCCCTTTCCTATCTCTGGACATCACCTCTTCTTTGCCCACATCGGCGGACAAGGTACACAACTCGGAAGTCAAGGCGATTCCACGCAAGGAGATATGGGGATTTGAGATGATTGTCTTTATCTCTCATCCAGTTCTTCTGGCGAAGGATCCGAGGGCTTCCTGCATTCGGACATTTACTCTTGTGACTGTGGACGCTACTAGATGTATATCTTCCCTTTAATTGATTGTAATCATGACGAAAATGTCTTTCCCTGGCCCATTGGACCTGATCATTGAGACGCTCTTGTCTTACATGTAAGTGAACAAATTCTCACTCGCTGCGTCTATGATATTCATACTGCGGTAACATTGGCAACAAGGCTACATACAGAGCTGGTGTCCGCTCATCAACCCCACCACACACAGGTTGTTTCCTCCTCAACTCTCGGCGTTTACAGCTAACAGCAAATTTGTTCAGCCACCATGCCTCCAGATTATTTCCTCTGTTTGTATTTCCCTTTTCAAATGACAGAAAAGTGAGAACTTTCTCTGCTGTCTGCCTGACATAGAATGTCACAAGTTCACCATGGCCTCCGCTGTTACTACAAGCCAAGATGCCTCTGCATGTCAGCCGCGGAATTATCAGCTTGAGATGCTGGAGGCTAGCATGAAGGAGAACATCATTGTGGCAGTATGTTCCCTCATCCCATACTTGAAGCTTCAGAATGGCAATGATAACAATCCTTTAGATGGATACAGGGAGCGGCAAAACGCATATGTATGTCTGCCTCCTTGCTGGGCTGTCATTGCTTCCCCCCTGCCGTCGGACCTGATTTTGACCGTCAAGTGTAGAGCGGTGCTACGAATCAAGGCAGAGCTGGACATTTGCCCTTCGGACAAGGTATATTCTCGTTGATTCTGAGCACTGGCATTTTCTATTCGAAAATGTGCTGATCATTCCCTCTTCAGCTCGTCTGGTTCCTGGCCCCGACGGTCGCCCTGTGCATACAACAGCATGAAGTGATTGCGTCCAATTTACCAGCTGTGAGAACACGGACTCTCACCGGACTCGACAAAGTCGAACTATGGACCGAGCAGTCGATCTGGGATGCCGTTCTGGATGGTTATCGAGTTGTTGTATCGACGCACGCGGTCCTTGCGGATGCTCTAAGCCACGGCTTTGTGAAAATGTCTCGGCTGGCTCTGATCATCTTCGATGAAGGTATGTCTACAATCTGAACTCTACTCAGTGAACGGATGGTGTTGATAGAGACGAACTGTAGCGCACCACTGTACGCGAAAGCATGCCGCAAACAAAATCATGCAGGATTTCTACCATCCGACTTTGACTAGATTCGGCACCGGTGCAGTACCCCGCATTATGGGCCTTACAGCCAGTCCGGTGGTCAGATCGAATCGACAGGAGCTCTTGTCGGTGCAGCTAAGCTTCCACTTTCTCTGTTAAGCCTTGCTGACTTGCCAACCAGAACGGTCGAATCCAACCTCGATGCGGTATGCAAAACGCCCCGCGTGCACCGACAGGAACTCCTGAAGTTCACCCATAGACCGCACTTGCAGCAGATTTGGTACACGCCGACTGATCCCGCGGGGTTCAAAGGCGCAAGTCAGACCTTGGGGGCCCTTTACCACGCCTGGGAAACCTTGGACATCGAGGATGACCCCTACATAAAGCGGCTCCGAAAAAGTCCCCTTGACGGCAAAGCTCTGCACAAAGCGCTCATGACGGGCAAAACGTATTTTCGGGAGCAGTTGAAGAGGTTCGTCGATCGCTGTTGTCATATCTTCGAGGAACTCGGAGAATGGGCTGCCGAGTACTACATCGATGCGTCCATCAAGCAACTCACCGATCGCGTCCGTGACTCCTACATGACCGGCGACTGGGACGAGGCCGAGAAAGCGTACCTAGTAGACTTTCTCTCGAAAATCCCGGCTTCAGAGATCCAGATTGCGTTGAACGATCCGGATAGCTTTCGCATCTCTCCGAAGCTTGGATCTCTCCTCAACTTCCTGGGCTCACTGGATGAGCCGGAGTTCTCGGGATTGATCTTTGTCAAGCAGAGAGCAACAGTCAGCGCAATGACTAGTCTTCTCTCAGTGCACCCTTCGACGCGCGAACGGTTCAGATGTGCTGCCTACGTTGGCTGGTCCAACGGCAGCGCCAGCAAGGACATTCTCGGCGATCTCTTGAACATGCAGTTGCAGCGCGATACACTGGATGATTTCCGCAGCGGCCGAAAAAACCTCATCATAGCCACGGATGTTCTCGAAGAAGGCATTGACATTAGCGCCTGCAGCGTCGTCGTTTGCTATGACAAACCGCCCAACCTCAAGTCCTTCGTCCAGCGCCGTGGGCGGGCAAGGCGGAAGCAGTCGACCTTTGCAATCATGTTCCCAACAGACGATGCTTCTGCTGATGTTTCCAAGTGGCAAGATCTCGAACAGGCCATGATAGAGGCCTATCAGGATGATGAGCGACAGCTGAAAAGCGCCTCTGCATTGGAGAGTCTGGACGAGGAAGTCATGGAGCGACTTACTGTCGAGTCTACGAGGTATGATTCCTTTCACTCCCCAAGTTCCTTGAAGTTTCCCAATATTGATCTCGTATCATCAGCGCTGTCCTCACAGCGGACACGGCCATGGCACACCTGCACCACTTCTGCGCCGTATTGCCTTCTGAGCCGTACGTGGATACGCGGCCCGTGTTCTCGTTCGCAGTGAGCGAGGATGGACTTTTAAAGGGCACGGTTATTCTTCCCAGTTGCGTGCATCCAAAAGTCCGGCGCAGTGAGGGCAGAAGATGGTGGTGCACAGAGAGAGCAGCGATGAAAGAGACTGCCTTCCAGGCATATAGAGCTCTCTACGAGTTTGGCCTCGTGAACGATCACCTTCTGCCGTTGACGAACAAGCCAGAGCTAAAGTCGCACGACTTGGGAGCTATGCCCTCGATAATGGAGACGTCCGAACAATATGATCCATGGATTGAATGGGCCTACTCATGGTCGTCGCCTGATATCCATCAAAGTCGGATCGTGGTGCGACTGGATGAAGGGGGAGGCAATGAGCTGTGTATGCGGTTGGTGGGACCTACGTCCTTACCGTCGCTCTCCCCGATGACTCTTTTTTGGGACAGTTCGATCACATTTACGGTGACCTTTGAAGCAGCAGAGCGGGTGCCATTCGTGCCCTCGAGCAGTGTCGAAGACATGAGGGCGGCTACAGCACTCTATCTGCAGGCGACCAGCTCTCGGCCATGGAAGTCCGAGCCAGATTTTACGGCACTGTTCGCACCGGATCTGCATCATACGGAGCTGAAGGCGTGGCTGAATGCATACGAGGGATGTGACCCGGCCTTGGAAGTCTACTCGCGCGGCCACAACCCAGGGCTCATGGGCGTGGTTCGTGATCATTCGCATCACAAGGAACCATTACTGTTCCGGAGATGGCTTGTCTCCGACGAGAACCCGTCGTCTTCGGTCGTCGAATTGGAATGCGATCCGTTTCCGCGTAGACGCAATCTCCTGCATCGGCAGACGCTGGCTAAGAGCCAGGTGGATGTCGAGGAAGAAATCCCCGAGTCTGCAGCCAAGAGCCGCATTGTCGCTGCAGACGTGTGCACCATCGATCGGCTTCCGTTCACAATGGCGATATTCGGCCTGTTCATCTCCGTCATTGTAGAGCGGTTGGAGATCGAACTGATCGCCACCAGACTCAGAGAAACGATCCTGAGAGATGTCGGCTTTACGAGCACCCATCACATCATTACAGCGATCACCGCCCCTTCTGCTCAAGCATTGACCAATTACCAGCGGTACGAGTTCCTAGGCGACTCGATCCTCAAATTCTCCGTTTCCTGCCAGTTGTTCTTTCAGCACCCGAACTGGCATGAAGGGTATCTGTCCGAGGGCCGGGACGTGATTGTGCAGAATCCTCGCCTTGCCAAAGCCGCGCTTGACACGGGCCTTGACGCCTACATCATCACCAAGATGTTCACGCCGCGGAAATGGTCCGCTCCGATGATCTCGGAAAAGTTGGAGCGGGTGCCAGCCAAGCGCCGCCAGATGTCGACCAAAGTGCTGGCGGATGTGGTCGAGGCGCTGATCGGAGCAGCATACATGGACGGCGGCCACGCAACCGCACAGGCATGCATCCGCCGTCTCCTGCCCGAGATCAACCTGCACACGGTGGACACCCGAACCGCGACCCGGAGTGTGGCTCCCGAGAGCGCCCGGCATACGATGAACGAGAGGCTGAAACAGCACATCGGCTACACCTTCGAGGACGAGTCCCTTCTCGTCGAGGCCCTCACCCACCCCTCCTGCGACTACGACTCCACAACCCAGTCCTACCAGCGCCTCGAATTCCTCGGCGACGCAGTCCTCGACATGGTCATCGTCTCCGCGATCTTCCACCACCCCGTGCAACGCCCCCAAGGCGAGATGACCAAGATCAAGCACGCCGTCGTCAACGCGAACCTCCTCGCCTTCTTCTGCATGGAATTCGCCATCCCCGAAGAGAACCCCGACATCACCCAGACATCCAAGACCTCCTTCGCCGTGACTTCCTCCGAGGACTCCCTCGAGCTCTGGCGCTTCATGCGCTACCGCGGTCTCGACCTCAACACCGCCCGCGACGCCTCGCTCGCCCGCCACCGCGCCTTCCGAGCCGAGATCCGCTCGTCCCTGCAGCATGCCCCGGACTACCCCTGGCAGGCCCTCGCCCGGCTCAACGCGGACAAGTTCTTCTCGGATATCGTCGAGAGCGTCCTCGGCGCCCTCTTCGTCGATTCCGGGGGCGACCTTGCGCCCTGTACGGTCTTCGTCGAGCGCATCGGGCTGATGTCCTATCTGCGTCGGATCCTGGACCACGGCATCGACGTCACGCACCCGAGGAACGTCGCGCAGCAGTTGGCCAAGAGTAATATCCAGTTTCTGGCACGGCGGGTTCTGGGCGAGGAGGGCGGGGCGAGCTACCAGTGCTCCGTGCGGGTTGATCAGGTGGAGGTGTTTGTTGTGACGGGGTGCCTGACGGCGGAAGAGGCGGAGGTGACCGCGGCGGTGGAGGCGATCAGAATACTGACGCAGAGGGCGCGGGAAGGCTCTACGTTGCTCAACACGAGCTGAAGGTCCCAGTCATCCCGGTTGCGGGCGGAGATGCTGCCGGAATGTATGTGGAGACCACGATGAGTGAATGCCATTTGATGATGCGATGCCCAAAGAATACCATATGCTATAGTGCCCGTAGGTATAAATATAACCGAAGAATACAAATCACCCGCTCATCCTTTCCTCCTGTTCCCCTTTGGCCGTCCGCGGCCCGACTTGCCGCCCCCACTGGCCTCTGGTGTCTCCTGCTCCTGTGGCTGCTGATCAGCTTCATCCTGAGACTCCACCCCGGAACTCCGTGATTCAACCTGCTCATCCTCGCTCGTTGCGACCATAACCGCCTCGTCCGTTGCGTCGCCTGCCGAGTGCGAATCCGAGTCCGGCTTCGCGACCGATTCCCACGCTCCGTCCGCAGATCGGGCCTGATTCCGCATCCCCGCGAGCATCTTCTTCGCCTCGCTCTCTTCCCCGTTCCATGCCCCGCAGCTTCCGCACCGCCAGCGGCCGAGCTCTTCCAGAGTCTTGACGCCCGGCGGGGCTTGCCCGTTGACGAGTCGGCAGGTGGCGCAGATCAACGCCATCCGGTTCTTTGGTTGTGTCTCGTCCTCGCCGAGTAGGACATCTAGCAACCGGTCGTACCAGCGCGAGTGCTCGACATACTGCGGAGCGCTTGGAAACGCGTTGGGCGCAAAGCCGGGCTCGTCGAATGCAGGAGGGGGCGGTGGATGGAGGCTCCGCGGTTGTGGCTGTCCTTGAATCGGGTATGGTGGCGGAGACTGAGGCTGGCCGGGAGAAGGCACTGGCGATTGAGCCGGAGTTGGTCTTCGAATGTTCGCGGTCGGTGGGGGAGGAAGTCCGGTTCTCATGACGGGTTGTTGCGGAGTGGAAGGCTGCTTGCGTTTGGCGTCTGTCTTGCGTTTCTCGTCGCCGCCCTTGGGACGCGGCGGCTTGGGGGACTCTCCGCCATACTTTTCCAGCAGCTGTTGAGTCGAGTTGTATTTTGTTGCGACCTTGAGCTTCTCGATTGTCTCGTCTCGCTGTTTCTGTAGATCGTCGAGGTGTCGCTGGGTCTTGCTGATGCGGTAGTCGAAGAACTTGCTAGCTCCGGCTCGGACAGCGTAGATCCTGCTCAAGTCAGACATGACACACAGACTCGAGGTTTTCGTGGGAAATGTTCGTACAGGACTGGGCCCCCGATAATGGCAGCGTATTCCGTCACACCCCAATTCTGCCAGCCGAGAACGAGAGCTAGGATAATCGAGTAGAGGAGGTATGCAAAAGTGGTGTAGAGAGTCCAGAGAGCCTTGAATCGACGGGCATGCTGGCGGTGAAGGTCAAGTCGGTTCGTTGTCTGTGTTATCTTTGTGGAGAGGGCTGAGAGGGCTTTTTCGAAGGATGCTGGAGAATTGTCTTCGCCCTGCAATCGTGCAATAGTCATCAGTGCTCTGTCACTGCGCATTCAAGGAGGAGACACGGATAACTTACCTTCCAGGGCCACAGGGACACCATGACTGGCGGTTCCTGAATCGAAAGGAGGGAGTAATATCGATAGAAATCGGAGGATACTACCGCAAAGACATTCTGCGGTTGAAAGAGTGAGGAGACCTCGAATTCCAAGGTAGAGGTGATGGATGAGGAGGAAGGTCGGGATGTGTTCAGAGTGGAGGCTTGACAGGCTGCAATGACGATAATGAGGAAGTTGATCAGCAGCTTCAGCACGGACCACCCCCTCGATCTCCATTCCTCCCGACTGTCAACACTGCCAGCCATTCTGAGCTGAAGCATAAGAAACGAACGCAACATCAAACGTCTAAACTCCAAACAAAATGCTTCCTAGTACTACAGTGTATGAGACTTAATTTTTTTAGAAGACCTTATAATATACCTCTAAGGAAAGCTAGTAATTATATTATAGAGAATATTAGTAAGGGCTAAGTTATATAAGGAAAAGAAACCATCAAATACATGCAGAGCTACCATTGCCTAATAACATGACATGACATGCTTTTCATCAATCAGTGACACGTGATATGGACGTATTCCTCAGCTGGGTATATGTAAGGCAAAATCAACCAACATGACGAAAAGGAATCCAGAGAAAGATGGAAACTCCCTTAAACTTCTGGATCCCTTGTGAAAATAAACCCACAACACCTCCACTCATGATTGATGACAACAACTGACAATTCCATAAATGAGACCCGTCGGAACGAGTTGCTGAGGTAAGGTGCCAATGGTGAAGTGATGAGACGATAAAAGGACAGGGAAAAAGTTGTAGAAGTTCAGAGTTTCCCATGGCGTTTGAACCAGCCTCCAAACTCCCAGTGGCCGGGTTGGTAGGTGGCTGCGTTGCGGATGTCCTGGTTCCGAAGACCATCAAAGAGAACACCCAACCGGTTGAAGTTGATGGGTTTCATGATCCATCCATCAAAGCCGGCTTCAATGTACAGTTGTGCGTCCTTTTCAAGAAGTGATGCTGAGACCGCGAAGACGGGCACGCGGCCGTTCTTGCTCGCTTTTTCAGACAGCGGGACTTCAGAAGACTCTCGCTCGAACTGGCGGATCATTCTGGTAGACTCTATGCCATCGACGATCGGCATCTAACTGGGTTAGCATGGCTTGACTGCCTTGCTGGGGAAAGAAGTTAATTACCTGGATATCCATCAGGACAACATCGACGTTCGCAGAATCTCCACGAAAGGCAGTCGCACATTCTTTGCCATCCCCTGTGAGGACGACAGTGTGCCCCAGTTTACCTAGTCGTTTCTGCACGATCTTGCTGTTGATAGGGTCGTCCTCGGCAACGAGAACGCGTAGAGTAGGCGGTTCAGCGTCGGGGGCAGGTGCTGAGGATGGCTCAGCCGTGCTTGGCAACTGCCCCGAGGTCTCAGGTTGGCTCGGCAAAGCTTTGTTCGGGGGTGAGGGTGGCCGCTCCACGTCTGCTGGTGGAATGCGTATCGCTGTCAATGGAACTCCAGAGTCGGTAACGGGTTCCTGGCCAGGCAAAGGCGGGGAGACTGGAGGCATCGTCGTGCGTGCCGTGCTCGGAAAGGGAAAAGCTTGTGTCACCGGCCATTGTTGCGGACTCGATGTGTCCTTAAGAATCGGAAGAGACTGAGTAGACGTTGCGTGTTTGTTGCCCGCGCCGCCGTGAGTGCTCTCCACTGGTTTAGGACCTCTCCGCTCAGATCCTTCGCTGGTTGTCCGTTCCAGTAGAGGGGATTCCTGCATGGCGCTAATCAACCGATCAGCTTCACTTCTGTTGCTCCTGCCGCTGCGGGAGCTATTGTAACTCCCCCCGCTGCGATTGCTGCCGGTACTTTGCCGCCGCCCACCGCTTTGAGTGGACTTGCTGTCGACGAGCATGAACTCACGTTCCACCTGAATCGGAACCGCTGGTTCCACGGTTTCGAGCACAGGCGGCTCTTCCGGTTTAGCGGATGCCGCGTCCTCCGAGACTGGGAAGTTGAGTGAGATCTTGAAACGGCTGCCCTTGCCCTCCTCCGACCGAACACTCAGCTGGCCGTGCATGTTGCGAACAATTCGAGCCACCAACGCCAGACCCAAGCCCAGGACACGTTGATCCTGGCCGCCTGGGCCGGGCAAGCGTGCCTGGTCTTCCGGATCGAAGTAATAGCTGTCATCCTCTGGAGAAACTTGCTCAAGCTCTTGGAACAAAGCCTCAAGAGTGCTCTGAGACATTCCTGATCCCGTGTCCAAAACAGTCATTTGGACCAGCACGCAACCCGGCTGCGCAGGCTCGGAAGAACGCCAAATCTCAGTGGTCACGCTGCCTGCTGTTGTATGCCGAACCGCATTGGAAATGAGATTGGTGAACACCTGACGAACACGACGTTGATCGCCAATGACCGCTGGGGGAAGTCCAGGGTGCGTCACCACTTTGTAATCGATCTTCTTACGCTTGGCCTCTCCCTCAAACATATCAGTTGCTTCTCGGAAAGTGACTGGAAGATCAAATGTTTCGTCTTTGATGAGTTTCTGGCCCTTCTCCGTGTTGGTCAAATCTAGAAGGTCGTTGATGACATAGATCAGAGATTTGGATGCAGAGTAGGACTTCGTAAGGTTATCGCGGGTCTCCGCGTCTAAGGAGCCTTCCAAAGCGATTTCCAGATAGTTGATGACAGCATTCAGCGGCGTGCGAACTTCGTGGGCCGAGTTCGCGAGGAGGAGCCGCGTCAATTGCGAGTTCTCCATTGCCGCTTCCTTTTGCCGCCACACTTTGATGAATTTGCCATAGACGAGACATAACACGGCTGCCGTCTCGACGTCCGACTCGGTCCACTCTCGAGACTGATCCAGGACTGTTTCTCGCCAGGTTTGGAAACTCTTGCGCGGTTCCAGATGGCCATCTTGCAGTTTCTTTTCATATGGGTTGCCGGCCCACTTGATCTCCGTAAGATGTCCCCGACGGAAGAAGACCATGTAATCGGTGCCACCGGGAGACAAAGGCACATAGAGCATGCCGGAGATGTGCTTGAAACCCGGGGGATAAAACAGATCCGGAAAGTCTTTGGTGATGTGCTGCGAAGCGACCACGGAATTGATCTGTCGCATCTTGAGGTATTCCAGCAAAGCCAAGATTTCCTGCGAGTGCGTCATCTTTCCCAGGATCTTCGTCTCATCACGGATTGAGAGAGCACCGTAGTCGGCGTCAAACAGCTTGAGGAGATCGTCCGAAGTAGCGATGATGTACCCCGAGGGATTTTGGTCGGTCGGGACGGTATTGATCAGTTTGCGAGCTTGGAGGCGGGATGCGTAAGACAGCCGTTCGATATTCCGCGACACGGTGTCGCCAATCAACCGACACATCTTTCGCACCGGAAACGAGACTCTCATTCCGTGAGTCCCGTAGGTGTGACATGAGATGAGACCCCACAGCTCGTTGAACCCGCTGATACTGATAGACATAGACGCACGTACCCCCATATTTGCCAGATACTTGATATGAATGGGCGACATTGCACGCAGGTAGGAATGCGTCATGTCGACAGGCGTTTGCAAGTCCTCCAGAGTCCGGCAGACTAATCGCGATGTGATCTGATCGCGATCATACAGCAAGCGGACTTTGTTGATTCGATACAAGTCGCGCGCTTGCTTCGGAATATCAGAGGCCGGAAAGTGGAGTCCTTTATACAGGTCGACGCTCGCTTTGGGATCAACCAGTTCAGCAACAACAGTTCCGTTCCAGTTGGTATCGAACTGATAGATCATAACCCGATGGAAACCAGTCAACTCTTTCACCAGACCAGTGGCGGTGTTCAACAAGGAATCCAACGACTTGGCTCGAGCCAATTGATCCTGGACCTGAGACAAAATGCTGAACACTTCCATTGCAGCGGCCTCACCACGTCTCCGACGCGCGTTTCGCAGCACTCGCAGGGGTTGACTGATATTGACCGTGCTGTGCTCAAGTTGCTCGGGCGTCGGTTCGACTCTAAGAGTATCGGTCGGCGTCATCGGGGTGGTCAGACCAGAAACACTCAAGGGATTGATTCGGTCGTCCTCCAGTTCGAATTCGCAGATGACCAAATTCGAGTCGGCTGGGCTGAGATGGGCGGCGCACCAGAATCGTCGAGGTTTATCAGAAGGGAGCTTCAGGGACAAAAGGAAAACCTCGGGGCCATCGACGGAAGGATCGTATCCATCCTCGCGGACGAAATCAAGGTGGTCTAATAGACTGTCGGCCTGATCTTCATCCAAAATGTCACAGAAGTTTTGCAATGCAAAGAGACTCTTGGGTGTATACCCAAGGATGAGCTCAGAGTTCTCGCTGGCTACACGGACCGTCAACGTCCCGTCAATTTCCTCCCGCAGCACAATGAAACAACCAAAACTCTGCACCGCACCAGGGATATGGATCGGTTCGTCTTCGCACGATTGGAACGAGTCGTTGTCTCTTCCGGTGATGACCGTATGACCACCATCGGTCACTACATGACGAAATCGGGCAGTAACAAGACCATGCTCAGGATCGACCTCTGCATCCTGGGTCTTGGACAGAGGAGAACCGGGAGCCGACGCGTTACTGAGGCTGTGAGGAGGGCCTTGGTCGGGTGGATTGGATGAACCTGCAGTATCCGGTGCAGACGGAGAGGGCTCAATGGCGACAGGATCATCTGTAATTGTTTTCGGTTGCGACCACATTTGATCCCAGGTCTCGGCATCGATGATAGACCATTCCCGTGCCCCGGTGGCGGGTGAGCTCAAACTACTCTGCGTCTGCTGTTGCGGCTGAGAGGCCGTTGAGGGATCAACAGAGATGACCGACCGGATCGGATACACTCGGTCTGCGCTCCCGAAGCTTGTGGCACGCCCCAAGCCTGACTGCGCTGTGTGAGTAACGACGCTCTCCTCTCCCGCAGCCCCTGACGTGGTCTCGGTGGGATTCTCATTAGTCTTCTGCCTCGTCGGAGAGGAGGCATCAGCGCTCGATGCCATCCTGGACGATAGTGTAAAAACGAAACGCGGCAACCGATGTGACTATACCGACATTTGGCGAAATGGTTGTTTCGTTGGCAGGCGAACTCGATTTCACGTCCACCTCGTGTATTCCGGATTGGCGCCTGCCCCTCTTTCACAGTATCCGCCGTTGAGGCTATTCTAGCTCGAAAAGCAGCCAAAAGTGGACGGTGCGGTCGATTCCGAGGGCGAATCTTTGTGGGAAGGGTCAGAAAAATTGTAGTCGCGGAGGCCCCTTGAGAATGAATGCGGGGCACGTGGGAGGAGGAGCTCTGAAGACGGCAGAAAAGAAACAGTTAGCGACGCTTAACAAAGTAGACGGGTGATATAGCTGTACCGAGTTGAACAATATCTGAGTCGAAGCATACGTTGCGCGATGCAAGCGAGAGGTGAGAAGATATATTCCAAGAGGGTGCACTGCGGATTGCGCGCAGGAGAATATGAGCAGAGGGTGTATCAATTCCAAGAGAACCAGAAGCTCATAGTTACAAAGGCAGTGGCTCCTAAAAAGCAGTAAATTAATGGATAGATCTGCGCACACTCACGGTCTTCCTCCAACTAACTCTGGACTGTTGGAGTAGTAATGCCGAGAACCTGAGGGGCAATCCCCATTGAACCAAGCTGACGGGACTGCTTACGCATTTGCAGCGGCAGACCCTGGATGCTTGTCTCCATACAGGACCACCGACACTTGGCCTGAAGACGCAGTGGGGAGATCTCACCGTTACCTACCTCCAATAACTTCATAAGGTAAGGCACCAATGTGGAATTTTTTTCCCCGAGCTCTGTCATCCAATGATCGTGTGGCTGTGGAGCCTTCCTTTTACGGTTAGTGCCTCATGCGCCACTTCGCTCAGACTGCGCGGCAAGTGGCAACCCGCCAATCAGCATTTCCCGCCACTCTACAACAACTTGGTGCCTGAGGCGTCTGCAATCTAGTCCTAAGCGAAATCTGAAGCACACGAAGGGGTAAGATGAGCGCCTCAGGCATAGCTCAAGTCACTCAGTGCCCAGCACATATCCATACCAGCAAACGACTCGAACGTTCCCCTGCGTTGTTGGCCTTACAACTTTGGGCACACTTTACTACAGTCTCCTGCAGATCCTCCGTCCTAAGGGATAGTATGCATCATCGAATTCGTCAGTGCGGCGAACTCTCTCATGGATGACATCATCTACTCTGAAAGAGATTCTCCTACGAGTACGGATACACTAACGGATGAAACACTGGGGTTGATAAGAACGGCGCCAAATACTGATTATGGCATCATTGCGAAGCCACAATTTCCCAGGAACCACTAGACTAGCCTTCGTCTGCTGCACATTTGCATCACATCCATCGAAGATCACTACAGATGCACAGCACATACCGAATACTGAACGCCACAGATCACCCCGTTGTCCTCGCCTCCCCATACGCCGATTCTCTCTGCACCCGCGCCGCTTGATCCTGCACCGGTCGAGCATCCATGTACGTCCGCATCTCCACCGCGATAAGCCGTTCCTTGCCCTCTTCGCCGCCGTCGGAGTGTCCGTCGGACTGTGAGCCAGACATCTCCAGCTCGAGAACGTTAAACTCCTTCACCCGCACCTCGAACCGATCCGGGTCATTACGAAAGACCGCGCCGCTCGTCGCCTCGAACATCACCGTCCGGGCATGGTTCCCCGTATCCGTTCGTGCAATATCCCACGCCCGGTGTACGTCGTGGTGGAAGCGCTGGAGATGTCGCTGTCGGACATCGAGGAGGCCGATCACGTCTGTGCCTTTGTTGGGAGGGCTGCTGCCGACGAGGATACGGGCGTCGGGGTGGATGAATGGGGACACGGGGTTTGCGCTTGGATCGAGTGAGTCCAAGGCTGGGAGGAAGTCTTTGAGGAACTGGAGTCCCGGCGGTGCGGTCGAGGGAATTGACTCGTAGGGGCCTTCGTGGATGTAGACTTGCTGCATGGTTGATGTAGGTTGTTCGTAGGGTTTCTCTACTTACTGACAGGGTGAGTAAGTTGTGGTGGCTAGGGAGTGCCACCAGCGTGGCGTGGTGCCCAGGTGAATCACGGCTCTCCCGTAGGTGACGGCAAATGACAAAAGTTCATGGATTAGAATACAGGACTCGTATCAGGCTCATATCAGGCTCATATCTATAAAGTCGACCATAATATACAAGTTTAAGATATATCTCCTCAAATCAATGTACACAATGTGCCAAGGGCACGTTTTCCAGGTCGTCCCCCGGATAGTACGGTAGATAGTACAAGATGGGGAATCATTGCTGGAGGTGTAAAAGGTGTGTTCTGGCCGTAATCGTCATTCGACGGCCAAGGTAGACGGCTAAGCTCCGTACAGGGCGCGTCGGCCAGGTGCGGCCGACTGCTTGAATCTCCAAGTCTGGCTGAGCCAGTAGTGATTGCAAGGCTGCGGTTGATACCAATAACCCGGAATGTGGATGTATTGGAAAAGGACACCGTCCTACCCATTTAGGAGGGTGAGATAAACATTTAGTGCGTATTTTCGATGGTTAATAACAGAATATGCAGTGTCATGGAGGTTGGGTACGTTCAAAGTGTCGACTGTTCCGCTCTGATCGAACAAGGCTGTCGAGTGAGATTGCATCCCACTGGCGTGACGAAGTTCGTTGATTGACCGGCGCTGCGTGTGTGACATCACCAGTGATTTGAGTTGGGTCGACGAAGGTGGGATACTCCTCGATTTCGGTGGTACTCGAGACTTGAGGAGCATGGACAAGAGAGACAAGCTTCCTCAGTACACCAAACTCGAGCTTGAGCTTGACACTGTATACCGCCGCCTTGAGCGTCACCTGGAGGGTGTAGAGACCAAGATACTCCAAGACCAGAAGAGCCACGTCCAATAGCACCATCACAAGGTTGATAGCAATCAACTCATACATGATCTTGTTCCGGCTCGATGCTTTGTCCGGCCGCAGCCGGAGCAACTTGATGGTCTCCACGATATAGATTCCAGAAATGAACATTTCCTGGGCTGTGAACCAGGAAATCTGCATTCGCTCCACAACATTGTATCCTCGAATAACGGACTGAGTGCCGACGTAGACGGTCAGGAAGTTGAGGACGGTCGTTGGAATCAGCAGGATGATGGAGTCAATGATGATGAGGTAGAGAACGCGCCGAAGAAGTTTCTGATTCTGCACCACCAAATGAAGTCGAGAGTACAACACAAAAGACTGGCCTGGCACCATGAAATAGAAACCAACAGTGGCAATGGACACGGCAAGGCCAACGGGGCCAATACGAAAGAATTGCAGCAGATGGCCAATTGCATGGGGCATGACCCCAAGGACACCCGACAGTAAAAGAGACCAAAAGTAGAGGCCACTGTAGCGATTGAAAGTGAGGAAAATGAGAATCACGAGCTCAATGACATTGTAAAGAGCGATCGAGTTAAACACCACCACCAAAATCCGAACGGCCAGACTGTGGATCTGAGGGTTGGCCCCAACACCCTCAGGAAGCTCACTAATGGAGTTCAGCATGGTGAAACGAGTACCGCCTGCGTAAAGAGCGTTGGAAGAGAGGTTGCTGAGAAGGAACGACGACCTAAAACGACGGGGCTGAGAAAGTCACGGCAAATGAGGCGATGATATCGAGAAAGATTGTTGCACCAGGATTCCAGATATCACAAGTCGGTCTGGAATCGTGAGGTAGAGCGCCATATTATTTCCAGAGCCACCCTTCAGATCGAATCCGCAATTTCCCGTGTGTCAGGACCAAGTCGCTGATGGTCTTATTTCCACGATCACCACTCGCAATTGCATCTCCTGTGTTGACCGATGCTGAAGCTCACTGCAAGTCAAAGGGAGACCTCAATCGATCAGCCGGTCAAACACCAGGAATAACTGCTGCGAAACCTAGATTTCCTGACTAGGGAACGGCTTTCCGGATTGCCAAATAGCGGGATAACGCGGTGGCAACAGGATGAACAGCCGCGGCGACGTCTCCTCCGAAGAAACCGATCAAGGGAGGAGAGGTGGTAAAACAACAAAGACACTGGCTGGTGAGAGTAAAAAATACAAGCACAAGGGGATAAACGAAGAAGTTCAGGAGGAGACAAAAAAGTGAAGGGAAGTTGGAAGGAAACGAACGCATGGGCCGCGTGCGGGTCTGGGGTTCGAGAGCCATTTTTTTCCCCTGCCCTTTTCTCTGCTTTTCTCGCCCTTGAGGCGATTCGATCATTTTACATCAAGACCGAAAAAAAATTATGGGGAAGAATGGGAGGCGGGTTGGCACTAAACCCGATAAGGCAGGATGAACGCCTCATGTAGCCTGAGGCAGCAAAGTCCAAATAGCGAGGTCGGCGAAATCACCGGATTGAAACTCGAATGGCTCACTCTGAACCTGGGGACTGGAAGACGCGATCCAAGAGTTCGCTTTCATTTATTCTTGTGCTGCTCGTTGATTTGCCTCCTTTGGCATACCCATGGTCGCCTGTTCCGTGGTGTCGGGTGCCCAGTGTATGAGGTCCAGATAGTCCACGGTTCTGTCGAGTGTGGCTGAGTCAACAGTATTTTGCTGCGGCTGTTGATTGACCAAAAAGCAGTAGCAATGCTTTCAACGTTTAGAAGCGTCTTGGGAGAGTTGACGAGATGTCCAGAGAAAAAATGAGCAAATCAATGTGGGCTCCCAGGAGAGTGACTGGAGTCAGGTGACCTTCGAGGCGATACAGATCTCTTTACAGGGAGGAATTCAAGAAAAGTCTTTGACTTCATGAGGACAATGTTAGTTGCCGCCATCGGAAGATCTGGGTCTCTACTCTCTAATCTAGTCTGTCCTGCTTCAAGTCGGAGCCTCGAACCCTCTCTAGATCGACTCGACGGACCTCCACAGTAGATACTATGCACTATGGAGTATCCTCCCCACTTGGAGAAGTTTCCACTTTTCTTGGTTTCTTTGCCAAGTAATGAGTCGTGACCCAACTACAGTAGTACTTTCGGAAAAACTCTTTCATTGTTTCCTGAACCCTAATGCCAAGGAATGCTAAACTACTTTTGGAATAATCAAAATAATCTGCCTGGTTTAAGCCATGTACTGTAAATTACTCGATCATCGTATTAGCCTTGCCGGTGTTTATTACCTGTCATAGCTTGACAGCTACAGGCACTGGGTGCTGCCTCTGCAGATGTTCGCACGTACTTACATTTACATCGATGCCAGACGATCCCATAAGCAGGTATGCAGTTTTGTCTCGAACCAGCTTTATGTCCGAAAGACATCGTCGATGTCCACCTTCACCCCCCTGAAGTCAGATAAGATGAGCCGGGATACAGATGGATCCAGCGAATCTCGAACATCGACCATAAGACCCAGCAAGTCTCAGTACAGGCTTATTGAAGACGTTGAAGACCTGCACAGGTACCGCCCCGGAGGATATCATCCTCTACAAATCGGGGACGACTTAGATGACGGCCGATATCGACTGGTCGGCAAACTTGGGTATGGAGGATACTCGACTATATGGCTAGCCCGTGACCTACGAAGGGCCAGATATGTGGCAGTGAAGGCCATTACCGCTGATGCCAGTACTTCCACGCCTGAGGCTAGTCTTATATATTCTCTTGGGAACTCGCCACCTAGACCGGGAAGAGAAACTTTTCCACCCCTCTTCGACGAATTCTGGGTTGCTGGTCCCAATGGGAAGCATAGATGTATCGTCACTCCACCAGCACGTATGAGCTTGTTCGATGCCAGAGAGGCATCGACTGTTGGTCTCTTTCGGCCCAAGGTCGCGCAGTCGATTATCGCCCAGCTCATTCGTGGCGTCGCATTCCTTCACAGTCAAGATATTGTACACGGCGGTATGTGATGCTTATAGATGAGCCTAACTGGATTCGCTAGCTGACTCCAATTCTCTAAGACCTTCATCTAGGCAACGTTCTAGTCCAGTTTCCCAAAGCGATCGATAGTTTTTCCACGTCAGAGCTGTACGAGAGATTCGGAGAGCCAGAGTCCGAAGCTGTTGTTCGTCTCGATGGCAAGCCATTGTCGAATAGCGTACCCGCGCGTGTATTCATTCCCGGCTGGTTTGGCGTTCGCAGCGATGATATTGTTCTTGGAGAGGAGAAGATCATCCTTAGCGACTTTGGAGAATCTTTCAACCCACACAAAACGGTCAGGTTCTCCTCGAAGACCCTTCCTCTCCTCCAGCCACCCGAGGCCAGATTCTCTGACGAGCCGCTGTCCTTTGCCTCGGACATTTGGACGCTTGCCTGTACCATCTGGGAGATTTTTGGCCAGCGGCCTTTGTTTGAGGCTTTTTTCCCAAATGCAGACCGTGTCACCGCGGAGCAAGTCGAAGTCCTCGGCATCTTACCTCCTGAGTGGTGGGGAAAGTGGAGCAGAAGACTGGAATGGTTCAACGAAGAGGGAGAGTTGGATTTGAAGAAAACGTCTAGGGGCCACGATGGCGTGCGCATGTCCTGGGACCAGAGGTTTGACTACTGCGTACAGGAGCCTCGGGCTGAGGCGGGCCTGGAAACCGTGACGGAGAAAGAGAGGAGGGCGTTCAAGGCGATGCTTCGGTCAATGCTGGCCTTCCGGCCGAAGGAAAGAGCGACAGCACAACAGGTTTTGCACTCGGAATGGATGAAAGACTGGGGACAACCGGCTCTTGAAGAGAGCTGGAGTACTTTGAATCCTGAGATGAAAGAGAAATAAAAGATTCCGCACAAACTTGTCATCGACTCTAGGATAAAAATGACTATAGCAATATTCGAAATCAGTTTACCAATTGTTTCCTACCATCGATCATCCATACACAAATGAGACACGAGGTATGTAACGTATTTTTGTAAATATCTGTATTCGTAATATATGGGGAAATTGATATCCCGGTAAGTTTCCCAATACAGACTAGTGGGTATTGGCATTAGGGTTAGAGAAACAATGAAAGGGTGTAGGTGGTGACACCGATTTCCGAAACACCATGCATCTACGGCCAGCCAGGTCGCAAGATCTGCGCTTAATTGCAGACGTGGCTGCACAAGCCATGCTTGAAGATGAGCTCTTCTCATACCTCTGCCCTGGCGGAAAGAGTTTTACGCCGATTATCGCCAGAGCTTCCTGCGCAGACTCCGCACCAAATTTCTGTCTCCAGGCTGGTTGATCATCGTTGCGGTCGAGGATGTCTCACCGGTCGCGGACAGCGCCAAGGTCTCATCATTAATTATGGGTTACGCTGTCTGGGAACGCATTTCGGTGGGAGCGGAGAAGTCCACGAAGCAATGGAGGGAGACGGAGCAGACAGGATGGTGGAATGGTTTGTTCGATCCCACTCGACCTAAGAACCCAAACAGGAGAAGAACACCACTAATTACCGGCTCTCTGTCTCTTCCAGTTCTCAAAGAACAGTTCCTGCACCTGACCGACCGTTGCGTCTCCCGTCTATATCCTGACCGCAGTGTCGACAAAGCTCGCCTAGCGAGCTACAACGCTCTGACGACAGAGTGCTTTCCATTCTCTCACTTTACCGAGCTATGGTATCTAGCCGTTTTGGCGGGTAGTCCCGAATATCGACGGCGAGGGATTGGTCGAAGTTTGGTAAATTGGGGTCTAGAACAAGTTGGCCGGGAGGTTACGCCTGTTGGCCTCGAAGCCAGTGCCAGAGGAACATGGCTTTACGAGAAACTGGGATTTGAGACTGTGAACGAGGTACAACTTGTGCAGGGCATCATAATGAGGGCAATGCTCTGGGACAATCGACCGCCGGCAAATCAGCGAGACTCGGAGCTCCAACCCTCGGAATTCAATTCCGGCGTCGATGCATATTTACACACCGACAATGAGCCGGTCATGAATAATATCCGTCTACGGCCACTACCATTGTCTTGATTACCAACTGACAGCTGACTGACCCTAGGGCGTCCCTCAAGCTGATTTGACATAGGCGGCGCCGCCGGCTGTGCTCTCGCGGTCAATCTAGCTCGCTCGACAAACCGTCCTCGGGTCCTGTTATTGGAAGCAGGCGTGCGGAATGATAACAAGTCCCTGCGGGTGGACGGTCAACGATGGATCACCTTCCTGAACAAGGAGATGAACCGGGGATATAAGACTGTACCCCAGGATCACCAACGGCCGCCAAATCGACTACTCAAGCGGCAAAGTGCTGGGCGGTAGCACTGCCATTAATTTTGGAATCTTCGCCGTGGGGCCTCGGAACGACTACGACAAGTGGGCGGCTGTTGTCGGAGACGAGTTGTATAAGTGGGATCGCATGCAGCCGCGATTTCGAAGCTTGGAAACTTTCGATAGCACAATTTTGGAGCCGAAGAACGCAAAATATGCTGCTCCGAAATCTTCAGACCATGGATCCCAAGGCGCTCTGCGAGTAGGCTTTGCTTCAGAGTGGGAGCAAGACCTACCCTTGATTCTGGATATTTTCGAGCAAGCAGGCCTTGTTCGTAATCCTGACCATAACTCGGGCAATCCGATCGGAATGGCTCTGGTTGTCAATTCGGCCAACAAAGGAAGGAGAATCACTGCAACCGACCTGTTGGACACGGCCCCGGAGGATCTAAAAGTCATCACCGAGTCCCCAGTGCAGAGGGTTGTCCTCGAAGCGAAGAAAGCGATCGGGGTTGAATGCAATGGCAAACAATGCAAGTCTTCCCAATTTGACCTCTCAGCGCCTTTGAGGGATTCTCTGCAGATTACGCTTCGAAAAGTGTCATTCGAGTAATCATTAGCGTGGATGAGCGGGTCGAGGCGTATGCATCCATTTAGACGTCAGCACTAAAGCTGCATGCATCTTCCCCACTTGCAGCCAAACATCTAATAATGTCTAACAGGTAATCAAGGGAGGGGGACTGTCGATCATTTCAAGACATTCTTTACCAGCCATCACCCGCACAGTTCGAGCACTGCCTACCACATGCAATGACCACATATTGCTCGAAGCTGTAAGCTGTCCTGTCTCTTGATGTCCATGAAATTTATACAAACAGCATCATGAAGGTCATCATCGCTGGCGCGACTGGGTTCGTGGGACAAGAGGTCCTTTCACAGTGCCTGGCCCATCCCTCTATCACTTCTATTGTTGCCCTGTGCCGCCGTGAACTGCCCATCACACATCCCAAACTCCATGTCCACCGCATGAAAGACCAGGATTTTCTCTTCTACTCAGACCCCCAGCTCTCTGCCTCTCTCCGAGGCGCAGACGCTTGTATTTGGACGCTAGGCGTTACTCCCTCGCGCGCTTCGGATGAACAGGCCTTCCGGCGGGTGACACTGGAGTATACCAGCCAGGCCGCCAAGGCCTTCAACAATGCCTTTACTGCTTCAAATGAGGCAGGGCAAGAAGCCTCCGCCGGCCCAAAATTTCGTTTCGTGTATTTCAGCGGCGGAATGGCTGAGCGCGACCAGTCGAAACCTCTGTGGTTGAATGCGGGCTATCGTCGTGTGAGGGTATGAACCCCCTCCCACTTTCTTATATTCTGCAGATAGAGATTGACCACCCAGGGTCAAGCTGAGAATATCCTGCTGGAGCAGGCAGCTGGTCACTCCGCCACATTTGAGTCATACATCATGCGCCCGGGCATGGTGCTGAGTCGACAGGGGACGTTTGCCGATCGCGTCCGGGGTCTGGCACCCTCAGTGCGGGTGGACGTGTTGGCGCGGGCAGCGGTCGATGTCGCCGTTCAGGGACATTCGGAGAAAATCTGGGAGAACGCCCAAATTACTGAGTGGAAGGGTGTTGGTGGTCAACATGGTTAATTATATTACTGTCGTACCGATCGATCGCAGCCTGAGACTGGAGAGGTACGTATTTCATATGCTTTTGAGCTAGCGACTATACTGAATGCTTTCGCAAAGGAACCAGCTGATAAATACTGCGTGAATAGTTAGCAACTGAGCTGAAGCGATGGATATCGGATGAATTGGAACATACGAAAGTCGAAATTAACCCATGGTTGTAGAGCATCTATTCCATTCCCAATGTCTCCAGGAGCATTAAGCAAGGAGTTCTCAAGCGTAGTTTGTCCCAATGAGATGAACACAGATGCTCCAAAGTTCTGAGAGAACACCACAAGAGCAGTCCCAATGGAGATCAGCTCCGGCGGCAGGCTCGCCTGTATGGCTGTGACGGGCTGTTGCGCCATCATAGGGGTAAGTTTGTGTCATTGATGTCGAATGAGAGGGTTGCTTACCGAGGAAACCGCTGCCAACCGTGGAGAGCGTAGTGGAGATGACCGATGGGAAATAGTAGACACCGCTCATCAGCGGAGAGACATCCTTGAAGGCTTGGAACCACATCGGGAGGTAGGTTATTATCACGTAGAGACCACCGTACGACATGATCCCCAGCACAAGAGACGGCCGATTGTCGCAGGAGTCCGAGCTTTCTGTCTCCGGACAGTATGGAAACTCCTCCAATACATCTTAGGTTTTGTAAAACCTGGCCTGGATCTGCAGATAAGAATAATTTTATCCTATTTATATAATTATGTTGCAGGATTAGGAAGTAAGATGGTGCCTGAAGCTTTGCCTAAAGCATAAGGACTTGTAAGTTTGTGTAAAGGTCAGAAAATTAGAGATGTACCTAAGTAAAATCTTACACCACTATGTAAGGATGCTCTCTCCCTAGAGACTGGATTTTCTGGGGTTTGGGGATATTGACTATTATGGTTTTGGGTAGTTATAAGGGTCTTAATCCTAGAAAGACCCTCTTTATCAGACTCTGTTGCCGCGGCAGACAGTTTTATAGAAGACTCTGGTGCACATGGTTCCCTGGGAAGCTGAGGATATTGCAGCGGGCTGGTTAGCCTCATAGGTTCGGACGCAGGAATATCCATCAACCTGTTTTCCAAATGCATACGGTCACCTTGACATGCGATTTCAACACCCTGGTGGGATTCTTGACCACAGAAGTAGGAGTTAAACCGACGAAGACGGGACTGCAACCATTTTAGAGCCATTGCTGCAAGTTAGTCAATGCAGCCATGTAGGGGGTAGCTACGACGAAGCTGGATATCTTTATACGAGGTTGAATACACCTTGCTTCGGGAATGAGTGATAAAGCCGCATGAACCAGTAGAGAAGTACAGTTCACATTAGCTTGAGCGATGATCTGTACACCAGTCGTAAGTGACTGGTATCTGTTTCATTCATTATGAAGCAGCAGGTAGCTCGCCCGCTAATCTACAAAGACAAAGACGCATGCAGATTACACCTTAGACAAGGTCTATCGCCACGACAGTTTTGAAGAACGGGTGATACAGAGAACTGCCATGGGTGAATGTCGTTGGGCGCCTCTGGTGAGGTCATGTGGCATTCATTCAGAGCAAAGAAGTTCGCCTTGTTATTTGTTAAGAAGGAAGAAGTATGCAAGTGCCTCAAGAGTACAGTTTGGAAGTGCTTAAGCAGAATTTGTCAGTCTTTACTTCTCTTTTTCCGTTCTCGGGTGATGTCTTTGGCACCAAAGAGATTTGCCAACTTGGCTGGCGAGTTTCCGACCAATAATTGAAGAACGATCAACAAACATGCATTGACCCTCTTACCCAAGCTTAGAATTCCATGCGTTCAACATCGCGGGATATCTGCTTAAAAGGGCGATGTAGTCCTATCTTCAGATCAAACAAACCACTTTCATCTGATTTTTCGAGAGCTTTAAGAATCAAACCAAACCCGGTATTGTGCATCACACCTCACTTATTCGGAATTGACTAATGGTGAGTTAGTATTTAAGGCTTTGTGCCAACCCCCCTTAATTCATGGTTAATTCAATTGAACTGCCTTTCCTGCTGCCATGTCCTCCCCTTTTCTCGATATTCAAGGCAATCCGATCCCTCAGGAGCAGGTTCTCGGGAGTGGCGGCTCTTCAGTAGTTCTCCTTCATAATGGTGTGGCCGTCAAAACTCCTCTAAGATATCTTTGGAGCTCAAACGCCGACGTCAAAGCGAACGTTGCGAGTCTCAGACGCGAACAGGATGTCTATCGTCGCTTGCAAAACCCTGGAGATGAACGCTCTGAAGGTGTTGTCCGTTGTATTGGATTTTCAACTGAAGCCACGCAGCTGGCTTATATGGTCAATGGAGATCTACGGGCATATCTTGCAAAATGTCGCCCGTCTCACCGGCTGCAACTCAAATGGTTCAATCAGATGGCTCGCACGCTTAGTTATATTCATGACAGGCGTGTGCTTGTTGCAGATATCGCCAGTCGAAATTTTCTTCTTGATTCCGATCTGTCCCTCAAAATCTGCGATTTCTCAGAAGCATCTCTCCTTCCAATGGATTCTGATATGGAGGCTGTGGATGATAATGGATTCACGATCCGAATTGACATTGGCCTCCTCGGAACAGTCATGTACGAAATTGTCACTGGCAACAAGTGTGAAATCGATCTCTTCAAAGATAACTCTCCCACCGACGGCCGAGCTCATTGGCCAGAGAGGAGGTTCCTACCAAGTACACGGGGAATCTGGCTTGGCTGGATCATCGAAGGCTGCTGGAACGGAGAATTTTCCAGCACTCACAGCCTCCTGCAGGCATTAAATTCTATCAGCCCACGCCGCTTCCCATCCCCAGCTGCTGGGTCGCGCACTTGTCACTTCCTGGTCTCTATCAAGGACACTATGAGAGATCGACCTATTACGACTATTATTGGAGCCTTGGGTTTGGCAGTGTTTATTCTGATCGTAGGAAGAAAAGCATTCTTGAAGTCACGGGGCCTCCGTCTTTCTTTATGATCTATTGTTGTTATGTTTTCTATAGTAAGCAGCATTGTCAATTTAAACCTACACAATCGCCTCGGGTTCGAATATATTTGATCGTTCGGTTTCTTTACTTTCATTAAAGCGGATAGGCACAATGGCGAGGACTCCTGCGTTTCAAGAAAGGCCTTTGACAATCCTGGAAGCGGTATTGATACTACCTCTGGTTTGGAGAGTAGAGCATCGACATCAATTCTTCCATTTCCTTGAGCATTACCGCAGGCTTCGGACAGAGCCTCGATTATCACTTTGCTTTCAGATAGTCGCATGACAGAAACCGTAACAGGTACGCAACAGATGGACTTCCTTGTAATGCAGAGAAGGGCTCCAGGACACGGGGAGGTGAGAGGTCAGGGCGTGAATCACGTGGATCATCACATCTTCCTTGATTGCGCAAGTTGTGTTTATCTTGAATTACGGCGGCTACAGGTGGCCGCTAATTGGAACTAGTCGAGATCCTTGCTGGATGCATGGTACTTCTACGGAGTGGTGAATCCGTACTCTGTGACCGAGTCAGTTGACGACAAAGGATCCTGATGGCCTATGATTTGCAGCTGCAATTAGTTGTGGAATAACAATGTACGGCAGGATGGCACTGGTGGTTCTGGAAGGAGTGAAGATGTGTCGGTCGTCGAAACCCCTTACCCGGTTGAACAATGTTGCCGAGGTTTGGGCCTTCAAGAAGGTTGGCGCACACTGAACAGGCTGCATCTCAGCCGATTAATAATTTACTGTATGATCTCAACAGTGTGTCCAAGCGGTAGTTATCAAGCCACGGACTATGTGAAGCTGCAAAGCCTGCTTTGATAAATAGCACTAGATAGTACTTTTGTCAAAATTACACGAAGGGGGGATAGTAACTTAATAAATGCCTTACCATGTGTCGACGAAATCCCACGGCGAAAGTGTGAAAGACGCGCGTTGACTCGAAATAACAAGGCAGCATTTCTCGACGCCAGCATGAAGCAATGCGACTCGCTGCTGAGATACTTCTGTCTTTCTCAACTATGCCAAAGAGCAGCTGGGAGTGTAAACTCTCTGGTAATTTGCAAAGACATATGAATAGACTCTACAGGACTGACCATGTTTAATGTACAAACCAGTACCATTGGCGGGCAAGGATCCAGCCAGCAAGCTTATAAATAAGGTGACACTACAGGATCCACATACAGGAAACATTAAATATCGTTCTACTATCCAATCGATAACATTTCATATGTATAAGCCCTTCAGCGCAAGACCTTAGTAGATGTACCGGAAATGAAAGTTCTCCTGGTCAGTGCGGTCCTCGAAGGCATGGGTGAGGTTGCTCTCCCCGGCCAGCCCACTCTCCGCCAGCAGACGCTCCTTCTTCTTGTTCTGGGCGACGAGCCAGAAGCGCAGGAAGATGATGGCGATGGTCAGGCAGACGTAGCAGCCCAGGTGGACGCCGAAGGCGATGAAATAGCGGGGGGCGTCTCTGTCGAGGAAGACCTGGGGGCCTGGGATTGTTAGTTTGGGGATGCGGGAAGGTGAAGCAGCAGGGCGGGTTGGTACGGTACTCACCGATGGAGTTGCCGACGGCCCAGGAGACAAAGGTGGCCGCCACGACGGTGGACTTCTTGGTTGCGCCGGCGATGTTGCGGGAGACCATGGAGAGACACAGGGTCTGGGCGGACCAGAAGGAGAGGGTGATGTAGTAGCTGATCAGGAGGCCGACTTTGGTGCCCATGTTCTTGTTCTCGACCGTCATGAGGACGATGGTTCCGACGTAGGATCTAAGGGTGTCAGACGGGAGAAGAGATCAACGGCAGAGCAATGGGGGGACTCACGGGATGACGAAGCCGAGCATGACGAGCAGGTTCTGTCCGGTCTTCTTGACCAGCCAGGCGGAGCTCAGGAGGACGATGATGATGTAGAAACCCAGTACCATGGCCAGCAGCTGCGTCTGCAGCACGGTGAACTTGAAGCCGCTGATGATGATATTGGCGAACGCACCGAGACCGCTGGTCGGCAGGGTGGTGAAGATTTGAATGGCGCAGTAGCAGTACATCTGAGGGTCGCGGAAAGCCTCCCACATCTGATAGGCGCGGAACTTCTTGTTCTGCATACCGGTCTGGTTGGCACGGACACGCTCGACCATCAGGTGCTTGTCCTCCTCGTTGAAGCATTTGGCGCGCATGGGGGAGTCGGGCATCCAGAAGATGACGAACAGGCCCCACAGCACGGAGATGCACCCGTAGGTGATGAACAGGGCTTGCCAGGAGTGGATGGCCTTGTCCTTGCCGATAAGACTAAAGCAGTAGGCGAGCAGACCGCCGACGATCTGCTGACCACCGTTCATCATGTACCTGTTGGGCTTGTCAGAAAAATGGAGCATTGGTGTTTTGAAGTTGTGCCATCGACATACCAGTAGGTCACGGTAGCCGCCTGCTCTTCTCTCTTGTACCACATACTGGACAGCAAGACGAAGGATGGCTGGCAGCAGGCCTCGAAGATACCCAGCAGGGTACGAACGACCACCATGTGGGTGAAACTCTTGCAAGCTGCATGCAAAGCCAGCACGGCACCCCAGAGACAAATGTTGATGCCCAGGTACTTGGCAATAGGAACACGTTGGATAATCCAGTTGGTCGGGTATTCGACGATCAAGACGGCGATGTAGATACAGGTCGTCAACCAGGAGTACTAGAGCGACGGCCATTAGCATTCGTTTCGCTCACACGAAGTATTTCAGTAAGAGAAAAAAAAAGAAGAGAGAACCTTTTGACCATTTTGCAAATGCAGATCGGTACGAATTCCCATGATAGAGGCAAAAGACAAGGTACCCTTATCCAGAGCCTGGAGGAAGTACGTGAAGATCATAATGATCAGCACGCGACGGTCGATCATGCGTCGCAAACGCTTGCTGGTGGCTTCGTCGACTTCGACTTGACCGCGAGCCACATACTCTTGAAGGTCCTTGTCCATCCGAGAGAAGTCGGCCTGCTCCTTGGTGAGACCGTCAGACAACACCCGTTCGACATGGTTGATGTCTTTGGCCTGCTTCAGGTCATCTCCAGCTCCGCGTGCGGTGGAAGTCACCGGGTCAGAGACAACCTTTTCTGCCATGACGGTGGAATCAGAGGTTGTGGAATGTCGGAATCAAAGAAGAAACAAAATCTTAGAGCTATTCAAACAGATGCACAGCAGCATAGGGGAAGAGGTCCGACCAAGGCGGAAGGCAACGGGGAGTTCTGGCCCTTTTATCCAGAGAAAGCTGCCCAGGATCAATCGAGAGTCCTAGACTCGACACGGAAACGTCCAATTCGAGAGATCATTACCCCGGTCGCGATGGCAGGGTTCAGCACAGAAATCGACTGTCCGCATGGTTTCCTGGCTGGCTTGACTCTTTCCCCGGCTTTCTTGGCAATGCCTCCCCATGGGACGAATGACTGGAGATAACTGGATCTGAGGGGTTGAGCGGGGAGGAATGGCCCGAGAGCACTGGCGAGGTGACCCACTCAAGAGTCCCTGTCCGTCACCCTTTTAAACACGGCCAATCACTTCATCTGTCGCTTCGAATTGGCTTCTGCTTGGCGTTGGGTTTCGGTGAGTCGATGCCCCGAAGCCTTGTGTATCCCACACGGAGAATTCCCCCCATTTCTTCCGCGTATCACCTGTGGCCGGTTCCACCCCGCAGGATTTATAGCCAGATACAAGCGAGTCAGCCATTCTGGAGAAGGTGAAATAAAGAGAGACCGCTTGCTGACTGACGACGACTCCATAAACAACAAACGAGAATGACTTCCCACAGACCCTCGCAGAGCGAGGTCCATCACACCGTCAAGCGGCTCATCACCAACCTGGTCAACATCAAAGACGCCACAGGACAGTTCCTGCTGCGGCTACAGGATGGCCGGGTCATTGACACCAAGTCCTGGCACGGCTGGGAATGGACGCACGGAATCGGGCTGTACGGCATCTGGAAGTACTATGAGATGACCGGCGATGAGTCCCTCCTGCGCATCATTGAAGACTGGTTTGCTGCGCGGTTTGCCGAAGGCGGCACCACCAAGAACATCAACACCATGGCTGTCTTCCTGACGCTGGCCTACGTCTATGAGAAGACAGGCAACGTGACCTACCTGCCCTGGCTGGATGCTTGGGCCGAATGGGCCATGCACGAGCTGCCTCGCACGCGATACGGCGGCATGCAGCACGCCACCTACCTGACCGAGAATCACCAGCAGCTGTGGGACGACACGCTGATGATGACCGTCATGCCGCTGGCCAAGATCGGCAAGCTACTGAACCGTCCAGAGTACATTGCCGAGGCCAAGCGGCAGTTTCTCGTTCACACCAAGTACCTCTTCGACACACAAACTGGACTCTGGTTCCACGGCTGGACCTTCGAGGAGGGAGGTCACAACTTTGCGCGTGCGCGCTGGGCCCGGGGCAACAGCTGGGTCACCATCGTGATCCCCGAAATTATCGAACTGCTCGACCTCGAGCCCACGGATCCGATCCGTATCCATCTCATCGACACGCTCGAGGCACAGTGCGAGGCCCTTCAGCGGTTCCAGGACAGCGAGACGGGCTACTGGCATACCCTCCTGGACCATCCGGACTCGTACGTCGAAGCGTCCGCTACGGCTGGTTTTGCGTATGGCATCTTAAAAGCCGTGCGCAAGCGATACATCGGCCCGCAGTATCGTCCCGTCGCGGAGAAGGCCATTGCGGCGGTGATGAGCGCGGTGGATGAGCACGGAGAGCTCCAGAATACCAGCTTCGGCACGGGAATGGGTGATTCCTTGCAGTTCTACAAGGACATCCCGCTGACGGCGATGCCATACGGGCAAGCGATGGCAATCATGGCGTTGGGAGAGTATCTGCGGACATGCTTATAGAGGTTCAGTTTGTTTCTTCATGTTATGATGCGCCACTGATAGATTGGGTTGACCGGAGTTGGCTTTGTATATAGTTCTCTGCGAAGAAATCCATGTCAGTCTCTGCATGATTTGATTAAATAGGAAAGTTTTCCTCGGGAATTCCACTTCACCGTATCATGTAGAGGATTCTCCCTTAATTGTATTCATCAATGCCATGCTTGTATCGACTTGGATCAACGCAGTTCTTCATCGATGGAGACTTTGTCAAGTTGAGGTGCTCTTCAGAAATTGATCCATGAACATTGAATGGATTGGAATACCACTGGATCACAGCGAGACTCTGTCCCTGAGAATGATTTGACATGTACATCAACATTGAAAGTGGGGACATGGGGACATTGGGACTGGCCATCGGGAGGCGGAAAAGGATTCCGAATAGCTTCAGGAATGACGGAAAAGGTAAGGACGAACTATGCAAGATCCAGAACAGTCCAACTGACCTCGAACCATTAGTATGAGACCGACATCTTGTAGACTCGTCCAACGTCCGAAGGGTGTTGGGAGATTTCAACTCACCGCGTCGCGACACTCATAGAGCCACGTGATGCTGCTGCAGTTGGACATCGACATTGCACCCCAACAGATGCCAACATGCTCTTGGATCTGAAAATATAGATGAGCCTCGGCTCTACTTTGTTCTACTTCGTTGTCATTTACATAGCACGGTAGGCACTCTAAGCTGTCGCCGCTTGGGACGCCATCGGCTGATCGGGTATTGGTGTTACTTTGCGGCATATTCTTCACCCTCAATGCCTTCTAAACCTATATTAAACCTATCTAGCATGCTCGGTTGAGTCTTCTGCTGGTAAGTGCGGATTTGGTTCTCCGGACAATAACTGTCTTGGTGATCAGGCAGCACGCATTGGAAGCAGACTATGAAGATATCCAACGGAACCTGTAACACTGATTGAAATAACAAGCACACTAGCTGCACAGAAAACCACTACCAAACTAGAAGAATCCAGGGATCCAGACCAAGATAAACAAAGATATTCCTTTTACGAGGTAATCAGTGAACCAGACTTGGGCCGTCATCTAAGCCTTCTTTCTCTTTGTAACGGTGGTTGAGGCCATGAATCCTTTATGGCCAACTTGAGCCGTCAGACGCAGTTAGAAGGGCCCAAAAAGCAGTTCAAATTCTTATCACTAAATAGTCGACCGAGACCGAGACAGAGACTATTTGCATCTAGTCTGGCCAGTCCTACTACAGAACATGCCATCGTGTCATCGGCACTGTGAGGGAACCACCTACCTGAAGTTTCCGCTGCAGAGTCTGAGCGATGTGTCGAGGATTCTGATTGAGGATCTAATTCATGGCGTTTCAAAGGATATCTAAGTTTGTCCAGCGTCAACGAGTCTTTGTATACTGTACCTAGTGGTTTTCTTTGTTCTCATCCGAATGCCGCAAGAATTTCAGTACGACGGATCCTATTGTCGACTTGAGCTCAATAGGGAAAGGAATCATAACATCCAATTAAGCGCAAATACCAGAAATACGACAATAGTTTCTTTCATCCTCTGAATAGAGTAGGGGCAACACCGCTATACTGTGGCCTCTTTGCAGCGGCAGATAAATGGTCAGGATTTCTACCCGAAGACTCTCAGACCTGCCATTTTTTCTTTGCATCTTCTCTTTACGGGACACTCCTACACATACAAGTCTTAGACTAAATCATGACAGATCAGTCCAAGAAAAGACGCGCAGCCGTAACTGCCACGACAGGCTCGGACAGCAAGCGACCCCGCCGTGCAAAGCCTGAAGATAGCGACTCGGATGAGCCCATCGCGGTAAGCACCTCTTTCCAAGCAGATTCCTCCCACATTCATTCTGACTGACTGTAGCTCGACCAGATCCCCCCTCACCCCCCATCTCCACCGCTGCCGAGATCTACCCGCGCCACCGCTCCGGCCCCAGCTGCGCGCCGAGTCGCTCCCCCACTGATATCCACCGGGTCCATAGTAGCGACCTACTCGCCCTGCATCCGGTGCGTCAAGAAATGGACCGAGGATGACTCGACCATATGCCACCGCGACGCTGCCCTCGGGAAGTGCCGTTCCTGCAGCAGAGCCGGGGTGGAATGCAGCAGGCTTCCCCCTCCCTTTTACGGCCCGTTCTCAGCGGCCCAGAAACTTACTGGTCGTGCGCGACGGAGAGCATGCGTTGGGATGAAGAACGCTCTGGAGGCGTATGAGCGTAAGAATGACGAGGGGACACCTACTAGGGAAAATGCTTCGGCAAAGAAGGAAGAGGACAAGCTGGCGGCCAAGGGATGGGTGATATGTTGAAGGCGATGCGGTCGTTGAATAAGAAATTGATTCAGTTGACGAATACCATTCGGGAAGTTCGTGGGCTGGAACTGATTTCTGACGAGGAGGAGACTTGATTTGACGTTCATGGGGAGAGGCTTTGGAGGAGTAGTGATTATGGATGTTCATCTTCGTGATACTGGTCCACCTGTTTGGTTCATTTGGTTGCAAATCAACGAGAGAGAATACAGCCCACTGGTTCTTGTATTTACGTAGGATATTATCGATTGTGCCTTCTCATGCTGTCAATCGCAATGGAACCCGTTGGATATGATCAGACCATTCGATGGCTGATTATGTGGAGGCACTCTTCATCGTTCATTGGCTTCAAGGATCCATGCGTACCCTGCTGCTTACGAATCAAATATCAGAGTCGCACCAAGAGACAACACGAAGACACCAAAGTTGATTATAAATCCATCTCGCTACTAACGGTATAAAACGTGTCCACGATCGGAGTCAGGGTCCAGACTGCGACTTTCCGATCATCTTGAACTCATCAACGAAAGAATGACCCTCAAATATCTCATCACCGGTGCCACAGGCGGACTAGGCAAAGAAGTCCTGGCCTACTTCGAAGCCAATCGTCCCTCCTCCGAATATGCTGCCGCCTCGTCGCGGGAGTCGAATCGAAAACCATTCGAAGATCGTGGAATCGCCTTTCGCCATGTGGACTACGATGACCCCCGCTCGCTCGATGCAGCCTTTGCGGGCGTAGAGAATCTGTTTTTTGTCAGCACCAACGTCTTCGACAATGAGAGGCGAATCAAGCAGCATCGAAATTTCGTTGACGCCGCCAAGAGAGCTGGCGTCAAACATGTACGTGTCTTTGCCTCACATATAGAGGTACTGCGGCTTGCTGACTCGGATAGGTGTGGTATACGTCGCTCGCATTTGGTGGTGTGAAGTCCGATTCCAAAGCGGCAATTCAGCAAGCCCATCTGCAGACGGAAGATTTACTGAGAGAGTAAGACTCTGTTGTAAAACACAGAAAAATCGCACTGATAACCAGTTTAGGTCTGGAATGACCTTCACCTCCATCCGCGAAGGAGTCTATGCAGATGCTTTCCCGCTCTTTCTCAATTGGTACCCCGATACCACCACCGTCTCACTCCCAGCAGACGGACGTTGCGCTTTCACTCTGCGAAAGGAGCTAGGGGAAGCGAACGCTCGATTGATGCTTCAGGGTGGCCACGAGAACGAAATCGTCCTCCTGGCAGCGGGAGAGACGATAAGTTTCGCCGAGGCGGTGGATGTGATTAATGAGACGACGGGACGTAATGTCAAATTCCAGATCGTCTCCCCGGAGGAGTATGTGCGCTTGAGCGCAACAGACGACCAGGGAGGAAAGCCAGCCGAGTTCTTCCAGGCGCTCGTTAGCTGGTACGACAGTATTGCGCAGGGTGAAATCAGCCACACCGATCCGTTGATGAAAGAGGTGCTTGGACGGGATCCCACCACGCCCCGGGAGGCGATTCGTGGTCTTTTGTTGGAGAACTGGGATTATACCTGGCATCAGAATTATGTGAATCAGTGAACCCTGTGCCATCAGTTTTGAACTGGAAAGTTGGGTCGCAAATGCCAGCTCGGCCTGACTGTGCCTCTCTTTACCTGCACTTGTAGAGTAGCCACTGCTCCTAGGTCGACAGATCAGTAGACCTTGAGCTTCTGCTGTAAATATCCGGATCTTCGCCGCGTTTGAAAGCTCTTCCACCTATTGTACGAAAAAAGAATGGATTGTCCAGTTGACCAAACTCTCAGCACAAACAGGCTCTCCGATGGGGATACGTATTAGTCATCCGCTGATAAGGCGATAAGGTCTTATCAGTCCCTGCTCTCTCCTACTCGCAAATCTCCGCATTCTCCGCATCAAACAATCGGAGGTCTCCGCTCATGAGCCATGATTGATAGGGGAACGGGAGAGAGACAATAGATTTATACAGTCCATATGCCTGTTCGAGTCGTATTTCAAGCTTCGGTGACTTGAGTGACACTGCTGTCATCTGTCGACATGCTTTATACCCACGCGACCATTATCACCGTCGACCCCTCCCGACGGATCATCGAGGATGGAGCCATCCACGTCAAGGACGACCTGATCGCCGACCTGGGCAAGAGTGAAATCCTCCGAGCCAAGTATCCCAATGAAGAAGAGTATGATCTCAGCGGCCGCATTGTCATCCCCGGTCTCATCTCCACACATATGCATACGCCCCAGACTCTGCTCCGGGGCACCGCCGATGATTTGGAATTGGTTTCGTGGCTCTGTGAGCGGATCTGGGTGCTGCAGGGGAACTTCACGGCGGAGGACGGCTATGCCGCGGCGCGGTTGAGTATCGGGGAGATGTTGAAGTCCGGAACGACGTGTTTTTTAGAGAGCATGGTAGGTTTTCGGTCCTGGTCCTGTCTTTCGGGTGGTGATTGTAACTGACAGGGTAGTTTGCCGATCGGTACGGATTCGATGGCCTGTGCCGTGCTGTGGAGGAAAGTGGTATCCGTGGTTGTCTCGGTAAGATCGTCATGGATATCGCACGGTACGCCAAAGACGATGCGTGGGCGATGCACCCGGGACTCGTGGAAGATCGCGAGACGTCCCTGCTGGGCACGCTGAAGATGTGGGAGAAGTGGAACGGCAAGGCAAATGATCGTATCCGAGTGTGGTTTGGGGCGCGTACACCGGGAGGGTATGTTCGGCTGCCTCTCGACACCATCACGTCCTGCTGACGGTCTAGTGTGTCTGACGGACTGTACCGCGAGATGACCGCCCTGTCCCGGGAGAAGAACATCCCCATCACGATGCACTGCGCCGAAGTCCGCGCAGACCGCGACTTCTTTGCCTCGGTCAAGCACACCCCCATGTCCTACTGCAACTCCGTCGGGCTGCTGTCCCCTTCCACCGTCCTGGTGCACATGGTCCACCTGGACGACTCGGACATCGCCACGCTGGCTGCGTCCGGCACACACGTGGCGCACTGCCCGACATCCAACGCCAAGCTGGCGTCGGGGATTTGCCGCGTGCCGGACCTGCAGCGGGCGGGAGTCAACATCGGCCTCGGCACGGACGGGGCCCCATGCAACAACACGTGTGATCTCCTGCAGGAGATGAAGCTGGCTGGCATCATCCACAAGAGCACCTCGTACGATCCGACGGCGGTGCCGGCTGAGACAGTGTTGGAGATGGCGACCATCAACGGCGCGCGTGCGCTGGGGCTAGCGGACCGCATCGGCAGCCTGGAGGTTGGTAAGAAGGCCGATTTTGTGGCGATTGACACACGGAGGATCCATCTTCAGCCGTGGTTCAGCCCGGTCAGCGCGGTCGTCTACACGGCGACGGGCAGGGATGTCGATGTCGTGGTCGTGGACGGACGGATGCTAGTTCGGAACGGGGAGCTATTGACCATGGACGAGGCAGAGATCATGCGGGAGGCACAGCAACGCAGTCGGGAGGTCGTGGCTCGGGCAGGTTTGACGGAACGCGTGCAGGCTCGCTGGCCGGTGGAGTAGCTACGTTGAGCATCTTATGAAACATCTATTGAGAATGATCATGATGGGATTACGAATGGATATGACTTGCAATTAAGGCTCAAGGACTCGGCTTGACCCACAGGGTCTGTGAGTTACAGTACGCCGTCAAACCGTTCAGTCCCCATTCCGTGCCAATCCCGCTGGACTTGTGTCCTCCAAACGGCACCTTGGGCGACACGTCAAAGTGCGAGTTGATCCACACGCTACCCGACTCAAGCTGGTCGGCTATTCGACGAGCCCGCGTCAAGTCCTTGCTCCACACCGATGACCCGAGCCCCGTCTCGGTAGCATTCGCCCGCGCAATGACATCGTCCTCATCCGACCACTTGAGCATCGGCAGGATGGGCGCAAACGGCTCTTCCTGCACGACCCGGGCAGACTCGGGAGGGTTATCGACGATGGTCGGGTGGATGAAGTAGCCCGCCGAGTCCTGGATGGTTCCGCCGAGGGCAGCCTTGAGACCCTCTGTGGACAAGCTCTCAAAGAGATTCTTGGCCTTGTCGTACTGCATGCCGTTCTGCACGGGGCCGAAGAAGACGTCTGGCTCGGTGCCGTCGCCGACCTTGAGGGATTGCACAAAGGCCACGAGTTTCTCCCGGAACTCGTCGTAGATGCTCTCGTGGACGTACAGCCGCTTGACCATCATGCAGATCTGGCTCGAGCAGAGGAAGGAGAGGATCCCGATCTTCCATCGTCAGCAGGCTCGCACCATCTACAAGGGGAGGTAGCATACCTTTGGAATGACCGCATCGATATCGACGTCGTCGCAGACGATGGCCGGGTCGTTCCCGCCCAGCTCCAGCGTCACCCGCTTCAGGGTCTTGGCGCAACTCGCCATGACGCGCTTCCCTGTGAGCGTCGAGCCGGTGAAACTGATCTTGTCAATCCCCGGGTGCTCCGTGATCATGGGGCCCAGGTCATCGCCCCCACTCAATGCCTGGACCACCCCTGGCGGGAAGCATTGCGCCGCCAGCTCGGCGAGCTTCAGGCCGCAGTACGGCGTAAACGGGGAGGGCTTGAGGATCACGGTGTTACCCGTGTACACGGCGGGGACGATCTTGCCGACTGCCAGCAAGACGGGGAAATTCCACGGCACGATGGCCCCGCAGACGCCGAGGGGGGTGTACCGCTGAATGATCTTGTGTTCTTCCGTGTCTTCGATGACCGTTTCGGGGATCTCAATCGTGGGCATGACTCGAGCCCACTGGACGGCCATTCCGACCTCTACGGTGGACTGGCTGAGCGGCTTTCCTTGTTCCTGCATCATAAGCCGAGCCAGTGCGTCCTTGTTTGCTTCGATTTTGTCTGCAAAGGCGTTGAGGATGGTCCGGCGCTCGTCGAACGAGGTCTTGGACCATTTCCGGAAAGCTTGGCGAGCGGCATCAACGGCTCGATCGAGATCTTCTTGTGTGGAAACGGGGACTTCCGGATTGGGTTGACGGTTTGCAGGGTTGATGCCGTGACGGGTTTGCGAGGTGGTGGTCAACTCATTGTTGATGACATTGTGGAAGGTCTGAAGGACTTGTTAGTGGACAGCAACCGGAAGGATGAGAATGAATACCGTAATATCCAAAGACATGATGATGAATCTTGATGCGCTGATGGAGTAGTAGAGGAGATTGGAAAGATATGACTTCACTGGCAGAGAAAGATGAGACTTTAAATACGTGGCCCAGGCAAGGATCCGTACCCCTCATTCAGCGCCGAGACTCCATCTTAGACCATTATCAAATCCCAACGAGCTTGGTCTCTTATCTGCCTTTGAGTCGCCAACACTGATGGATAGCAATAGTGTCTTGATCAGATCCTAGGAGACCCCGTGGGGTCCTCCACACAAACTTCCCCCGCACATCAGCGCGGGGAGATCCAATCGGTGTCGAGGTCGGCAATCCGACAAGCTACGGATGTCGATGACGGGAGTTTCTCTGTCTCTAAGCATTTAGGATGCCGGCTTTGAATCATATGGTGACGTTTATGGAATGAAATGAGGAGGTTGAGCTGCGAAAAGCAATTGCGTGCTTGCGAGGACGAAGACGCGCGTGCCATCACACGCCTCGCTACCCTTCGAGTCATCCCGTCTCTCCTCTCCGGTACTTCCGATAGTGGAGACCGACAGAGTCGATCCATCTTGCCTCATGCAGTAGATTAGATCTGCTTATGGGCCAGTGTAGGGTCATCTACAAGTCCGACTCGAGGGTTCTGATGCCAATGATTTTCGTCGAAGATCGCCAGGCAGTCATACAAGTACATGTGCATCAGGCTTTTTTACGGAAAGATGCCAGGATTTTGGCTATACTGGTAAGAACAAGTATCTCGCTGCCCCTCAGGAAGGCAGGTGTGTCTGACCATAGAGGATACTAGGACTGACAGCGACTTCGTTCCAGCTCATTGGAGAGCAACAACTGAAGAAAAAGTCTGAGCGTCTATCAGACCAACCCACGAGAGCATAGGGTCTATAACCCGCGTCACATACGATGATTGCCTATCCAATCGTCATACCACCATTGACCCTCACATTCTGCCCATTAATCCACTGACCCTCCTCACTCGCCAAAAACACCACCACGCGAGCCACCTCCTCCGGCTTTCCCAAACGTCCTGCTGGGGCCAACCCACTCTGCATCTTCACGGCCTCCTCTGTCTTGCCCACAAAGTACGCATCCGTGCCGATTGGCCCCGGCGAGATCGTATTGACAGTGATCCCCCGCCGTCCAAGATCCTTGGCCAACACCCGCGACATCTGCTCCACAGCCCCCTTACTGGCAACATAAAGGAGGTAATTAGGAGTCACCATACTAAACCCTGTCAAGGACGACGAGAAAAAGACAACCCGGCCGCCGTCGGGGATATGACGCGCCGCCTCTTGGACCGTGAACAGCGGACCACGGACATTTGCCGCGAAGAGACGGTCGAAGGAGTCCTCGGTGATGGCTTCCAGGGCGCCATTTTGCCAGAAGAGTCCGGCGTTGAGGGCGAGGATGTCGACCTTGTTGAATCGGTGGAGGGTCTGTTGAATGAGGGAGTGGATGTCGGAGACTTTGGAGACGTCGGCTTGGACGGCGAGGGCGCGGTCGGCACCGATGGAGTTGACGACTTCTTCGGCGGCTGCCTTGGAGGAGATGTAGTTGACCACGACGCTGGCGCCTTCGCTGGCAAGGGCGAAGGCTGTGGCACGGCCGATGCCGCGGGATGCGCCGGTGACAATGGCGACTTTGCCTGTGAGACGGCCGGACATATTTAAGAAGTTGAACAGTTGAGATATGATAATCTGATGTGGGTTCTTTGACTACTTTCTTTGACTGGGGCTGTGTATACATGTACAAACGTGCCTGTATTTATACATGTGGGATGGCAACTGGTGTCTTCTCTCACGCTAAGGACTGATTGTCAACAGCAATAATCTCCTCATCTGGCATGGAGATAGTCAAAACATGCTGATGTCAACTTGCAGGGTTTCTCAGTCAGCACTCAGCCAAAAGCCAAGCTGAACGAGCCTGCTAACAACACTCAGCCAGCCATGCGGGTCCGAGAATAACACCCTGTAATTTCTCATTTGATCAATCTTCGGAGTATCTTGTTGTTAATTATTATCTGAGCTAAAATCTGACGTGATCTTTATGGATGCGGCCGACCCCTGCTAGTACATGGTGAGGGGACAGAGGGGTAGATATCAGACAATAGGCGGGGTTGGTCTAATTCAGTACGGATATGAAGGAGTATCTATTGTGAGTATGAGCTCCAGGTTACGCAACAGGCAGAAGATCAAATCAGACATCACTACTGCAAATATGGTCGACTTCACCCTCTCCAACTCCGAACAGCAAACAAGAGCGGCAGCGCGCAGCTTCGCCGCTACCCACTTATCTGGCGCTCAAGCAATATATGCTGAACTCCCAACACCCGAACAGCGATTTCAAAGTCTCCAACCCATCTATGCAGCCGCGGTCAAGGCTAATCTCATCAAGGCCCAGGTGCCGGCCCAAATCGGGGGCAGTAGTACGAATTTAGTCGAGGCTGCTATCCTAGTCGAGGAGTTCTACGCCGTCGAGGCATCCGCTTCATTAACCATTTTCGGAACCGGACTGGGCTTGACGCCTGTCGCGCTGGCTTATCGGCGTTCATTGCAGAAATTCCTGGATCCCTTTCTTGCATGCGAGGGTTCGCCGCTTGCTTCGTTGGTGTTTTCTGAGCCGGCTGGCGTGGTATGCTGTTTTCCACCCCTCTGTCGGGGACCTAGTATGCGTTGTGCTGATATGTCTCCAGGCGAACTGGTTGGAACCTGGAGCGCCTGGATTGCAAACAACAGCACGCCGCGAGGGAGACGAGTGGGTTCTCGATGGTGAAAAGATATGGGCGACCAACTCCGCCGGCTGGGACTTCCGAGGCGCCGATCTCAGTTGCGTGGTATGTCGCTGCGTTGATGAGGACGCGGTTGCGCAGGCATCCTGCCCCCAGGACCTTATCATGATTCTCCTGGTTACCCGGGAGAATATCAAGAGGAACGGACCGGACTGCTTCCGGGTACTCAAGCATGTTGAGACGGCGGGACACAAAGCGACCTCTGGTCCGCATATCAAAGTAGGGTTTGGGTCCTCTCTTTCCTGAGAATTACGCTTATCAGATCAGTACACGAACCTCCGGGTCCCAGTCGAAAACGTGCTCTGCTCGCCAGGCACCGGTGCTCCCATCGTGCTACACTCCTTTGAGATCTCGGGTACGTGTCGTCCATCAAGACAGACGCCAACTGACGTCCCCAGCAATGCTAGTAGGAGCAATGGGCGTCGGAGTCCAACGAGCCGTATTCGATGCCGCACTGGCATTTTCACGGGATCCACGCGGTGGCACCGTCCCCATCGCTCAGCGCCAGTCCGTTGCGGATCTTCTGATCAACATCAAAATGCGGACGGAGACCTCGCGGTACCTGACCTGGAAAGCTGCGCACTGTTTGACGTCGGGTCCGGGTGAGCATGCACAGCGGCGGGAGCATGCACTGCTGGCGAAGGTATATTGTTCCGATGCGGCGGTGCAGTCGTGTCTCGACGCTATCAATGCGGTGGGGGTGTAAGTATTCAATCTCGATGGTATCATTTGTATGAGCTCACCGTTTAAAGGTCGGCGTACAACGTTGAGACGCCGTTTGCTGCTCTGCTCGCCACTGCGCTGGTCCTGCCTATTTTTGACGGAGGGAATGTGGGAATCCGCCGGAGGGCGTTGCAGGATTTGTTCCTTGAAGAAGGATATCAGCCATGGGGAACGACTTTTGGATTTGATGACTAGATAGTCCTACATGTTGGCTCATGCCCGTGAAAGCATTCTTTGGTTCAGGCCGTTCAAAACTGCCAGAAAGATTACCCCTATTCCGTTGGCTCGCTAGCTTAATTTCGATAGTATCATTTCCCCTTTTTGGTCATCTGATTCTATTCATCTCCCCCTTGTTCCAGAATTTCCATGTCGTTTTGCCTTCAACACCCAGGTAAGAAATCTGTGGTCGTACACTTCGCATGATGATAGTACTCGGTGTCTAGGTACAGACTGATTGTATAAACCGGTCAAAACTAATGTTTAGCCCAAGTGAGGAAAGATTGCCGTCCAGCTTAGACTCGAATAGACATCAGCAGGCATCGCCCGGAAACAATAAAAGACCAGGAACAGAATCCCGAGCCGCGCAACAACGTAGCTCAGGAACAGGATGACCCCCGATATCCAGAAACCACAGGTGCCCTTCTCCGTACAACAACATATCGCACAGGCTATAGCACAACACTCACTATGATCCTCATCGTCTTCATCCCCCAATTTCTTCTTCAGCCAGAATGCAAGCATCGGGAGTAGCGAAGACGTCAGCATCAGTAACGAGAATGCTCGCCACATTGTCCTTGTCATCGGGGTAGGGAATTCCCAATTCCAGGCAATCAGATGCAGTCCGGCGAAAACAAACGCCGTTAAATAGAATGACACGGCAACTGACGCTGGGGACAGTCTCAGGATCTTGGGTGATCTACTAAACATATCCAAGAACGCTTCAGTGGCCAAAGCATTGATTTGATGGAAGCGTGGCTCTCCATCGCTTCCCAGAAATCGCTCCCTTCTCTTGATAACCTCTCGCATCTGTTTGGCCTTTTCCGGCGGACAGAGGAGGATGGTTGGCGTCTGGATATCAAATGGCTTATCCCACCAGAACCAGTACATGACGAAAGCACAGAAGATAAAGGCGAGGGTGGTCAGTTCGAGTTCGGTGATTGGGAGACCCGCACAAGCACGCGCAATGCTTTGGATCACTAGCCAGGTACACTGGAGGAGTGCGAAGAACTTGGTGAAGGCGTCCGATTTGGACCGGTCCTGGATATCGTCGATGGTGGTGATGGGGAGAGCCCTGTTCTTGGTGTCGGATGCGTCGGTGGCGGGAAATAAACCAAGTTCATCGAGACGTGCTGCCACAGGCAGGCCAGTCAGAATCATATTTACACTGTCTCCCTGGATGCAGCTGTTCGCTCACCGAGATCGCCTCCCTGCAACCGCCTAATTCGGAGTCGTGTCTTCTTCTCCCTATTGTCCAGCCCAATCAACCGCTCCTCCACTGAAGGGTCTCCCTTGTCAGCAGCAGCATCCTGAACGTGGCTTTCAGCGTTGATCTCCTGAGGAGCCATTGTATTCTCGGTTTCTGCTGCGGCATTGGTCGCAACAGAGGTCTCCCCTTCTTTAATCTCCTCCTCCTCTTCCGGAATCGCTATGGAAAACCCTCCCATGTTCGCATAGTAAGCATGAACGAGCGACCAATCCATGTGTTTATGCCGGTCGTAGAGCTCTTCCGCCTCGTGCCTCTGGTCTACAGAAATCATGACCCCTAATTCCGGTGCAATGGCCAAAACAAACATCCACCCAACTCTCTTCAGCCACTTCCGTCGCAGCTCCGGGGACGGCTTCGGGAGGGGGACCCCGAGGACTTTGACCCATTCTGTCGTGCCACGCTCCTTCTCGCTGGGAATATTGAGATGCATACATTTCCAGGTGCAGACCAGGAAGATTGCAAGACAGCTCCAGATGATTTCGGAGGTGCTGCGATGGTTGCTGGGGGAGATCCAGCCGACCAGCTCTTGGTCAGCCGTCGTGGTGTTTGTATGGGAATCGTTAGTCAGAGAGAGCGCTGCGGATGGAAAGAGGGACAGAATTAAGAAGAACATCCTATAAGATCTGTACTCAAAGAGGATCCCACAAGAAAAGAGAAGAAACAGGGACAGGGACAGTACAGGCTTTATGACCGCAGGTGTGCGTTCATCTTATTCTTCGCCCAACGCATCTCAGCCACACTGCCATGACTCGGTAAACCTCGTATTGCGATAGGTTGGTTACTACTCTGAATGCGAATGCGTACAGCTGCCAACTGGTGGCTGAGGCTGAGGTTCCTCGTGAATACGCCTCGCATTCCTATGCGCCAATCAGCGGCGCGGTGGATATCTGGGGCTGAGGGAGGTTAACCTCTAGGCTCATAAGGGGCTGAGAACATCCAGGCTAGTCTATGATTATACTCCATAAGCGAGGGATCGTATTCTGACATGATGTTGACCCCAGGATATGACCACGGTCCCGCAATTCCCGAAGACAGAGTCACGAAAGTTATGGTTCTGCATCCTGCTTGGCGAAGCTTCGTCCTGATGACATCAGAGAAAATGGTGGGGCGTTGATGTATCTCAGTCCTCACATACCAGCCTTTTTTGCGTTTCTTTTGGGTTGTTTCTGCTCCTACCATTGGTACTTGAACAGAATTGAATGGAGAGGTCCATCGCTTACGTGAAGATGCAGAGATATAGGTTGATTCTGCGATTGAGGCTCCTGGCTCTATGCGCCCAGCACTTAAACCTGTGGTTCTGGGGCAGATCCACAGTACCATGGTTGAGGTTCTTGATACCTATTTCCATAAACTTCAGCTACGAACGAATGACGATCCATCAATTCGGTTAGAACGGATATATGAACCTTCATGCGTGCCATCTCGTCGACTATGGCCAGATCACTCCTCCAACCCTGCATGAGATGGATCCCAGCACAGGCCCCAAGGAATTCGTTCTCTGCTTCGATGGCACTGGATATAAATTTCGCGGCAATGAGTCGGACAGCAATGTCCTCAAGATCTTTCGAGTGAGTGTCCCCGCCCAAAATCCTGAAAAGCATGGTAACAAGATGTAGATGCTGAACCGCCATGAACCCGGGCAATATCACTACTTCCAGCCCGGATTCGGCACATTCGTGAGCACCACCTGGCTGGCTCCTCGCGGCCGGGCCAACAGGGCCAAATCTGTATATCTGAAAGCGAAGGACGCTGCAATGGGCACTACCTTTGCCGAGCATGTCATGGGCGGGTATAGATTTCTCATGCGGTATTATAATCCAGGAGACCGGATCTACATGTTCGGGTTCAGCCGTGGGGCGTACGTGGCGCGCTTTCTGGCCGAGATGCTGGATTTGGTCGGTCTCGTTGAAACAGGAAACGAAGAGATGGCCGGATTTGCCTGGAAGACGTTTGCGCAATGGCAAAAGAAGCGAAATAACCGAGACATTGACGCGAAGAAGAAAGAGGAACTGTTCAACTATATCAAGGCGTTTCGGGAGACGTTCAGCCGGCCGGTCTCCCAGATCCGTTTCATCGGGTTATTCGACTCCATCAACAGTGTTCCCCGCTTCGAAAATACATTCATGCAGCGGAGTATGTTCCCGTATACCGCCCGCACGTCTGCAAAGATCATCCGCCATGCGGTGGGGATCGATGAGCGGCGGGCCAAGTTCCGCGACGATTTGGTCTCGAATGGCGAGCCCACGGCACGGTCTCGGAGAGCGCAAGTCCACCAGCGCCTGGAGAGACATCACGTTCATCTTCCGTACCAGCGGGGGATGCATCTTTTCCGGCGGCATCGGGCGAGTGGTGCTGAACCAGCCAGCCTTCCGCGTCCGGAATACTAGCTCTACCGTCCTTCGCAGCAACCCAGCGTCAGTGTGCGGAAGACGCATGCGGAGGCCCAGACAGATACTCAACAGCGGCAACCGTCTCCCACAAGTACGTCGGTGACGCATTCCCAGTTAGCTGACAGGGAGCATTATGCGCCAGATGTCTCCGACGGTAACTCCGCGTCCGCAGACAGCGACACAGAGCCCGATATCGAAGAAGTATGGTTCGCCGGCTGCCACGCGGATATCGGTGGTGGATTCCGATTAGGCAAAAATGAAGACTGGGCCCTGAGCCATGTCCCACTCATCTGGATGGTCCAGGAAGCGCAGCGCGCAGGCCTCCGGTTCGACGCGGAGAAACTGAAGCAATTCAACTGCTACGACCACTCGCACCCCACCGACGGAACCCCAACTCTAGCCCCAGAAACACTGCAGAGTGACCAAACAGGCGAAAAGGCAGCAGACGACGCCTCCCGCTTCGAGTACGCGCTCTGGAGCGCAAGCACACATGGCCGCATCCACGATTGTCTCCAGTATGGCAGCGGCCTTCCCTGGACGACGGTCCTCTTTTGGCGGGCGATGGAGTATCTCCCCTTCCGTCGGATGAACTTGCAGGATGACGGTTCGTGGAAGCCGGTTCGGTGGCCGTTGCCCCTAGGTGAAGTGCGTGATATTCCCGCCAACGCAAAGATTCATGTTTCCGCTATTCGGCGTATGAGGGCCGATCCGGATTATCGGCCGGGGAATCTGATCGAGGGAGGCGGGGGTAGAGGGAAGAGGCGAGTCCCCGCCCACCGGGGAATCGGGGAGTGGGAGGTCTGTGACCATCCTGGGTCTCCAGTGCATGAGACTTATCGTCGTCGGCGGACGGCGACGGCGAAGGAGACGCGTGATCTGCAGACTGATAGTTAGGCCATGCGTCACAGATTCTATAGGTGTACATCACTCTGGATCATAGAGCAGTGGAAGGTGGAATAGAGCAATGAAGATGGAAGGTTCCATGAGCTCTTCATCATACGGGGTTTTGTGGGCATAATTCCATATCTGCTTTGTGCAATTCATGCTTGATCGTCTTTGCCACCGCTTCCAGCAGCCACTGCGCCTCGGTCTGGCCGCTGAGCAGTGGACTACTTGGCTGTACCAAACTCTGCAATCCTCGATTGTGTTTCTGACCAGACGCCGCGGAAGAAGTACCGCTTTCCTCGCGGGCTGGCCCATGGCCCTTCTCCCCATCACTGTCTCCCCAGTCGCTCGACAAAGATCCATCAAGAATGGCCCCGAGCGGACCGCTCCGGTTGATCAGTCTCAGGTAATGGTCCCACTCGTCCTGGCTGAATTCCTTTTCTTCGCCAGACACAGCCAGTTCGATCAATCGATGGAGATTGCTGAACAGAGCGCAGTGGTAGCTACGTAAGTCTCCCCAGGAGGCATCATCTGCATGCGCAGAGCCGGAATGCTGGCCAGGAGATGATACCACCTCGGACTGTCCGCCATGACCATCTGCCAACGGTGCCCCCCGTATCAGACACTTGATGAAAGCATTGAGACGGCCACGGGTCGATTTCTCCTCCGGAAACACGGTCGCTTTACCGAGGAAGATGATACATTCCCGCACACCATGGACAACCGTGTCTCCCAGGGTCGAGATGAGGATCGTGAGCGTGGGAACCGCGAGCAGAGACCAGAAGACAAAGAATGGGACGCCCCAGGCGCTGACTGGATAGATATCCCCGTACCCGATGGTCGACAGGCTCGTGAAGCTGAAATACAGGGCCTCGAAGTAGGTCCAGTTCTGGCTGGACTCCGATTTCCAGAAGGCGGCTGCTCCAACCAGCCACATTACCATCCAGACGGTGAAGGAGATGAGGAAAGACATCCAGCGACGCTGAAGGGTGGCGATGCGTTTGACGGTGCGCAGGAACATCATCTCCTTTCTCACCCTGTCCCGCTCGGATTCTTTGTCCGCTTGGTCTAGGTGCGGGATGTACCTGTACAGGCGGCTTTGCGAGTCCGAGGCGTGTCGGGCCATGGTGTGGAAAGTGACGGTCATTATCCCGTGGCCCATTGTTTGCTTTCCCTTTTCCAGCATCAGGGCGCGTATCAATCCGATCATCATTCCCAGGATCAGGATCCCCCCTATGGCGAAAGGGAAAAGCAGGCTTCGGCCCAGATGGGAGGAAGGCGCCAGATTCCCGATGCCGATCGTCAGAAGGGTGAAGTCGGCCCAGTAGAGGGCATCGAGGAAGCGCCAGCCCTCGATCCTCGAGTAGACTGCCGCTCCTCCCAGGAGGTAGATGAAGAAGATGATTGTCTGTAGCATGAGGGTCCGCTGACTCGGCGAGAGCTTGAATTCCTTGGCGTAGTATCCACGGGAGGCACCGTAGTAGGTGATCCCAAGCAGGGTCGGAATCACGAAATACAGTCCTGCTGCGAAGGCACCATAGTAGTATGCCTGCGACAGATGGAAGCCGGGTCTGCCCGGGCCCGCCTGCGTACAGCGGAAAACGATCAGGAGCGCAATCATCATGATGGCGAACGTGTACCACGCCACGATGACTACCGGCTGGGCCACAGAAAAGCGGATGCGCCGACCCATGTTCATCAGCAGGAGGAAGTTAGCCACCAGGGCGAGGAATAGCGATATCGCATTGACTGCTACTTCCCTAGGCGGTGTCAGTATCTGTCGCTCGACGAAGCCAGAGATGCCGTACCATGTAGGATCCTCGACACTGATCTGACGCAATGACCCATCGGCAGTGTATGACCTCCATTGTTCAGTCAGCGAGCAAATACTGAAAGAACTCGCCAGTGGCCCCAGAGTTGCCTATACAGACGTTCAGCATGTATCCAGCGACACCCAAGGTCTCGGATCCACCGCGTACTGCAATCAAGGGGAACGCCGTGCTCAAGAACCACCATTTGGCATGTTGACTTGAAGGACTGGCTGCTTGGCTTGCCCACTTTCTTCCTGATTGATTCCCTCGAAGCAGTCGATTGAAAACTGGAGCAACCTGCGAGATAGGGCCATTGAGCTCCGGGTCGTTCATTCTTTTCAGAATATGATCCGGGAAGGGAGAAGTGTGTTATTCATAGATAGACCGTTTAAGTAACAATAATGATGGTGATTGATTCGTTGTATTCTTGATTGGAGATGGTGATGTCATTATATGGGTAAGTTGCCGAAGAAATCATACAGATGACAGATGACTTTACATGATAACTAGTATATTACTTCCTGTGAGAATTCCATGTCTACTAGCTTGCTGAAGGATACAGAAGAATGGTGGTAAAGACTATGTAGCTATACATAGTTAGCAAAGGATATAGTGCAAGGAAGTTAGGGCACCAGAAACAGGTTTCAGCGATGATGTACATATGACACATAACTCTAATTATAAACTGATCCTTTCCCAAAACTCGGTCCGATCCCCAAACCCGGCGCCATGGACCGGACAATCTGTCGTAAAAGGTCTGTAACATCCTTGACGTGCCGTGTTTCCCGACGCAGGAACCACGTCCGAATAGCATCGGCCAGCGACGTGTCACCGCACTTGTCAGCCAGCGCGCATAAACATTCCAGATCGTCTAACAGCTGTTTCTTTATGTGCAGAGCCTCTTTGCGAGGATACTGGCTTAATAGGTTTGGACCACTCAATGTCGCTGGCCTTGATTGCTCAGGATCTCGGAAATGACTTTGCTCATTCTGCCTGTGTGATTGCAAGTAAGACTACAGCTTGCATTCTGGTCGTTTAGTTCTTGTAACGGAAGAGATGAAAGTAGTTATGGATATCTATAGTTTGTCACTTCACTCTGATATCTGCACACAAGTCAAGAAGAGCCATATACCATGATAGAGGGCCTGATATTGCTCCACCATTGCCTGTCCATGGTAGGTTCAATTACCCAGCCGGTGCAAGATGATACAGTATTGGATTTGCTTAATCTAGTGTCTGACTACAATGAATACTATCCTGTATTTGCTCAAATATACGCCCTATATGTGCTAGCTCCCTGCGTCATGTTCCCTATATCTGCGTCTGTTCGGTTGGCACACTGCTGTCGCTGGGATGCAAGCAGAACCAACATCCTCCGCCGAGTCATGCGATGTTCGCTGCTATGAGTGCCTCTCGGACAGCATCCCCCAGGCCCTATCCAGGAAACCACCCCTCGGAGGCGCGTCTCTCCTGTCCCGAAGCCGTTTCCGCGACTGGACCGGCGTCTGCGCGCTCGGCTGCTCCCTGCGCAACCACGGTCTGAATCCCAGCTTGCGGCGGCACAGAGGGCAACTGTCCGCACCCCGGCCCATCCAGTCACTAATGCAGGGCGAGTGGAAATAATGGGTGCAGGACAGCTGGCGGTACGGGGTATCTGGTCCCAGGTCTTCCAGGCAGAATAGGCATGTTTCCGGTAGGCTTTCTGGACACCGTCAGCAACGACCGGGGGCTAGGCTAGGATAGACGACATGCTCACCGGGCGGTGGTGCACGGTTTTCGATGGAGCTGGCGGTGATTTTCTCCCTCATTGTTTGTGTGGACGTCTTCCGATCACCAGTCGGATGGATGGTGTGTCGCTGGCCATGAGCATGGAGGTGATGTAGCGCACCTGGGTATAAATCTGTTGCCCCGACGTAGACCGAACGTGGCGAACCACAAACCAGACACTATTGTTCATGCAATTGTCTTGCTTTCTTTCTTGTAATGGTGAACTTCATTTGCATCCTTCTTCATATCACAGCGCCAGCAAATAGGATAGTGTGGAGTGGCTGTGGGGAAACAAGCTTTGGTGGCAAGGCATCTCCCTAGCCTATCCGGATGACAAGAGATCCGCCACCTGCTAAATTCTATGCAATTGGCGAATGGGATGCCGTCAATTGTTCTGATATCTTGCTTTGGTGCGTGTGGATGTTGTATCAGTGACGTGAGGCTCATCTCTGTCAAGCTTTCCTCGCCCAATAGAAGAATTCAGCCCAACGTGGGAGGGGGATACATGGGTACTTCATATTATAATATATATAATATAATGTGATTTTTAAGGTATTACAGCAGGTTCTACGGAGATTTTATCCTCTGTTACATACAGGTGATGTCACTTAGCAATCAACCACCGATGGCGATGCCGGAACCAAGCTTAGTTGCAGGATAATCATGCAGCTCAAAGGCGCCTCTGGCCTTGGAGGATTCTCTCACATGCTTCCAATGCGCCCGTCACGGTGAAACTGATCAGAGGCGACAAGGCATACTGGCTCTGCGGAGACAAAGAAGCTGTCAGTCGCGGCTGCATCGCCCGCCGCAGAACGAGGGTTCGGCTCCTTACCGTGAGAGCTTTGATGACGATGAGTCTTTCCGTCTCTGAGACGTGCGCAAGTTCCGCGAGCCCCGAAATGACAAGCGAGGGTGGCCCAGTAGGCATCAGCATCATCGTGAACCAGAGTATCGGATCGTCCCCGAGCAGGCTCGTCCGGCTGGCCACCAAGTATACGAGCGGAATGCTCATGCTGCCACTGTCAATATAACAGTCCGAGGGGTTTGTCACCCGGCGGCGAGGGAATGAGAGGACGTACGCTGGCCATAGAATAAAACGGACGACAAACACAAAACCAACCGCACTCCACGGTATCCGGCCGGTCCCCTCTCCGCGGCGGATTTTCTCGAAGCTGACGCCGAGTTTGCTGCCGACGGTGAAGAGTTGCAGGGTGATGAAGAGCTTGCCGAGGTTCTTCACGCTTGAAACCAACCATGCGTTAAATATTCCGCCTTCTTCATACGGATCGAAGAAGGCTCTGTGTAGGGGTGGCGTCAGCCCCAAGAGGCCCCCAATCAACATCGCCAGAGCTGCATCGAGGATGTACGGAGAATCAAAGGACAGCGCCTCTTCCTGGACGCGGTCGGGTAGCATGGCCAACAGACGGCTGAACGTGCCCTTGACCTGCCTCCACATGCTGGATTTGGTGCGATGCATGGATCCGGGCAGCAAGGGAGTATGCTCATCTGTGTGAGCTACATCGGCATGATCTGACTGATTGTCCGCGGTGTCAGGACGGTTGTCTTCTGGCGAGGAGTCCCCCCTTCCCTTTTCTGCTCGGAGGAGTAGTTTTGGCCCGATAGAATAAGTCAAAATCTTATTGATCACGGCACAGATGAGCAGGTAGCTCTGCGATCTGCTGACCGCATCCGACATATTTTCACCGGGGCCGAGAAGCCCCCTCAGGCTCCCCGCGCTCTGCAGCGCTTTAATAAGCAGGAGTGGTAGCGCGGTCGTGTTGTTAAAGGCACATGCTGGCGTGACCCAGAGCGGTAGCCTGAGCAGCCTTCTACCCACTTCGCCAATACCCAATGAGATGAGGATGGCAGCGATGCTCCAGACTAGTTACTGTTAGCAGGTAGGGAAATAGTTGCTGGCTGGCTGGCTGGCTGGCTTGCGTACAGAGAACTGGCACGTAGTTCAGAATACTGGATGCATGGAGGTGAGATCCCAGGTTGATGATCATCAGCGCCGGAAAAAACAGCTTGATCCCCACCCCGGACATGTCCTTGATGGACGACTCGCGGACCATTCCCATATGGCGAGCAGCCACGCCATAAGACAGTGTCAGGAGCACCGAGATGCACGCCTGCAAGGCGCCAAGGAAAGACGTTCCTAGCTTGTGTAGCGGCATGACTTCTCCAGACAACAGCCATAACAGAGAAGAAGGAGCATGGTGTAACAGAGCGATTGGCTCGAGAAAAGGGGCGGCCGCCCACCATTTTGAAGCCTTCAGTGGCAACCAAGCAGGACTTGATCACCTCGTCTGATTTCAAGAAACTGGAAACTGGAAACTGGAAAACAACCAAGCAGTATACTGACGTGTATCCTCCTGCTCACGCTATCCCTCCGTCACGATGACTTCATCCCTCCTCTGGGCCTTCCCTTCTGCATCTTATATAAGACCTGGGGTGAATGCCCTCTGTACCACCGCTTGTTTATTTCTCCAACAATAGTTCCTTGTTCTCTAAGCCACTCTAAGCCATTATATGCTGTAGGTACAGGAGAAATGAGTAGTGTCCAAAATAACCGACCAACCCGGCGTCTTCGGGAAGCCTTGAAGCAAGGTATGTCCACGCCGCCCTTTGCTGGAATCCTCTAACACGGATACCAGGGAGATGCCTCATCGGACCCGGGGTCTTTGATGGGATCTCAACACGCGTTGCAAACGAGATCGGGTTCGACTTTCTGTACCTGGCTGGCAGCGGGTCCACGGGCTCGTACTGTGCCGAACCCGACCTCTCTGTCATGACCCAGACTGAGTTCTTCCAGCTGGGGCTCATGGTCGCGCTGCATACAGAGCTACCCATCATCGCCGATGCGGATACAGGTTTTGGCGGGCCACTCAACATTGCTCGCACCGTGCGACTGTACGAGCACGCGGGAATCGCGGGACTTCACATTGAAGACCAGGTATGTCAATTGTCCCCCGATTCTCATGCACCTTGTCCGTACTGACTGCAATCACACAAGGTCTTTCCCAAGCGGTGTGGCCAGCTCCAAGGTAAAGACGTCGTGGACCTGGAAGTCTTCATTGAACGTGTTCGCAGCGCGGTCGAGGCGCGCCAGGATCCGGACTTTGTCATCATCGCGCGGACGGATGCGCGGCAGGCCAAGAAGTTTGGCGGTCCAAAAGCCGGAGCGGAGGCCTTCCACGAAGGAATCAAGCGGCTCAAGGCTGCTGCTGCTGCGGGGGCCGATATGGTCTTCATGGAATCCCCGCGCACCGAGGAGGAGTGTCGGACCCTGGTCAAGGAGATGGGAGACGTTCCCGTTCTGATCAATGTCCTTCCCAACGTGAGGATGTCCCCGATTGAGAGAATACGCAGCGACGTACCGTATTGACAGATGTACAGGGTCTCACGCCCAACTTCAAGACATCAGATTGCGATCGGCTGGGCTTTCGGGCTGCGATCTACCCATGCACTGGTTTTATTCCTGCGATGCTGGCCATGCAACGGTCATATGGTGCTCTGAAGACCACAGGGACGGATCTTGAAGCGTGCGAGGGACATACGATTAAGGATTTCTTTGACCAGCTTGGATTGGACGAGGCGTGGAAGTTTGATGCTAGAATTAGCGAGTTTAGCGAGAAAGAAACCGGGAAGAAAGGAGATCAGGAGGAGAGTTGACGGGGCATTCCATCTAGACTATCTCCTTGCTTTCTAATAATGCATATCAGCTGGTGGCAGACTTATACATCAATTCTTTTACACCGGCTCTCTTTTCTTCTTGGGCGCATCTCCAGCATAGTCACCTTATCCCACTATCGGGAATCCTCGTTTTCACGCAATGACGGGTTCAAGAACAGTGATGGTGACTCTTACTATCCTTCGGCTGAGTAGAACGAAGCTGCACCAGGATTACCCCAGCTTCGCTTATCTGCGCGGCGCCGTGGACAGAAGCGGAAGAATAGAAAGTCTCCGATGCTATTCGGAAACGATTATCAATCCTTACCAATCCGGCAATCCTCCATTTCTCTCTTCGTAAGTGATCACTCGATATCTTCTCACAGATGATATAAATCTCGCGACTTTCCGGCCAGGATATGCAACAAATCTCCACACTCCTCTTCTGTGAGATGACTTCGAGCTACCGCCTGTCACCGGTGTGCTTATACAAGTCCGTCAATCGTCTCCTGACCATGGAATACAACGTTCTTATCACTGGTGGCTCAGGCTACCTGGGAGGCATGCTCTTGAACCAGTTGAAGAGCGCAGACCTCCCCAGATACCACAAACTGTTTGCATTCGTGCGAACAGTCGCCCAGGCCGAGGCTGTGAAGCAGTACTCCGCCGAACCCCTGGAGTTTGATATGCAGGACGAGGCCAGCGTGCGCGACAGCATCTTGAAAAACAAAATCAATGTCATCTTCTTTCTGGTCGATGCAATCAGCTCGAGCCGACAAGAGTCCTTCATCAAGGCGTTGGCCGAACTGAGCAGGACAACTGGACAGGATGTGCATTTTCTTCATGTAAGTTCCCCCCCTGGGGTACGTACATTTCCCAGCTGCTGACTCCTTACTGCGAGATCTAGACCAGTGGAGCGAAGGCGTTCTCCAACCATGCCGGGGCTCCAATAGATCATCTCCTTTTCGACGATGACCCCAACCTATATGAGATTCAGAAAGCTCAGCGGTCCTCTCTCCCGCTCATGCAACAGGTTAGTCCGATACGTCATCAGACTTCGTCGCTCTCATCAAGTCTAGGCCGTGGAAACAAACAATTGGATCATAGAGCTGAGCGAATCTCTCGGTGTGAAAAGTTACATATTCTCCCCCTGCATGGTTTGTAAGTATATTGCGCGTTACCAGCACAACCACGGACTGAGCATCAACACAGATGGTAAAGGAGAAGGATTCAGAAACCAGGTATCGATCCAAACAGCTGCTATTGTGAGAGCAGCTAAAGCGACTGGCCGGCTTTACAATCTCAATGAAAGAGACCACTGGGTGAGTAATCTCTCCATGCAAGAGCATCCAATCCTAATTGCCGGTGGACTAGTCTTGGCCGGTCTGCCATTTGCTCGACAACACCATGTTGTACATCGAGATACTGCGGAAGATACTGTCATATGATGCTATTCCCCATGGTCGAAATGGATACTACCTCCCGTCCAGTGGCCGGGTTGCTTGGAAAGACGTATACGCATCCATTGCCACTGCTCTTTTCAAAAGAGGTCTGCTCAAGGATAGTGCTGTCCATCCAGCCGACGATGGCATCCTAGCTACTATGGCTGCAGCGCTCGACTCGCCGAAAGAAATGGTATTGCTCCAGCTGGGGGGCGAGTAAGTGAATCTCCTTCCTTGATACCATCTACGGAGCAACAGGAGTAACTTCTTCTCCCAAATAGATGTCTTTTCACAGCAAGCAATAGCCTCAGGATTGGTTGGAAGCCTTTGTTCCCTCCTGAGCACATCCTCGATGTCCTCAATCAAGAAGTCGACCTCATTCTTGCAAACGATGCTGAGAAATCTCGGAGAGAAAAGCGCTAAGCAGCCCTTAAATCTCTGCTAGAGTCTTTGGGAGGTGCCCATTTGAACGTCCTAATCCAAACGATCGTGTCGAGATTCAAATTTATCGCGGAGTCCACGGACCATTCTCTCAGTAGTTCGAAAGCTTTCTCAATTTGGCATAGGATTGTTCTGGCTTTTAAAGTGAATCAGCCAATCGAACTAGTAACGCCTTCCCAGGAATTCAGCAAGAGGTTCAAAGCCGCCAGAAATGAAGACTGTAGGGAATCCATAAGAAGAATTAGAAATAGAAGGTCTGTCTATTCATTCACTTCCTACATTTTGAACCTAAGTGTCCATCCTCTCATCATGGACGAAGCTAGAAGACAGCCCACATCTAGGAAAAGCCTCACGGCACCAATGCATGATAATGATGATATATCCATATCTCGAAATGATATCCTTCTTGTCATACAAGTTGATTGTGACAAAGAGACCCGTAGTTTACGATATTGGATGATTAATAAGCAAGTTCAGCAGAAGCAACAGTATGAGTCACAGAAAAATGCCTAGACCGAGGCAAGGGCAGGAGCAGCTGATAATTCCCTCCGTGCAGCTAAGGATGCTCAGATCCATTCCAGACGGAGTTGCCATCTGGAATTTCAGCAAGGCAATTGGTGAGCTGGGAGCAGATATTCAACGACCATCGATAGGTCAAATCCATATATAAACTAGGCAAGTCCGAGACGAAATTCCAGTCAGGTTTACTTCCTGCAACTTTGCTAACTCTGGTCTGCCGGCGCTGTATTGTGAATAGAAGGTAGCAATTGGACCAGCAGTTGTACATACATAACCCAGGCCAACACACTGGGAGAATCTCAAAATGACCTCATATGATGTCCTTGTCACCGGTTCAGCAGGCCATCTCGGCACTGCTCTCATGCTCTTCCTTCCTTCACTAGGCTTCAGACCTTTCGGCATCGATATCTTACCCTCCTCTACCACCACACGCACAGGATCTATTACGGATCGAGCTTTCATAACCTCCATTTTGAGGTCCCAACCCATCAAGCACGTCCTCCACGCGGCAACGTTGCACAAGCCACACATATGCAGCCATGATACCGAGCAGTTTATCTCGACGAATATTCTTGGAACGCTAGTCCTGCTTGAAGAGTCAGCCAAATTCAGGGACCGAATCGAGAGCTTCATCTTCTTCAGCACCACGAGCACGTTCGGCATGGCACTGAGTCCCAAGCCGGGATCCCCCGCCGCGTGGATAGACGAAACCGTTGTCCCCGAACCCAAAAATATATATGGCGTGACAAAGGTTGCAGCGGAAGATCTCTGTGCTCTGATCCAGAAGCAGAGTGGCATGCCGGTGCTGGTTCTCCGTACGAGCCGCTTTTTCCCCGAGGAGGACGACGATGAGGGGCGCCGCGCGGCCATGGACGATGAGAACTTGAAGGTCTTGGAGCTTGCTTATCGGAGATGCGATATTGAGGATATCGTGCGGGCATCGGTCTGCGCGATGAAGAAGGCGAAGGATATTCGCTGGGGAAAGTACATTATCAGCGCTCCCCCACTCTTCAACAACGACACGCACACGCTCGACAGGCTCAACCGCAACCCAGCAGAGGTGTTTAACGAGATGTGTCCGAGAGTAGGTGCCGTGTTTGAGAAAAAAGGATGGAAGCATCTCCCGAGGATTGATCGGGTGTATGATTCAAGCAAGGCGATGAGGGAGCTGGGATGGGAACCACAGTATACATTCGAAACGACGGTGGAGAGGTTAGCAATGGGTAGAGAGTGGAGGAGTGAGTTGACGGCGAAGGTAGGCAGGAAGGGCTACCATGCTGTCACCACTGGGGTTTATACAAAGCGATAAACCAGGATATAACACCATATAGCCTAACTGTAGAAGGGTGGATGTGCCGTCTCATAGCCTTTAGTGTTCCCTGGTACATCTCCTCAGCTCGGTGCCCTGGTAGGGCTGTATAAGCTACGTCACTCAAACCCGGGATTTGCCACCCCCCGGCCATAAGGTGGGGCATACATATACCTTGGGAACGTGCCAGCTTTTATGCTCGCTGCCCGTCTCAAACAGCAGCTGTCAATATGCCAAATATCAGCCTGTCTCGTGCAATATCTCCAAAGGGCCGGGTGCGGTTCGTCTCCTTGGGAACCTGCACCCGTCCCAGCGCTATACTGGCGCTTCCCTGGGAATCCCACAGAAACGGCGCTCAGAGTAATGGATGGCCGAAAGGGTTTCGTACTGGACAGATGCGAAACATACCTGACCAAGAAACACCAAAAAATGATACAAAAAAGCCGCAGCCGTCAGCAGAAAAAGAGTCAATGTCGACTCGGCCAGTAGTCGCGGACTCAAAGGGAAATAAAAAATACTACAGCCTCAAAAACTACAGGGAGGGCCCGAACCCTGAGAGCGGCGAACTGGATAAGGAATATGATTCAGAAGATGTAAGGACTCATAACAAGGATGTCGACGACAGGCATAAGAAGGACTGATGGACGTGATTGGATGTACTGCTTCTGCTTTCTCCTGCTGGTTAATTAGTATGCATGTATCATATTTGCCATGTATAGACACAATTTGTACTCATGTTCGCAAAATCGAATTGAGCAATTTGCTCGGCTACTATGGTAAAATCAGATAAGAGTCCTAGATTATATACAGGCATATCCAATCGCCAGCTGAATCCTATGTTGATTTCAGTTAGAATGATACAAGAAGTATAAGAAGTGACATAACAAGTCACATCTCCAGTCCATTAAAATTTGGCATCCCTGCATGTCTTGTTTGTAAAGATAACACCCGCGATCATTTTCAACATGATGGTGACAAGGGATGCACAACTCGCATATGCCTAGTCAACGCATCCTGGCGGGAGAAGGTCCTTCCCTCTGTGCATAATTGACAACAGACCTTGCGTCTCTGAGGACTGTGAATGGTGCCCTCGTGCCGTGTCAGGTCATAGGGTCGCGAGAAAAATGAGTTACATGGCTCTCCCGTGGAAGGATTGACCCGCTCGCATTTACGGGCAACATTGTGCCCGTCACGCAATAAACAGGCTCGACTGAGGCTACCTCCATGTATGGCCAGGGCAGTATCGACGGTGGTAGGAAAGTTTCCTCTAGGGGGCCTGGGTTTCGAAAGTGAGATGGGGAAGTCGGAGGTCTGGGGTAATTGATTGCATTGTTGCAGCGACAGTTGTGTGAAAGGCCACTGCTCAGATGCTTCAGTTGCTTGTGCCTGTGCCGCATGTAGAATGGTGAGCGATGAAGGCAACTTTGGCGGCGAGTGGGAAGATGGCCCACCGCATAAATCGGGGATGTGATCGCATGGATCTGATGAGGACAACAACTGATCATAATCTCCAAGTTTATTGTAATCCAACAATACATCCCTGGGTGATATTGTGTGCGGTTGTTCATTGGCTTGCTCTCCTTCGACATTTACCCTCTGGGCCGCGGGTATTCTGGTCGTTATCTGAGGTCGCCGATGAGCAAAGGCGTTGTATTCGGCAGCCAGAGGAGAATTCCGTTGGAAGGGACAACTTTGCCGATCGACTGCAAAGGACTTTAAGTGTGTGGATAGATGACCCCGGTTGGCAGCTTGCAGTCGGTCAGTTAAGGTCCTGCGGACAGTGTCCTTGAGACTGCGACGGTTTGCACTTGGTGTAGAGATGTGGAATGAATGAGGGTTGGATGCACTGTAGAATCGCCTATGACGAATGTCAGACACCTTGGAATCTCCAACAAAGAGGCTATTTTCGTCATGGGCATTGCAGTATGGGTGCCAATGGAGATTACTGTCACCACCGAGGCAGCTCTCTACCGTAGGTGTTTGATTCTTACCCTCGAGTACCGCTTCAGAGGCGGTTTCTTCCCGATTCGGATTCGAGGTGAGAGGCCCATTATCTTTCACAACAGGAGCAGAGCCAATCAAACATGCGCTCGGTTGTCGACATACATGCGGTTCTTTCATTGCAGCGTGGTTTATAAAGATAGGGACTTCGGTGTAATTGCGGAAAGATTGATCGAAGCTCAGGACTGCCTTGGCTTGAAGATGTTCCCCCATGATGGCCGGCAATGACATGGGTGGAGGCTTTAACGCTAAAATATCGTACATCTCTGATGTTATGTATCGTCCGGAAGCCATGTGGAATCAAGAAACACTTGTCGGGTGGAGCAGCAGGATAAAGAATAAGCAACAAAAGACAAAAGTGGATGGGAAAGAGGGGAGACTACCTTAGCGTGGATTATGTTCGGGCGCAGTGGTCAGCACACATTCCTGACTCATCTCCAAATTGTCAACAGAAGACGGTCATCACTCAATCCTTTTATTCACCCTCTATGCAAGGAGCCAAATCAACTTGGTGGTGTAATAGGGCGCTGTCTTCTGCCTCTCAACATCTGCCAGATACATTCCACTGCCTGACCCCTTCCGCAACGGTCACAGTTCATAAAATAACACATCCTATCAGCTTCTTCTTCTTCCACAAGGCACATTTATGAAGGAAATCGAGGAATTCTTCGGAGACTGTGTAACACTATGACCGCGTTTCATGGGCATAAAAGAGACAAAATAGGTCAGATGTGGAGCAGTGGGTGGGCCTGCTTTCTGGAGAATGGTGGGCTGGACCAATGACTTGCCTACTAGAGCGGGGGAAAATAAGCTTACTGTCTATACGAAGGCCTAGACCTCGGTTTAGTTATCCGTGCGAGAATAAGAGGGCACTGGTCCCACCTGATGACTCTTTACCTGCTACTCACTATGAAGCCTGTCACGAGTCTTCCCGTTCTTCTGGGAGCCATACACATTGCCATATCTACAAAGGCTGTGCAGGTAGTGAGTGGACTGTTAGAAAGCCCATCCAGTACACACCTCATCATCGAAGTCTGTAACGAGACTATTCGATGATCAGCAGAGAGCCCCCGTCGCAATGCTACATCTTTCAAGGCCACCCACCACTCTCAAGAAAATCAGCCTTTCAATAAGAAACAAACGCTGAAAAAAATAAGAAAAACATACAACAGCCGGGATTCGCTGGTGGTCACCCACCCAACTACTAACCGGCCGGTGTGTGGCTTAAGTACGGCTGAGCGGACGGGAAGCCCTGTTCTCCACACCCTATGGTCGTACGTACTCATTCACAAGTAAGAGTGATATATAAGAGTGATACATATTGGGTGAAATATTTACAGTTTTAGCTTTTGTATGGTTGCAACATTAGCTGTTGATTCAATCTACGGACCTCTAGAACAAGACCGAGCGCCGCGAGTTCATACCTATAGACAGCTTGCTTCGGGTGACAGTGCTTTAGAAGTGGTGGTGCTTAAAGAATCAAGATTCTTTAAAGACAGAGTCCATTCGCATTCTGGGATTAGTAAATCAGGAGGATTGGGTGAAGACACCATAGCATGTAATATACTTTCGCCCAAAATCATGGCGCAATTGACATCTAATTTATTCTAATCACAACACATATGGATATATCTTCATAGAACATAAAAGGCTTAGTATCGCACCGGATATCATCAAGGCTGGGAAAGACGATTCGGCAGTGATACCATCTCTTTACTCCTTCTCAACAGCCTTAGTGAGTCGGTGAGGGCCTTTGTGATGCTTGACATTGCCATCCTGGACCAGCGGTATTAATGGCTAGTATTAAGCATTCAGCCTATTTGGGAATGTGAGGACTTACTAGTGTTGGCATAAGTAGAGGAGTGACTGCTCTGATTAATAAACATGTGATCCTTACCAGATCTACCAGTGATTAGGTAGAAATAGATAGTGCTTGATATGCTAGTGTATGGGGGGAGCAGGGAGCTTGAACTAGGAGGTGATATACTTAAGGTGATATAGGGTTAATGGTCTGCGATAATCTTAGTATTGCTCTGTGATGACCAGGCTCATCTGGATCTTGAAGGACAGAGGGAATATCCTCCTGCTTGACCTTCAACCAGCTGCCGTCCGGGAAGGCCACCTGATAATATCCGTCTCCTTGTCGGCAGACTTGACAAACTCACTCTTGCCGATGCGAGCAGCAAGGGATTCGATCACAGAGAAGGGGATAATGTCGTCGCCCTATCAATGACAGAAATGCAATCGCTAGAAAAGAAAGTATGAGAGATTTTTGGCTGATCGCAGTACCACGCCGAGTATTAAGAGGAGGAACGAAGTCAAGATGCAATAACTTAATAAGGTTAGCAAACAATATCGCGCTGTTAGAGATCATAGCGAACGAGATTGATCCCTTGCTACGAGACTCTCAAACAAAGTCTTGTTTATCGAGGACTAAGTTGCATGTCAGCATAACATGATGCACAGCAGGTGCTATGCAATGTTCTTGTAACGGTTTTCAGGCTGGTGTCTTTAGATGTTTTCGGCGCGAGCCATCCATGCGCCTGACGAGTTTAACCACTTCCTTGCTCAGTCTGGTATTATAAAGCAGATGTAGCAGCATCCATTAATACTGATTCGCGACTTTTGTTGTTCATGAAAAAGAGAGGGACGCGGGCCCCGCACCGTACCATGAAAACAGAAAAGGACTCCGTCATCGACTCCTCATCCTTCCTATCGTTATATAGAGCTCGCCCGTCCCCCTCCCGATCCCCATCAGTTCTCTTCTGAGCATGAGACTCTTCATTCCATTGCCTACATTTACCGTTTCAAACACTTTGTCAACTGCAGCCTACCTATCAAGTCGATATGGCCTCTGCAGCACCTCAACAATACCTCGACATTGAAATTACAGATGAACTGAAGTATGACATTCGAATTGAAAATGCTCATATAGACAGGTATTTGCTTCTCAGTCTGTCCTGGACCATGAGTGCTGGCAGTTTCATCTGACATCAGCTCAGCGGCGAGTTCTACAGGGAGGGCGATCAAAACGATGTCCTAACCACCGACGATCTTGAAGACATGATGATTCGTCACAACGGTGGCATGCGGCATGTCTGTTCCTGTGGTGAAGAAAAGGGCTTCAAAGGGCTGCAAGGCACAATTGATCTCGTGGACGATGTAAAAGATGCCCGAATTTGCACTCTGGCATGGAATGCTCCTATGGAGCCTGGAAAAACAAACATGTTCATGATGCGTGATCATGACCCTCGATACAATATTGATATTGGAAAGTGGAACGAATCCGGTATCATGGGAAAGGTTCCAGTTACCATCCGGGAGGAGTAGGGTACTTGGTGTGTAGTACGAGGCTTTATGTCCTTGTGTGCATTCGTTGTCGTACATAGGAAATTCATCTATGAGACTTTCATACAATGAGCTCGAGTGTTAATACCCTATATCGCTCACTGGATTCAAACACATACTGTTTTGTATCAAAATGAGCCAGTCCAATCTGATTTGCTTTTCCGCGGCATCTCTGTTAATTCTTTTCCCTTTTTCAGATGAGTCAGATCTATGTGTGCTGAGTCGGAGGCTAAACTCTGTAGCTCGAGTCGGTCATCCAATCTCCAGGCCCTTGAATATCCTTCGCTTCCTTCGCTCTGAACCAGACGACATCCAGATGAACGCGACGACGGCGTCCACCTTCTTGCCGGGATACATAACAGAGGCTCGCTGCTTAAATAACGCCTCACGAGGACAGATGATGAGGCGTGTCCTCGCACAGAGTCTTCAAGATTCCTTAACCGAACCTTCTCAGCTCCTTGGGCGTTCGAGCCAAACAGCGCAGGCCTTGCCACGGCACGCCATGCTCTCGTCAGGCTAAATGAACTCCAGGGTTACTCAGAAACTGCAAGCCTCTCTTGTGCGTTGCGACTCTTGCACAGCCATGCCATATGGTGTTTCAATATACCGGGATAGATTGCCCAGGTACTAATAGCGGGACTAATAGAGGATATCATAAAACGGCGCTCTTGCAGACTTCGGAAATGGAAAGACTTCGCTGCATCAGTTGAAAGAGAAGAAAGCTTGTGGGCGCTGAGCAACACGTCGCAAAGAATCAAACAGAAAAGCAATGAAAATGCTAGACTACCCTATGGACGGCTATATCTCCTGACCCGGACGTTGGATCTCGAATCAAGAGAAACTAGGTCGCAACGAGTTCAACGTTGGTGCCTACTTATAACTGGCTTCTCCAAACGTCTTCAAGTTAGGTTAATGGAGTTCCTGTCCAGCAAGCGCCTTTTTAGTTCGTCAACTTCGTTACTTTTCATTTCGGCCTGGGATTGGAGATTCTCAATTCTTTGGAGACATCTTCGCAGGACGATCATCCTGTAGCCATCTTTCCACTTTCCACGAAAAGCAGATAGTCCTTGGCGCTGCGTGCCAGGAGGTCGCGTGAGTTTCTCAAGCACAACGAATTGATTCGCTAACTCTGAGTGGCGAATCTCCGGAAAGCACATACCTCTGTTGTTACTGTGCCTATAGAACCTGGAGGCTCGTGCTAATTTTGATCTGGATGAATAAGCTTGGTTATGCTGCTTTCTGAACCCTCTGTGATACACCATTGGTGACTTCGGAACCACTCAGGCTATAGAGGAAGAAGAATGATCTGGACGTGAGAGAATATTATGAGCACAGAAGCTATCAGTTCGCAAGGATGCTGTAACCCTGATTGACTCTTTATATAAAGAGTTCAATCCATAATCCAGCTAATCATGCTACCGCTGCTTTTTTTAGATCACCCCACATTATTGTCAGGAGATTGTGTGGTCTAGGCTTCTGCTTGATACCTATTTACCTTGGTTGTAGATAAGCTCTACCAAATCTCGACCTTATGTTGACATCTCCCGTGTTATCACCAGAGGATCAACCAAAGTTCTAGGGGTATGCACCTTGTTGGTAAGGTATCAGCGTTTGTTGGAGCTCACTAAAGAAGGATCAGAAGCTGAAGCAGTACAGTAGAGTGGTTCAATATCATGATCGAATGGCTCATGGACTTCCTCGGGAGCAAAGACAATCCCATAAAAGTCGGGTATCTGCCGTGTCTGACCGTATATAACCCGGTTGTAGCTGATAATCAAGGAGGGATTGTGGCACAATACCTCAAAGCACATGATTCATTGCTCCAATGACGTGCGGAAGGCAACCCTCAGATGGAAATCAAGGCAGATCTTTTATGCGCTGACAAGGAGCAGAGGATCCAGACCGCTTGAAATGCTGGACATTGGGCGGATGAGGTGTGCTTTGCGGGTACGTTGTTTACTCTCCCTTTCCCGACACTTCAACGGGTGGATGAGGCTAAGATGGAGAAAGGTCGCCTGGCTGAGCCTTGATCTGCATTGCCGTCAATAGAACAGCCAGCGGATTCCTTGGTTGATCCAAGACCGGGCATTACTTGCGCCCACGGATTGACAATCGTCTTGGGAAGTGCGCCCCAAAATTGCAGACGTATTGGCCCAGGGGAATACTATTGTCCTCCGCCAATAATGGCCCCTTTCGCAGGGACTCGGCCTGGACACAATCGAGAATATGTTCCAGGTTCTTCTTCTCTTCTTCAGAGAACTGCTCCAGTCAGTTTGATTTGTCACAATACCCAGGTGTTTTGCCGAAAGGAAAGTCAAATGACCTTGCTCTAGCATCCGTTACCGGTTGTCATGCCACCCTTGGTTGTCGAATCCTCAGGAGAAGATGACTCTCGTTCTACTTGCCTAACCGGAAAACTCACGCACTGTTCAGTATGTGCGGGGGCGACATTGTGCACGGTCCCCCAGCCGGAGAACAAGCACGAGATAATAAGGTAGGTTCAAGGGATGATGGAAGGTGTAGTGTAGGTGTCAGCCATTAAGGAAAGTCAAGTGTTCTCGATCTCCTGAGCTAACAGGCCATAAAAAGTCACGTGTCTTCACGAATCGTATGTGACATGTGACGCTGCGTTGGCAGGTCACGTGCTACGGCAGTCTCGTCTCGCTGGGCGGAATTCACCCCTTTTGCGAGAAGAACCGCCAGGCCCGCTGCACCAGCGATGAATCCCTTCAGAGCTCCGTCTCGACTAGACGGAGCTTGGCACAAGGTAGGCCTTGCATCGGCGTTCCCCGACGTCGGCATCGACTACGATGGCCGTCGGATCACAGCGAAGTGCAAAGCTTTCCAGATCCCGAACTCCAAAGCAAACGGGCCTCAGCCCGAGTGTCCGGTCGAAGCGGACATTGACCTCCCAGGCGACCTAAAGGATCAGGTCCTTGTGTTCAAGTATAAGGGAAAATTTCATGCCGTCGATCACGTGAGTGAGTCGGTTACAGATACCCAGAATCAAGCTGACCCTTCCAGCAATGCCCTCACTCGTCGTTCCCACTGTCACAGGGGAGCCTCTTTGACATTGAAGATTTTGGTGTCGTGCTCAGCGCCGGCATCACATGCCCCAAGCACGGCTGGTCCTTTGACCTCTTCTCTGGGCAGTCGGACCGTGGCAATTACAAGCTCAAGGTTTGGGAGGTGCAGCAGCGTGACCTTCCTGCATCGGCCGATGGGGCTTCTGAGACTACCGACAAGGAGGTGTGGGTGAGGCGGAAGCAACGAATTGGCTAGGTATGAGCGATTCGACCCACGCAGGATCGACCTGAGCATTGTGTATCTCATATCGGTTTCCCTTTCCCGTAATCGACTCGCCTTGAACAGCAATGTCATGCATCCATCACAGGAAAAGAACTGCTGCGACTGCTCTTTGCGCTTGTACTTCAGGATGTCCTGTGTGAAGAGCACCTTGACTCCATACGTCCGCAGCGCCTTGCCATACATCTGCAGTCTGCGGCAGTCCCGCGGAGACACATGTCTTTCTGCATCACGCCGTGCATGCCACTGCTGCTACTCTTCTGGCCGTATGGGTAGGTAGGCGTGGCTGCGCCTGTCCTCTCACAGAAACATGGAGTGGACAGGCATGGGGGGGAATGAGAATAGCCAAGCACAGACTTTTCTCAAGGACTCATGTAAAGATAGGAAATTGAGACTAAGAACTAAAAAGGACACAAGAAAAGACTCTCACATTTTATTACTAGCTCAATAGCTTCAAACTGCGAGCACGACTATCAACATCCCCTGCCTTCTTTTTCTACCCTTTAACCTGCAATTCCTCGAATATTTCTACCACTATCCCGTCATCTATGTTCCAGAACAAGCGGATTTCCGGGAAATACACCCTGGACACAAGGCAAAATCTGAGCGAGCCTCGGATCGGTCTGCGACGATTAGGGAACAAAACCAGGTCCAGGCAGTAATCTTCATGCAGATGACCCCTTCCTTTCACATGGAGCAAAAAAGGAAAAGAGGGACAAAAACATACAACAGCCGGGATTCGCTGGTGGTCACCCACCCAACTACTAACCGGCCGGCGTGTGGCTTAAGTACGGCTGAGCGGACGGGAAGCCCTGTTCTCCACACCCTATGGTCGTATGTACTTAATCCTTCAAGAGAGCAGTACATAGACAAGAGATGTTGATCACCTACCTGGACCTTATAGCCACCGACAGAGTCATGCTCGTTGTTGGCACTGAAGGTGACTTGACGCGGTAGCTCCAGCCTACTGTCAAGACACAATTAGTGGAAGACAGGGAGGGATTCTTCGAGTACACACCAGAGGTTGCCAGTTAGCTTTCCATGGCCGCCTATATGAGTTCAATGGTCAGCCACTCACCCAGAAGACCAACTGAGCAGCGGTGATTCCGAAGTAATTTCTATAGAGTTGGCCTAGTAGGAGCAATCCTTGACAACATTGGGATCTGCATTGCCCACAGTACCATTACTGGCACTGCTTCTCGAAAGATTTGATTTCAATAATTTCAGCATCATTGATGGGTAATTTTAAAATGATCAAAGAGCTTCAACGCATGATTCATTGATATATGACAGAGAGTTTTATGAGATAATATTACCTGAAACTCAAGGTAGGAAATGAGCGTGGTTGTAGTGTTGCATTGTTTAGATTAAAGCATAGACTGCCTCAGCTTATCTATAGGCCATTGTCAAACAAGCCTTGAATGCATGAATATCACCGGTGTCCCCCTAAATGAGGGCAGGTCCAATGTGAGCACTGGCTATCTCTTAGGTCCCTTTGCAGTGAGAAACAGAGATATATGTATTTTACCACTCACCTCATCTCCGAGCAGGTCTAGCAAGGAAGGAGAGACTATTCCGGGGCTTTGCACACCAGACAGCATTCTGGCCTGCTACCCCTCGGCTGCTGCAGTAGTAGGGGGTGAACATCTAGCCCCGTGAATACCGAGCATCAGCGGATAGCAGGAGGGAAAAAGGACATGCTGTCGATAAGACGGTACGCTGATGCTATCCTAAAATCTTGACGTTGACTCTTGGAGCCTGACGCAGACATCCCCATGATTGGCTGTTCCAGTTGCCCTGGGGAATGTTGATCGCGATCTTCCAGTAATGTGGTGGTTTTTTGTCTCTTTGGAGCCTCATGCACATATCTAGCCTAATTTTATCTGTTTTTGATGGTGGAGCCTGTGACATTATCTAGCTATAACCATTTCTGTTCGCGCTCAGATTCCTATGCAAGCGACTTTGGCTCTGCGGGTAGGCACTTTTCAATTCAGAACTTACTGGGAAACTGCATATATTAATACAGGTTATATCAGGCTAGCAGACAGAGTGTTAGCATCGTCAGAGCAGGAGCGCCGGCGCTGCTCCACCAGCATTTCCATAACTATAATAGTCATGCCCTCATGCTCCAGCAGTAGAGACGCGCCCTCTGGGTGCTGTCACTAGGCGTCTTCATCCATGCCTTCACCATCAGCCTGCTGGGCTAAGCGCATGCGCTTACCCTCGCCAGTGGGGACGCTCTCTGAGGGCTCCATGGGTTCCCGCTTGCGAGCATCCTGTCAGGAGCTCTTGCTGCGGGAGGCTGCCATGTGTGTTTTTGACTGGTTCGCCGGCTCCCTGGTTAGGCGGGTCGAGGCCGTGTGGTCGTAGTACAGAACTAGGAAAGTCTATACCAAGCCTGAGCAGTCAGCGCTACTGATGTCTAGATCGTCAATAGTTGGCTTACGTAGGGCCTGGGTTGTGCATGTTCACCAGAATGCATGCAGAAGCAGGTGCTTTGCCTCACCCGAAAGCTTAGCGTATCTCAGGCGAGTGGGTTAGGGGGAAATTATGATTGGCGGGACTCTAACACAGACTCAAAATGCTCTTCACCATTATCTATGGGACGCCTGAAATGCAACTCATAAGCACAGAGATCAGGGACATGGTCTGGCTAAGGTACTCCGTACAGCCGGCTCTTTGCATGATTAGTCAGAACACCCACCAGAATGAATGGCATAAATGGCTATCAGAATTTTTACCACTACTACTAGACTAAAAGGTGTCATGATAATCAGTGCTTAAGCAGTAGGATATATTACTGTGGGACTAGGTCGCATATATCAACAGGGGCCCTGGGACTCGAACGGTGGGAACCGGGGTAGTTTTCTAGCGGCATGCATCATGCATCCGAACCTGTACGTACCACAAGTCCCTTGTTCTAAGCCAGTGTTGAGGTTTAGCGAGACTAGTATGTGATTCGACGGCATAAGATAGGGCTGGCCTCCGCGGCCACCCTATACCGACAACATCATATGCACACAAAACGAAGCCGTTTCCCCCGGGAGGGTACTAGAGAAAGTGCTAGCTAGAGAGAAAGCTCAGTTACATTGTCACCGTGGATTTGCATGCTTGGCGCTCAAAATATAACTACCTACTCATTCTGAGTCATCATGACTCAAGATGATTGATAATCCGTCCCTGAAGAAGTAAATACTTATAGAAGAGCTCTGCTCATATCCTCAGACCCAAAACCCCCACAGATTCATGAAATCCATCGCAAACTCAATGGCCCAAGACTCCAATCACGCCATTGTTTTCGGAGCAGCCGGACTCCTGGGCTGGTCTGCTGTGAATCAACTTCTCTCCGGCTATCCCACTTCCCGCTCATTTTCCCGAGTCACAGCCGTGCTTAATCGTTCTGTGCCAGAACCTGAACTCCACTGGCCGACTGGCCCAGGTAGACCGCAGCTACAGATTGTCTCGGGCATTGATCTTCTACAAGGAACGGGAGACGACCTGGCAAAGCAATTGAAGGAGAAAGTCAATGGAGTGGAGGAGATATCCCATGTTTTCTACTTTGGTATGTCTGCAATACAATAGTCCTTTATTGTTTGCTTGATCCCTGACTGTCGACAGTGTTCGCCTCCCTGAATGAGGATCCCATCAAAGAGTGCGCCCAAAACTGCGGCATGATGCAGAGGCTCGCGGATGCCCTCAACATGGTAGCTCCAAGCCTACGGACGTTTGTCTATTCCGGTGGCACCAGAGTAAACGCACCTGCACCATGTTCAGTACTTTTTTGGTAACGATTTCAGGGATACGGTATCTATATACCAGGTGGCATATTCCAACCACCCCTTGTGGAATCCATGGCCGACAACCTTCCAGACGACTACGCCAGGACAGTTGCATACCCCTGGTTCCAAAAGATCCTCACAGAGTCCAGCAACGGACGCGGTTGGACTTGGACCGAGGTTTGTCCTGACGCCGTCGTTGGATTTACCCCGAATGGCTCTGCCTTTTCTCTGGCGCTCCACTGGGCGCAATATCTTTCTCTATACGCTTACAACCATGGAATTAGACCGAATGGTACAGCCAGTCCAAACAGGGATGAGGTGAAAGTACCCTTCCCTGGAGATGAAGCAGGGTATCGATCTCTCTTGACGCCGGTCTCTGAGAAGATTCTCGGTCGAATTGCCATCCATGCAGCTCTCGACCCCGATAAATGCGGTCAGAAAACCATCAACATGGTGGATAATGACCGTCCGGTGAGCTTTGCCGATTTATGGCCTGCCATCGCCAACTGGTTCGGGCTCAAGGGAGTAGGACCTTCGTCAGTTGGTGACGCTTTCAAGCCGGGAGAATATGTAACCAAGTTCCGTCATCTGTTCACGGAGAATGAGCGACCGAAAGGAGCGACGTGTGGTGTGGGTGCTGGAAGTACCCAGTTGGATTCCCTAGGATGGTGGTTGTGTTTTGACCGTCATTTGAGCTCGGAGAGGCTGCGGAAGGTAGGGTTTACTGAGCAAAGAGACCCAATCGAGGGCTGGCTGGACGCATTTGAGAGATTCAGAAAAGCTGGGATTATCCTTTGAGAAAGGGAAAGTACAATAGTATGATTTCCAGCCCAGCTGTTTTACTTCCTGTATTAAGACAGGATTCGCTGGCCCCTGCTGGTCAGTCGACCAAGTCCGATCAGACCGAGGGCAATCTTCACGCCCTCATCAAGATCGGGAAGATCAATGCTCTGGACCCGGCAGTACTTGCCTCATACCTTTTGCACGCCAGTGACATAGGAGATCTGCTACTCTTTTTGGAGCCTTTTCCGCTCGTCTACAGTGGCATTCACGGATTCCACCTTGGACAACTGGGCCTTTGATTTTGTCAGTGATGTATGGGATCACCAACGCCGTAGCTACTGCGCGCATTTTGCCAGGACTCTTCACGACGGACTTGATGCGCCCTAAGGAAGGACCAATACTGCCTCTAACTTTGATAAGGCCAGGATTGGCCTAGGACCTTACAGTGGTGACAGGATGCCTTTGAAGTACTGGGCTCCTGAGACACTGCTTCATAAGGGTTGGATCTATCCTGCTGGTGTTTGGAGTGTTGGCCTTACTGTATGTATCTTTTAACTTATTGCATACATGCATTGAAGGCAAGACTTCGTGGAAAGAGAGAGATAGTATGTGACAGAAGGGTGCGATAGTAAGCAATGCTGGAGTATAGTCCATAAGTGGCCTGACCCAGCGCAGAGAGGCGGTTTGACGGCGGGGCGGAGCCCTCGGCCTGTCAGATGACCGCTCTGTAAAGGGTGTGTCGGGCACGGGCAGGGCCGCAGGGACTGCGCCGGCAGCCGAAGCTCGGGGGTGCTGGTTCTCCTGATTGGGGGCGTGGATCAGCACGCGCACTTCCTAATTCAGAAGACGCCGATCTAGTTAAGGGGGTGGCTCACTGCTCAACACGCCTTTTGGGCGCGCGGAGCTATGGGAGGTCCTCCCAGACGTCAATAAGTGCCCATTCGCCCTTTATCAACCTAGCACCGGTTGAATGCAGCGTTCTCGCGCAGATGTAGACAGTGGACCAGTAAGATTAGTCTCAACACAACATCTCAACCATCAACCAAATCAACGACCCGGATTACCCCTGCGGGCAGGCCCCCGAACGACCCGACACATGCTATTCCGCTGCACCTGATATGACGACCTCCGGCGCACAATTTGGACGGATGGGATTCCCCATGGCCTGACAGAGACCATGATGGAGCACCAGTATGTATGTAGACCGCACAGTTCATGCTGAACACCAGCTGATTAACATGTATAGTAGAAGCCACCTAGCTGGCATGGCTTAAGCTAAGCAGCTACAGCAGCATAAGGCTTCTAACAGCCCCAGCAGATGATAACTAACAGACTGTTATCACATACTATCACACACTACTAGTTACTCACAGTGGCGCAGCGCCATTACCCATGGCCCTAACACATGTACCCGCGCGGCGTTAGCATGTCATTCTGGCACCATCTAATGGTGGCGTCCTGAGACCCCCGCTGCCTCGCAGGCCTGGGAGTCTGCGGCATCCGAATGAGTTGGCGGCTATCTAGGTGGAGGAACGGGCCTATACGGGCATCTAGGCAGGCACGCGGCATACACGGGGCATCTGGGAGGGAATATACAAGGGAATATATGAGGGAGTCTGTAGTCAGAATCTACGAGGGATACAGCCTAGCCTAGATGTCAAATACATATCTCATGTACACAGGCAGGGCAGTTACTGCTCACTATGAGCATCCGGCGAGGCCCAGCTCAGTAATGGGATACGTAGTAGCTATCCTGGCTGCCTGCACTCCTGCAGGAACCTGGCGCTGTTCGTCCAATAGGGCTGACAGATGCACGAATGAATTTATAATAATAATATATAATGATCGACTGAGGGACTACCCCTAATCTCTCCCTCATCCTTCTTTCACTCTCATCTCCACTAGCAGTCGCCGTTTACGCTGCTTGATCCTCACTTTGGTAGCCGCCATTCCCCCACATTGCCCCCTCCTTTGGTGATTAACTAGCTCTTAACTTCAGACTACTATTACATTGACCATTTCTTGACCTTCATTCACTCACTGCGCGCCAAATAAACATGGTGAACAGGCCTCCATGATCATACACGGGCAGAGCCCGCCTTGACTACGCAAATGCACTTGGTCAGCAGCGATGCCGCGGAATCGGGGATGACAAGCGCCGAAATGCACAGGTGGACCCATATACTAGCTGCTGGCTATTTTAGGGATCTACAAACAATGATGGCTATGGCCAGGTAAGGGCACCTGACACACCTCCCTAGGAAAGATGGACTTGGTTACTGAAATAGGGTGGTAGATATGGACAAAGGCCAACAATAGACTGCATGAGACTGGACGTAGTTCACAGACTGCATTCCTGATCCACATTGTTGCCTATGTCGCCTGCCATGGGACGGACTGATGTCCCAACCGGCAGTCATATCTCCCACCTCTGCAATAGACGCTGCTGTTTTAACCCTGCCCATCTTGTGGGAGAGAGTATCCAGACTAATAACTCCCGCAAAGGTTGCCCCGGCCCTATCACCTGTTCAGTCCACGGCCACATCATTGTCAGTCTCTGCTCACATAATCCCCATTGCATCCGCCCTCCCCGTGATGATATCTACTGCTGTCTTGCGATGAAGGAAGAGGACCCTAAAGGCTGGGCAAGCCAGCAGAGTGAGTGGCGTGCCACCTCATCTGATGCTTCTGGTTCCCGGCCCTCCACGTAAGGAGGAGAAGACTCGCAGCAGACCCAGCACAGTGGGACGAGTGCCCTGGAGGAGGGCGTGGAGGGACTTGGAAGGTCTTTTTTGATCCGGTGAAATGTATCTAGCAATCTGATATTAGGCTGTGAGCCGGCTCACTCCCTGGGTTCTAGGAGGGGTCCTCCAATTGAAGTGTTTCTCGAGTCATAATCACTCCCGCCGTTTATCCATGCTTGTTTGAATTTGTTCATCTTGACATTCAGAGCACTAGGCAGAGATCATATTGCATCAACACTACTTTCTAGCCATTGTAATGCTATGTTTTGAACGAGGCCGGTGCTCTATGCTTCACCAGACTGCCACCTCCGTGCCTTGTGAAGGAACGCTGGCATTAGTTCTGGGCTAACCATGCTCACAGTTCAGCCCTAATAGTGGCAAGGCCTATCAGGAGCGAGTGCATGAGGCGACACACACATTAGATGGCTTCTGGAAGCTGGCCTGTTGGGCCTGACGCCGCGGACAAACGCAACTAATCTTCACGCTAACCCTGATAGTGGGTGACCGCGAGATAGATTGACCCAAGGAGAAAGCCACGGTGCTCCGCGAGGCCCTGTTCCCTGCTTCTGGAGGTGATCCTATAATGAATCAAGCGAATGCAGCGGCTAGGACACCGCGACAGCTGCGGTTGGAGGAGCGACGAAGAAGAGGAGTGCCTGCTGGGAGAAGACGCGGTCGTGCATTGGGGACTCGGGGTTAGAATGTTGATCTTACTATATAATAAGAGAAGATCAGCGAGTATTGTATAGAGATGCAATTCATTCATTATCATGAGCATAAGTTGGAGAATAATCATACATCAATTGTTTGCTTACATTGGAGGGAATCACGCGCATCTGCCTAGGCACCACCTCAAGCAAAATCAACGATGTTCAGGGCAATCTTGATCAATGACTCTTGATAGACTGTTACAACTTCTGGAATTTCCACCAGCGACGTTGGTGGAAGCCGATGAAATATCCACTTTCTACTCTACAGCAATCTCAGGCGATGCACCAGAGAGCATGAGAGCGTTAACTGACCAAGCAAAAAAAAGAAAAAGCAAAAAACATACAACAGCCGGGATTCGCTGGTGGTCACCCACCCAACTACTAACCGGCCGGCGTGTGGCTTAAGTACGGCTGAGCGGACGGGAAGCCCTGTTTTCCACACCCTATGGTCGTATGTGCTATATTATAAGCAGGTATAAAATATATGGAATCAGTAATATCGAATCAATAGATAATGAGTTGGGATCACTTCCTTCTGATGCGTCAGGCTCTTACTCAAGACACTGCAACTACCAGGAGGCGTTTTCGATAGCGCAGACACGGTAACACAGTGTGTGTGTGTGTGTATTTAACGGCCGTGGGTCGTGACAAGCACGCTTCCCACAATTCCCTATTGGGACAAAGGCCGCCAGGGGGTAAGCCCTGGGCTTCTAATCTATATTTCTATATACAGATTTTTAAAACAAGAAAGAGGCTCTTTGGCGCATTTACATAGCTGCCGTGACCAAAAAGGGGGGCCCTGCGGGTGCAGGATATGTGTTGATGCCACCTGCATTGGTCCACCTAGACGCCATGACCAGTCGTACCACATCTACATCTTTTTTTTTTTTTTTTGGTTTGAAGGAATATAAAAACAAAGGAAAAGTTACCAAGGAGAAGGGGGGGGGCAGCTTAGCTTGTTCTAACGCTGCCGACGACCTTCCGCGTGTGGGTCTTGGTGGGCTGGGTCGCATTTAAAAACAAAAAAAAAATAATGATGATTTAATTTACACGATGTATAATGCATGAACAACACACTGCGATGTAGTAGTACATCCACTTCATGTAATACGT